TTAAAAACATCAACTGGTCAGCGATATTATCAGCGAACAACATCGATACCATGGTAGACTCTTTAACTGCTGAACTGATTAAACTGTACGACAAGCATGCGCCGGTTAGGCCAGTAAGGATGAAGCATGCTCCCGCTCCATGGTTATCGCCTGTGATTAAGAGGACCATGGCCAAGCGCGATAGGGCCAAAGCTAGGAACAAAAAATACCCTTCAACTGAAAACCTTGACGCCTATAAAAAATTACGTAACATCTGCAACAGAATGTGTAGGGATGCCAAACGTCGCTATATTCATTCCACGATTCAGGATCTCTGTCAAGCGCAAGTTTGGAGATTCCTATCGTCACTGGGTGTGGGCAAGACCACAGAAACTTGTCAAAGTTCTGTGGATCTTAATGCTTTAAATTATCATTTTACCACTCCACCCATAACTTTAAATTCTGACATAAAAACTGCTACTCTTTCATTCTTATCCAATCTTGCCCCCCCTGACCTACCACCATTCGTCTTCAAACCAGTCTCAGTAGATGATATAAAGAAGTGTGTCCGCTCTATTTCAACAAAAGCCATTGGTAGTGACAACATCAGTCTTGATATGGTTCTTCCCGTACTAGAGGATATTGCACCTGTGATCTCCCACATCATTAATTTCTCACTCACACGCAATGTCTTCCCATCAGTGTGGAAGAAAGCCATCGTCATTCCGCTGCCTAAAACTTCGAATCCTACCTGTCTCTCCCAATACCGCCCTATATCTATCCTTCCTATCCTATCGAAACTCATAGAATCATTGGCTCATAAACAACTTTACTCTTATCTGTCTCACCATAATCTCCTATGCCCTTACCAGTCCGGCTTCCGCTCTTCACACAGCACGGTGGGAGCCCTGCTGAATATCACGGAGGATATTCGTGGTGCTATGGATAACACCATGCTCACTGCGATGGTCTTGCTTGATTTTAGCAGTGCTTTCAACTCTGTTGACCTTGACATCCTAATTGAAACTCTTCGTGCGGTCAACATTTCTCCTACTGTTCTAGACTGGTTTCATTCTTATCTTTTCGGACGTCAGCAGTGCGTGAAAATCAACGATACATTATCGGATTGGTTAGATCTTACTGCTGGTGTCCCTCAAGGCGGCGTACTTTCCCCTTTGCTCTTTTCCATCTTCATTAATAACATTTCAAAAGTCATTTCTTCTCCCTTCCATCTGTATGCAGATGATTTACAGATATACCGACACTTTGAGCTGACCGAGTTGCATGACGCTATTGGTGCATTAAACTCGGACCTTGCTGAAGTCCAATTATGGGCTGAGTCTTTCGGCCTTCTTGTGAATCCCAGCAAATCACAGTGCATCATATTTGGCAGTAGTAGACTGAGGTGCAAAATCGACTGGACTTCAATACCTCAAGTCCAGTTTTCTGGTGTTCCAATCCCTTATTGTGATAGAGTGAAAAACTTGGGCCTAATAATGGATTGTAACATGACCTGGGTAGCTCATGTCAACGAGGTCAGCAAACGAATGCATCACTCTTTCCACTCTCTCAAGCGTCTCCAATTCTTTCTCCCATTTAGTACCAAGATTATGCTTGCTCAAACCCTTCTCCTCCCCATACTTGACTACGCTGATGTGTGCTATTTGGATGTGACTGAGGAGCAACTTAACAAACTAGAGCGTCTCCAGAATCTAGCTATTCGCTTTATTTTTGGCTTGCGCAAGCATGACCATGTATCAAACTTTCGTGCTCAACTTAAATGGCTCCCAATCCGACTTCGCCGTGATATGCACATCCTTTCCTTCCTCTTCAATATTCTTAACGACCCAAATTCTCCTCCCTACCTTCGTTCTCGTATCCAACTTCTCCCTATCCCCTCACGTTCCAGACGGTCTTGCGTCATGTCAATGCTCGACATACCAAAGAGTAAGACACGTTTTTTTTCGCACTCTTTCTCAGTATATGCCTCATTACTCTGGAACAAACTCCCTAAATACATCAAAAAAAGCCCCTCTATAACTTCTTTTAAAAAAAATTTAAAACAGTACCTTCTGTCACAAATTGGTCCTTAATTTTATCATCTGATTTACTATTTTTGAGTATTCCAAATGCATACGATTATATTTAGACTTTAATATGTATATATATATATGTATGTATATGTGTATATAGTATGTATAATATGTAAGTTTTTTATATTTATCATTATATGTGTTTTTTTTATCTTATTTAATTGTATAATTATTTATAATTTTATCTTAAATTAATTGCACACTTTTAGTCCCGTCATATAACACTATTTCTCACTTCCTTAGGTTGGCTGGAAGAGATCTCTTCTAGAGATAAGTCCACCTTTGCCCACATTGTTCTCTGTATTATCTGTGTTACTCTGTTAATATGCAATAAAGAATATATATATGTATAAGAAGTGTGTCCCAATGCTTCGTTGGCTCGCCTAAAGAATCTAAAGCTCTTAAATTTTTATTTATTTGATCAATCATACGTTTAATAGACATAGAAGACTCCTTACTGATTGAATCAATGTTGAATAATGCATTTACATGATTCTGAATTAACATACGCTTATTATCAAAACGCTCACAAAGAATCTTCCAAGCAACAGGATAAGTTTTGGCTGAAAATTCAATGGACTGTATAACGACAGCAGCGGTGCCCTCTAATGACGCTCTTAGATAGTGAAACTTATTTATATCATCAATATCTTCATTGCAGTGGATAAGACTAGAAAAAGTGTCATGGAATTCTAACCAATTATCGTAGGATCCGCTGAACTTTGGTAATTGTATAGTGGGTAATTTAACGAGATTATTGTTGTTATTAGCTCGCATCGAACTCTTGTCATTCTCAGCATTCGCTTCGTTCGATTTAGAAAAGCGCGTAACTATACCCTGGGCTTGTGCTATTAATTTATAATATTGAGACTCAAAATCATTTCTTACAACTAATTGATTTTCCATGTCCTCTGTTATGCATTCTATTTTAAACTGTATTTCATCATATTGTTCAAAAATATTAATCATTTTATTAATACGTAATTGTAGTTCGTTTACCTGAGACTGGCTTACTGATTCTTCCAAATGACTTAAATAATTACCAAACAACGTAAGACGGCCTTTAAAGCTTGCACGTTTTTTAATTAGTTCTCTTTCCTCTCGGTCAGTCATTGTGGGAAGCAAGTATCAAAGCCTGGAACGTTATACAAATAAAAGATTAAACTATAATATATAACTATTATGATTAAGTACTAAACAGTTTTAAAGTATAAAACAATTTTAATTTTGCAATGAACCAAACTGAAATGTATCTAATTTTTAATATACAAAGTCAAATTAACAACTATTATTATTTAAACTAAAGAAATTTAATCAATCTAACTTTCTTAACTCTGATAAATATGTAAATGTTTTAATTTTACTTTATTTTACAACTTTATAATTTTATAGATTAATTTTTTACAATTATATTAATTTACAATTATTTAGATGTACTTAATTTGTAACCTATTTCAATTAATCAATAATGCATATTAAATCTACATATATCATTTCAATTATAAGTATTATACTTATATCATTAAGACAATGAATGTAATATTATGTGATATGGAAGAAATTTAAACAATGGAATGTGAAAATTACAGAATTATTATTAATTTATAATTTTACTAACCTTTATACATTTAAAACACCTTAAATACTACCTGAATTAGAGTACTGGGTGGAAATTAAGTATTGAAATTGCTTAAATACTGCATATATTCCATAAACCACGCCTTGTCGAAGTCTTGATATGATGACCCCGGAACAATTTGTGATTTCACTTATTTTTCCACAGCCAAATCCAGTATTTTTATATACGCCGGTTATTTTTAACTTTAATATCCGTGTCGATGGACCATGTCTTTGAATTAACAGATTTAAGGTGTAAAAAGAAAGGTTTAATTGCAGACACGTAATGATTTAATCGAGATCAATTTACAGAGAGAGAAGGTCGGTAGAAGAAAAAATAATTAGCGGTAGAAAGTTAACACAAAATCAACATTGCCTTCAAATATGAAGAGGCGCTAAAAACTATTTGAATAGTAATATTAATATTACATAAATTTATAATTAATTATAATATAGATTTATAAACACCAGTTTTTTTCAAAGTTTAAGGGTGTTTTCACAGGACGAGCATACAACGTTTTTATTTCTTTAAAAAGTAGAGTGCAAGATGAAAAAATGAGCCCTATCTGAAAATTGAACGACATTTTTTTTAAATGTAAACATCCACTTGAAGTTAGGGGTGGTTTTATGCGTTTCGAGGCCATAAAGTATAAATTTCTCGGAAACGACTAAACATACCAATTTCAAAAAAAATTGGATATTATGTGTATTTTGATAATTATATTCCCCTAGTTTCATGAAAATCAAAAAATAATTGCAGAATTTAAAAAATAATAATTAAAAAACGTTTTTATTGGAAATATGTTTAAAATTTTAAAGTTATAGTAAAAGTCGTTTTCAACGTTTTGATTCCCCCTTTTTTCGGGGTTAGCTGAACAGCGGAGGATTTTTGTTCCTTATATAAGTGCTAACGTCTTAAAAACACAAAACTTCAGGTTTTAATTTTTGTGAACTTCAAACTTCACGGGGGGGGGGGAGGGGCATGCCGGCGTGTCCGCGGTTGTGGAGGGATTAAAAATATAAAAAATCAAAAGGCCGATTTTAGGCACAAATCGGGGTGTCTTAAAAAAATAGTTTTTCTAAACTTATCGAGGGGATACCAAAATGAAAGGTTTTGGGGCGATCAAAAATGTACAACTTATTAAAAATACGTACATAATATGTTGAAAACTTGTTTTTTCTATATTTACTATAAAATACGCCATATTAGTAACTCTGTTCAAGGGTTTCTCATGTAAATATGTGTTAGAAATATTCATGTATGTATATAAATATTTGTTTACACCTCCATAACATTCAGACAATACTTACCTGAATATCTTGCAAGTTGTCTCTAAGAACTTTGAGTTTGTTGAGATAAGTCTCTAGCACATGCTTCTTGACGTACACCACTTGGTTAGGGTAGCTTTGTGGCAGCATGCTCTCTTTAATGTTGCTTGCAACTTGCTTTGCTTTTTCTTTATTTTTGATACTCTGTGACTTCTTCAAGTTTTGAGATTTCTTCTCGTTTTTGACCTGGAAATATTTTTTTTTATTTCGATACAGGATAATTGGAAATTGGCATTGAAAACGCTGTAAAAATATATTTTATGAATTTCACAGTTCACTTTAGGATTAGAACCAGTATTATTATATTATATATATATAAAAATCAATTTCTGATTGTTGGTCTCGCTAAAACTCAAAAACGGCTAAACAGATTTGAATATATATATTTTTTTTTGTCTTGTTGGAGGTATATCAGAAATGGTTTAAATATTAAAAAATTTAGGAAAAACCCATAAGAACAACTGGAAAATCGAAAAGTTCAGAACTGGTTGTTTTGTATGAGAATCACTTCTTCGGATTACTTTCAAAAGTGGTGGACCTACCATCTACACCAATACGTCAAGTTTAAGTTAAAAATAAAAACTTTAAAAAATAAAATAAAAAGCGACTTCCAGGCACTAAAATGTAAAAAATAACTAAACGGGGGTTTTCATTTAGGATAGATTAGGTATCTATCTATCTATCACATATTTTCGAAGTCGGTGCCAGCCGATGCAAAGCAAATCTAATATATTTCGATACGTAAAACACATATTTACCTATTAGATATTCATATCTTAAAATATTGTAGCATTATACCTAGTTGAATTGCAATTTTATACCGAGTATTATAAACTTATGTTTTTGAGGTTATAAACTTATGTTTTGATATTTTACGCTTGCACTTTACAAATTATTTTGTATTGTTGTCATCACACACAGAAAAGATGGTTTTGCACTGATAGTACCTATATGTTATGTTTGTCACTTTTGTATTTGTTTGGTAGGTGAGTTTTTAAAGTATAAGAATGTAGTTGGAGCCGTTTCCGAGATTCAGATTATATATTGATATATATATATACAAGAATTGCTCGTTTAAATATATAAGATATAGTAGGTACTGAGTATATGACGGGAGGCCCGAGCGCCAAAATTTTTCAGACGACTACAATTAAAAATCAATTGGGTTTTCTGTTAACTCTAAGACCAAATTTTAAAGTTAATTTTCTTGCGCTCTTAAAATCTAAACACAGTACCATTTCAAGGGTAGAAGAATTTTTTGGCGGCCGTTTAGAATTGGGGACTTGGCCCCTAGCGGAGTGGGTGGTATTTCTGGATAAGGGACGTGATAGGGAGTCGAAATGTTAAATAAAAATTGTCCGCGAACGTATGAGTAAAAAGTTATTGAGACTTAAAGTTACAACATTTCCATACATTATTTTGACATTACTACCATTTAGACACTTGGAGTCAAAACGTCACTTTCAATTGTCAAAATGATTTCCAGATGATTGTCTTTATTTGTACTTTGCGTGAAATTCGAATTTTCTAGTTTTCTAGTCATTTATGGCACTCGCCGGCCGCTACCGCGGCACGCTCGCTTCGCTCGCTCGGCTCGTGCGTTGTGGCAACTGTTCTAACCTAACCTAACCAAGATATGAGGAATAATAAATAAATAATCTTAAATGTTCTAACCTAACCTAACCCAGATATGAGGAATAATAAATAAATAAATAATCTTAAATGTTCTAACCTAACCTAACCCAGATATGAGGAATAATAAATAAATTATCTTAAATGTTCTAACCTAACCTAACCCAGATATGAGGAATAATAAATAAATAATTAAAAATATTCACAGATAAAAAAATGATTTTTTTTACTAAATGTACAATTGTAAAACAATATATTTTACATAAATCAAATAAAAAGGCATAAATGTATTTATAAAGTGAAAATAATATTTTTCTTTTTATTTATTTATTAATATTAATATTTTACCAACAGAAAAAGCAAAAATAATCAAATATAATCTGTTGTCATTTAAGCGGTAATATAAAACAAAGTGTCAGTTTTGCTTTTGTCAAAATGTAAGATCATTTTGTTTGTGTTGTGAAATTATTAAAATATTAAATACAATAAAGCATTAATTGTTGTGAAAATGTGTAATGTACATAAAAAAGGATGCGTACTATTCGTTAAAGGTATGTTTATCTGTTGTAATCACTTATTTAGGTAAAGAAATGTATGGAAATGTGTTAGATATGTTATAACTTTAAGTCTCAATAACTTTTTACTCGTACGTTTCCTCCAAATATTTTTAATATATTTTGACTCTCTGTCACCTCCCCTATCTAAAAATACCACCCACTCCGAATGGTGGTAAAGAAATATATGAAAATGTATGGAAATGTTGTAACTTTAAGTCTCAATAACTTTTGAATCTTTTGTTGTATTAAAAAATTTATTTAACATTTCGACTCCCTATCACGTCCCTTATCCAGAAATACCACCCACTCCGCTAGGGGCCAAGTCCCCAATTCTGAATTTGTGCCAATTTTTTTGTTAATATGTATCATTAATCTAATATCCTATTGAGAAAGAGAAAGGGCTCCATATCGACTTGGGCCTAGGGCGCTATCGAACCTAAATCCACTACAGCTACACATATAATATGACTCAATATTATTTATTCATTTCACATAATCACGAAATACCATCGAAATGATCATTAAATTACTTGCGGATTTTGGCATTCTCTTCCAATTTGTTATATTACCAGCACAACAAATTATTGTACGATTTAATCTCGAATAATCTACACACAGCAAGTATGCTAAAGAGACAACAGAAATACGTGACACAGAACATCGACTAACGACTTTTTATAATCATTTTTACATCTACCCTAATTATAAAAAAATAAAACGTATGCGAATTGTATTTTTTTATATAGATAATAAAAATTGAAACATAACCGGAATCAACAAAGTTTTTATAAGTTGGTTTTTTTTATCGTACGACTAAAATATTTTTACTAAACAAGACCATTAGGACAGAATTGTCCCCAAGCAAAGTTCAAGTGGCATCAAAAATCAAAAGGCAGTGGTAGCCCAGTGGTAACGCGCTCGCTTGAGAAACCGAGTGAAGCTGGTTCAAATCCCGGGTCTCGCACCTCTGATATTTTCATGTGCGAATCATTTCTAACATGATTACCACTTGCCTTACGGTGAAGGAAAACATCGTGAGGAAACCTGCATGTCTGAGAGAACTTAGCAAGTTTTCTAAAGACATGTGAAGTCCGCCAACCCGCACTTGGCCAGCGTGGTGGACTATGGCCTGATTCCCCTCGTACTGAAGGGAGGCCCGTGCCCAGCAGTGGGACGATAAAAAGGGCTGAATACACAAAGTTCAAGTTTCGTTTTAATAAAATGAGTTAAGCCTAAAATAAATTGTACGTTGTTCTGCGATGTAAATAGTGGTTAAATAACAAACTGCTATTTTCATAGCGCCGGATAACTGTAATAAATCTTCGAGATATTCCTTGTTTCTTCTTCAGCATTACAACCAATTCATGACATCTCTCACTTTCACAATAAAACGCGCGGGAAAAATATCAATCACCGCCTTTTCTTTTTCATTTTTCATTAGTTGAATGATTGATATTTAAAAAATAAAACCAAGTTTATCATAATATCTGTGTGCATTCACGCAAGAAGTACTGAACCAATTTTAACTAAATTTTGTGTAGTGATAACTTATAAGTCGGGTCCAAGTTTATGATACCTTATACTTCAGGGTAAAACTTTCACCCTCACGGGAAAACACAAGAACTAGTTTTGTTGAGTCGTCTTTAGTACCTGACTAATAACATTGGCTAAACCTTAAAAGATATATAAAAAAAATGTGCTAGAAAATTGTAGATCTTTTAAAGGCCTACAGAAAAGTTGGCAATAATATACTGGTATGTATGTCTCCTACGGTATACTCGCAATAACTATTTATATCTATATAAAAGACAGCTAGGGATGCACACGAGCGAAGCAAGGGTAAGTCGCTAGTATTTGATATAAAAATAACATTCACATTTTTCTAACGATAACAAGGGATGTTGACGCCAATGCGGTGATATCGAGAAGCAAATTATTATTAACTTTTATTTACAATTTACAATGTAATATTATATTAAAAAGAATAAATAAATTGTAAAAAAAATATATGAATCTTTTTTTGCTTACTTAATAAACTCATTTTTTTAGTACTAGCGTGTAACCTACTTTGCGACAATATTACAAAAAAAAATACATAATTAATCAATATAATAAAATTCTAACTGAGCCGAATCTGTACATGAAATCCCGAATCTATAATTTTTAGTTTTTTTGTCTGTCTGTCTGTCTGTCTGTTACCGTATCACGGAAAAACCACTGGACGGATTTTTATAAACTTTGGTATGATGACACCTGGTTATCCGGGTCAACATATAGGATACTTTTTATTGCGGGAAAATATCTCATTTCTGAGAAATTTATACTAAACGTTAAAATGTATGTGTCTGTCTGTCTCTTACCGCATCACAGAAAAACCACTGGAGGGTTTTGATAAAATTTCGTATAGTGATAGCTGGTTATCCGGGTCAACATAATATAGGATACTTTTTACCGCGGAAAAATATCTCATTTCTGAAAAAAATACAAAAACTGCAATGTAAGAGTATACTAATATGTAAAACCTAAGAATTTGGTTTTTGGTTATCTGAACGCGGGCGGAGCCGCGGGCAATGCTAGTTAATCAATAAAGTATAAACAACCAAACAAAAACATCTTGCCACTTGCTTTGCAGAAGGAAGTCTTTTTTTTAAATTGCAATACTGTATAATGTTTATATAGAAAAAAATTAAAACTTACCTCATCTTCATCGTCACTGGGGGTGTCCATTTTGAAAAAACATCGATGTTTTTTTCGATTCGATAAATCAGAACTGTACATCGATGTCTTTCGATGTATCGGGTGAAAATTTATTACAGAAACGCAGTTAAGTTTTTATTTTTCAAATAAGATAAATAACATATATATATATATATATATATATATATATATATATATATATATATATATATATTTAATATTACATGTACGTACTACCTAATAAATCGTTTTCGGGAATCCTTAAAAGCAACTTGCAACCTATATTTGAGTTCACTACTATAATTTTCTGGGCTATACACAGGTTCTATTGTATTAGATAATCTATTGGGAATATTGCACTGCGTACCAAATACAAGTTCAAACGGTTGGTATTTTGTTTCGGTATGGACTGTGGTATTAAAACTAAAACACCAATATGGTATCCAATAAGACCAAGATTGTTTGTCTTTGTCGCAGTGAATTGGTAAGAATGAACCTAAATTTTCAACCTACTTCTAAAAGGAGGAAGTTCTCAATTCAACTGTATTTTTTTTTCTGTTTGTTACTTCAGAACTCCGTCATTTATTAACCGATTTGGACAATTTTTGTATTGTTTGAAAGGGTATACTTCCAGATTGGTCCCATTTAAATTTAAAAAAAAAATACCACCCCTAAGGGTGGTAAAACAACTAATGATGAATTTAACCTACTTATAATTGTCATATTGACTTGAAACTTTGCAAGTATTTCTATTTCCGTTGATAGTACAGTGGTTCGGTGTTGTTGACCTGATCTGATGGCAAGGCCAGAAGGTGGATAGGTGGAACTCTTCAACGGCTAATAGTAGATACTTTGAGTTTAGGCTTATTTTGTTTGATTTGACAAGCCTAACACGTTAGAATTCTTACTTTGCTACTACTGCCTACACTAAAAAGGGAAAAATAAACTTTTTAACAAAAAAATAAAAACCGACTTCAAACAAAAGCACTAAAAAGTAAAAAATAACTGATTGGTAGTTTTCATTTACTATACATACCTAATCAAATATTTTCGAAGTCGGTGTGCTTTGGCTAAGTAATTAAAGCCTACCTATTAGATACATACCTAATCAAATATTTTCGAAATCGGTGCCAGCCCATACCAAGCAAAACTGATTACTCGGATACAAATCCGAGTAATCAGATTTATCGGATCTAATGTGTTTTGTGAATACCCTATGGGTATTCACTTTGCAGGATGGCCGATGTTACGCGCCGCTAGTTTATTCCAAGACTAGCGGCTCACCCTCGCTTCGCTCGGGTTCACCTCTAGAAAAGCACAAAAAGATCTATCCCACGGGAACCGTTCATTTTTCCGGGGTAAAAATAAAATAAATAAAATAAAATAAGTAACCTGTTGTTTGAGCTGCATTATAAGGTATAGGTATCGGCATGCCAAATTTTACTAAATTAGGTGCATAAGTTGTTGTGTACTGAGCTGTATAAGTTACTATAATTTTTTAACTATCCCACGGGAACTCTTTAATTTTCCGGAATGAAAAGTATCAAATTTCATTTAAATAGGTTCAATAGTATCGGAGAGTAGCCCGTACGAACAGACAAACAGACAGAGAAACAAAAAAATTGAAAAAATCTGGATTTGTTCTATTTCTCTCCTTACGGGATGTAAGAAGAGAACTGACTCGTTTTTTAGCAATTTTTTCTACCATCTATGTACAGACATTCGACCTCTACAGTTTTATTATTCATATATGTACCTATATTCAAATAGAATAAATAACGTATAATAAAACAGAAATATATAATAATGAAAATAGTTATAGCGAGTGTACCTTAGGAGATAGACATATACTATGTAGAACTTTTCTATAGACCTTTTTAAGACTTACAATTTTCTTGTACAATGTTTTGATCTATCTCTTAAGGTTGAGCCAACGTTAGCCATATAAATTTCTAAGGACAATTCGATAGAACCAGTTATTGTATTTTCCCGTGGGAATGAGTAATTTGCCTGTCGTAAAAAGTATTCTAAATGTTGACCCGAGCACTAAGTTTTATGACTACAAAGTTAAGTTAAAATTGGTTGAGTACTTTTTGCGTGAAACACGCACATCGATTTGACTAAGTTTTATTATAGGTATAGATAAGAATAAATATTGCGAGTGTAACTTAGAAGATAGACATATACTATTCACAACTTTTCTGTAGGACTTTTCAAGACCTACAATTTTTTAGTATATTGTCTTGATGTATGTCTTAAGGCTTAGTCAGAGGAAGGTTTCTAGGGAGGACTCGATAAAACCAGTTATTGTATTTTTCCGTGGGAAAGAAAGATTTTCTTTAAGTAAAAGGTATCTAGGCAGTGGTATCCCAGTGGTAACGCGCTCACTTGGGAAACCGAGTGATATTTTCATATGCGAATCATTTCTAACACAGTTACCACTTGTCGTAACGGTGAAGGAAAACCTGCATGTCTGACATAACCTAGCAAGTTTTCGAAAGACATGTGAAGTCCACCAACCCGCACTTGGGCAGCGTGGTGGACTATGGCCTGATCCACCTCGTACTGAAGGGAGGCCCGTGCATGTGTTAAAAAGGGCTGAATACAACATACATACATACAAAAGGTATCCTAAATGTTGACTCGAGTAATAAGTTATCACTTCACCAAATTTCGTTGAAATTAGTACATTACTTTTCGCGTGAAACGCACACACAAAAACAGACATACAGGCAAACAGACAATTAGGAAATTTTTTAATAACTATTGTTTTGGGGTCTATGTTGTGTACATAATACGTTACAAATAAACAAAAACATCTACCCCACGGGAAAAGTACAATTTTCCGGGATAAAAAGTTACCTATTTGTTATTCTGATGTATGAACTATCTTATTGTAAAGTTTCATCAAAATCCAATCAGTTATTTTGCGTACTAAGCTGTATAAGTTACTATAGTTTTTTGACTATCCCACGGAAACTCTTTAATTTTCCGGGATGAAAGGTAGCTGATTTGTTTATGTCATGTATGAACTATATTATTGTAAAGTTTCATTAAAATCCAATCAGTAGTTTTTGTGTACTAAGCTGTATAAGTTGTTATAGTTTTTTAACTATCCCACGGGAACTCTTTAATTTTCCGGGATGAAAAGTATCTAAGATGTTGTCCGGGGATATAAGATACCACCATGCAAAATTTCATTTAAATAAGTCCAATAGATCCGGAGATTAGCCCGTACAAAGAGAAAAACAGATAAACAGCTCGCTCGGGTTCGTCCATACATACGAATATGTTGTATTATCTCTTTAACCATTTGTCCAAATTATATGCAGTAAAAGGGAAAAGTCTTTTATTTTAAACATTTTAGACGATAAATTTACTTATTTTGATAAGAATTCATAATTGTTGATAATATGACCAATAAACATGACGTACCGATTTAAATTATTTTTTTAATATAAAAAACTACTTTTTAAATAAAACTATCTTTTCGGATTTTGTCGCGGATTTATTTGGATTTTTGTTTCCCGACGTTTCGAATGCTTTACAGCATCCATGGTCACGGGAGAGAGTTCAGTCTCTCCCGTGACCATGGATGCTGTAAAGCATTCGAAACGTCGGGAAACAAAAATCCAAATAAATCCGCGACAAAATCCGAAAAGATAGTTTTATTTAAAATGTCAAATATTCGCGTAAATCTAAGAAAGTATTAAGAAAGTATTATAAAAAACTACTTTTTGTGACTTAAATATAAAAGTTAGACATATGCTGTCGCTGACTTTTTTGTAGGTATTATTAAGCTCTACAACTTTTCTCTAGAACATAATCATATATCTCTCATCGTTAAGGCAGCGTTCGTAAGAAACGTTTTCGTTCGACCGTTTTTTCTCCGACTTACTTTGCAAATCCGACTACCACGAAAAAGCCTTTTCATTTTTCGGGTTAATATATAGCCTATGACACTCAGAAAGAACGTGGCTTTCTATTGGTAAAAGAATTTTGAAAATCGGTTCAGTAGATCCAGAGATTACCCCCTACAACGTCACAAACTCACAAGATCACAAACTTTACCTCTTTATAATAATAGTATAGACATCAAGTACGTCTTCATACAACTTCAAGTTGAATAGTTTGTATAAAAATCTGACGCGCTCGAGTATTTCAAGGTCACTTTTTTTTACATTTTCAAAAATCGGTCAGGACTTTCGGTCGTGTCCAAATCCTCGGTCATTTGAATTAAGACACTTTTGAATTCACATAACATTCCCTCTGAATATCTGACACGCTCGAATAACTTTTTTTTCTACCCCTTTTTACTAGTGACACGTCAGATTAATATCTCTCGGTTATCGGAAAGACAAAGCGTGTATACACTTTGAATGTCTGACGCGCTCGAGTATCTTCATGATGACTTTTTTTACATTTTTGAAAATTTGTACATTTAAAAAAAACCACCAGCACATTTTTCGCAAAATTTATCAAAACTTTATCCATTTGATGCAAAATTTCGACAACGGGGCGGCATTTCTTACAGTGGCCCAGGGGCGGCGCTAGCGCCGGTTGAATCGGGCACTGAGTACCTACATAATACAGGTTGTCCATCAATCGTTAGATGTTCAAAATGAAAGCAATTATAAATTATGCAGCATTTTTATTTGATTGCGTCATACAAACGAGAAAATTTAAACACTAGTACAATATTATGCAAAACTGTTATCTACATAAAACCTTTCATTACACTTTTGTATAAATAATTTAATAATGAACATAGTAGTGTATATTCTACAAAAATAAACTAAATAAAAAAACATATCGTCAAAAATATTGTCTTCACGTACCGCTTGTTGTCACAATCATGTCACCAGTGAAATACATTATACCAATTAAAAATAAGTACCAAATAATGAAAATGACAAATTATAATTTAGTAACAAAAGTTCATTATATTTTATATATCTTACAATCACATGTCAAAGAGCGTCGTGGTTAAATATAATTAATTAGTAACAGAGGTTATATGACACAAGTCAGCTGCCACGGTGGGTACGACCGCGTGGCGACCACGACGCGACCGCTGGCATGGCAACTGCCGCGTTACAGGTTAGTTTACAGCTAGAGGTATATTAATGCCCAACGATTACAAAACTCGCGCAGGGTACACATATAAGGCAAATATTGACGAGCAGCCACAGAGCAGCCACAAAGCAGCCACACAAGCCCGGCTGCGCTCGTGTGGCTCTCGCTCTGCAGCTTGACTAGAGGAGCCGCCCGGTATTGCAACTCGCAACTCGTGATTATTAACAAATTAAATTACAATCACCTACAAATAAATAGCACATTTTCTTAAAATATAATTCATCTAAAACATGAGAAAATAAAATCACAATGCAGTGTCTTGAGCATGAAACACGTTAAACAAATATAAATACACATTCAATGATCTTACAATAAAATAATTAGCCTAAATTATAAATAAATTTGCACCATGAATGTTTCAAGAAATGAAACCAGTAATGTATTCAGAGTTGCGGCCGACGCGTCACGCGACGTGCGACGTGCGACTGCAAGCTTTCAACAAGTACGGTCGAGCTTTCCCGAAACTAATATATAAAGTCGCGCAGCGGCTCTACGTCCGTCCACCTGTGTTTGTGTGTGCGCGTGTGTGTGTGTGTGTGTATGTGTATGTGTGTGTATGTGTGTGTATGTGTATGTGTGTGTATGTGTATGTGTGTGTGTATGTGTGTGTGTATGTGTCCGAGCCGCTGTCGACGCTGAACGTATTATACTAACTTGTGATGCGGATGACAACCACAGCCGCAACAGTTATCAGTCGAAAATAAACTTCATCTATAAGTGTATTTTGACATACCCGCTCTATTTATAATCATAAGTCTCGTCTATACGCTACCTATATGCTAATATAAAGATTCTAAAAAGAATTTTTGGTGGTTATATCTCGTACATTACGACTAAATGAGATTTGGCCGCTCATCGGTGGCGGCGGCGACACGTGAGCGCGACGATATGATGCAACACGTTACGGTACAAGCGGCCGGAAGCGTCGGCGTCCCGTCGGGACGAAAGCACAGCACTCGACACACGCACACGACCAGCGTCCGTCCCGCGTATCGCGCCCGCAGCGCACGTGTCCCGACATGTCCACCCCACACCTCCCCCCTCCACCTCCGTTCTACCGCTCCTCCACTTCGCCTCCACCTCAATGTTCCAATGAATCGAATCTGTGATGATCGAAAGTTCTAATTTGCGAACGCAACCAAATATATACGATCTATTCGGTATTATATGGTGTGGTTGGTGTATGGTGATGAGTGGTGCGAGTGGGGGGTGAGTGGGGCGACAGTGCGCCTACGAGTGTATGTCCGCGGGCTTGGCGGAGGTGCACACGTAGACGTAGTCGCCGTCGGAGGGCGGGCGCGGGCGGGGAGGGCGGGGCGGTTGGCGCTAGGCGGGCGCCACCTGCCACACGATAAGGTGGCTGCGCGCGGCGCGCTCGGCCAGCGAGCTGTGCCCGCTCGACGACCCGTCCTCCGCCGCCACCACGCTCTCCTCCATCTCCGAGTCCGCTGTGAACACGATGAAAACCAATCATTACCTACTAAATATGTCGTAAATATATTGCTATTACGCCGGGATACAAAAAAAGCATAATATTTGGTGCACCATTTGTTATGACCTAAAATTAACAATGTAGGTAAATAGCTATTTAAATATATGATCCGCTCTGGACCAATCAGCTCGAATTTACCAGATACTCTAATTTCATGTTTTGCGATCTTCATTGTTAAAAACGAGTCTTGCGATAACTTAAATCAATTTTATTTAAAAAAAAAAACTTGGTTTCAAAGTTTTTTCATACAAACTACAGAATGCGAACTACAGAACTAGACTTTTTTCCACTTGCTGAAACAAAAACAAATGTATCCCACGGGAACCGTACATTTATCCGAGACAAAAGTAACCTATGAGCTATTCCAGACTATAATCTATCTCTGTGCCAAATTTCATCCAGACACGTTCAACTGTTCTGGCGTAATTGAGTAATAAACATCCATCCATCCAAACGTTCGCATTTATAATATTTATTAATGGGATATTGCATATACATCGCTGCATTTTTTTTTGTTAGTGAGAAGACTAGTGTCTAGTTTTTGATAATAGTAAAATAATCTGGCTATAGTTTTTTTTTTGGAGCAGTTGGACTAAGTCACGACACTTTAGTTGGTAAAGAAAATGTGAGAAACAATAGCTCAGTTACGGATGAAAGAATCATACCTGTGGATGTTAAATTTCATTTAATAAAACAGTTGTAGAAATCTGTTGACAAAAAAGAAGCACTCATGTGGAAATCCTTTGTGGAGGTTACTTAAAATTTCCTTGAGAATAAGTAGGCTCCTAACTACGTGGAGTTGATGAATAACGTAATTGGACGCTTAAGAGATTTAGGCTGTAACGTGAGCATCGAGGTAACGTCCCTTCATAGAGGCCGTATCGATCATTGCTGAGACTAATGCGAAGAGCAACTCGAGCGCTTCCATTATTTAGGACATAACTATCCATACATATAATAAAATTGTAACCAAGCCGAATCTGTACATTAAATATTTTTTGGAAAATCTTAATGAAATAGTCATTATTATCGATACAGAGGCCGAATCCATAGTTCTTAGAATTTTTGTCTGTCTGTCTGTTACCGCATCACGAGATCTACTAGACAGATTTTAATGAACTTAGGTATGGTGATACCTGGTTATCCGGGTCAACATATAGGGTACTTTTTACTGCGGGAAAATATCTCATCTTTGAGAAATCTATACTAAACGTTAAAAAGTATAAATAAAATCACAGAAAAAGCGACTTCTTTGTGACGTCTAAAATAAAACTGATTTTCTTTTGGATGAAATCGATTCTACCTTTATTTTTTAAACAAGACCTGATTCAAAAAAATAACTTTACTTTTGAGATCACTATAATAGATATACTCTAAATTATCTTTTAAAAAATTGCTTGCACAAAATGTTTTTTTTGTACCACTTTGATAATTATTTGTTACAATTTACACAAACTACACTGTAAGAATCGGTACTATATGCTGTATATTTCGAAAGCTCCAGGATGTTCTTACAAATGACATTGACATCCTGCAGTCTTTGAATTTTATAATTAGCAATATACATGTTAGCTGAAGTAACATACATGGGTTATACATAAATATTAGATATTATAATTTGAAGTGTGCAGCAGTACACTGAGAGTCCATGTAGTGTCAGTAGAGATGGTTCCCCAACGGCCCTGGTGTGGGTGAGTGTGGGGTGAGTATGGGATGGATGTGGGGTGAGCGTGGAGTGCGGGGTGGCGGATAGCGCATGCGTGTCGCAGTCGCGCGCCAGTTAGTGCGAGGCCCAAGCGACATGCTCTTCGTGATTTAAACTCAAAGGACGTACCGGTCACGACTAGATACTGTTTTATTGCCTTATACTCTATCAGGTACGTTCAGGAGTCAACAATCTGCCAAACTATGAGGTGGGAGGCGGTATCTCGGACGTCATCCGCATGCTCTTCTAATGGCAAAAAATATAAAGGCGTCCGATAAAAACAAATGCTCGCACTGTCCTTCCACCAACATGTACGAAGCCGGCGCCAAACACTACTGAATGACGACCGACCTTGTTACATTTTAGTGGAAAACTTGCTTTAATTTATAAAAACAAAAAATACAGCATTTACGGGATAGTAAGCAAAACTAAATATATTGTCAGATTGTAAAGTTCCAATTCGAACTCGTCTCAAAACTGTTAGGTCCTTATATATGAAATTGACGTTTTATATGGAAAACGCAAAACGAACCAAAAAAAATGAAATTGCATATTTAATCAATCAAAATATGTACCATTGTTATATGTGTAGTTCATTGATACCTTTGTTGAAAAAAATATGGGAGCGAGAGAGCTACGGTGGAACTCGTATGAACGTAAATAATGCGATATATTAAATTTTCCATATTGTGAAGAAAGCGATGTCAAAGAAAAATCAAATAGCGGAAAACAAATGAATCACTAAATTCGAAACACAAATACACAAAACCTAAATTTGAAATAAATTTGAATTTGGAATTTCTTACTGAACGCCAGATATTTGAGGTCAAAGTGGCCAGTTCGACAAAACACCAATTTCATACGTAAGGACCTAAAATATACTCGTAAGAGTTTTTAACAAAAAAAATATTTCTACTTACTAATTACTAAACTAAACATTACTCGCTATTCTATAACATTATACCCCTCCATGACATATTACAAGCGTAGAAAATAAATGTAACAAAAAATAAATGGTTGTGAAAGCGGGATATAAGCGTCGCCCCCACGCCGGCCCCGCGCGCCTAAGGCGGGCCGCGGGCGGGGCCGGTGCAAGGGTGACCGTCCAGCGTCAACATCAACGGTATAATAATGCTCTCAACGCTTTGAGTGATCGTGATGTTAGTTGATATAATTGCGTTAATTTGGTTTCTTTTAAAATGAAGTTCAGGCGACTGGCGATCTAAGTGTGGTTAGAAAACGAGAACGTGAGTGTCGGTGAGGACGCGGGTCGGGGCGAGGTGAGTGAGATTTGCTTTACCTATTCTGAAGTCGATGTATCCCTCGCCGCCGGATATGACGAGCATGGGCGGCGTGGGCGCTGGGGCGGGGGCGGGCGCCGGGGTGGGGGCGAGGGCGTGCTCGGGCGAGGCAGCGGGCGAGGGCGCGGGCGTGGCGGCGGCGGCGGCGGCGGCGGGCGCGGCGGGCGGCGACGCGGGCGAGCGCGGCGGCGCGGCGCCCGGCACCGCTACGAAGAACGTCACGGCCTCGCGGTGCCCGTGGAAGCTGAGCTGTGCGTGCGCCATCGAGCACAGCGGGATGTGGCCGGGGGCGGCGGCGGAGGTGTCCGAGAGCGGCACGGAGATGACCACGCCGTTGCTGGTGCCGATCCAGAGGCGGCCGGAGCTGATGAGCAGCGCGGTGATGCGCACGAGCGAGAAGCCCAGCTTGCCGGTGCCGAGCATCTTGCTGACGTAGGGCTCGATGTCGACGTCCTTGAGGTGCACGTAGGTGGTCGCGTGGTAGAGGCGCAACGCGGAGTCCATCTTGATGGAGACCCAGACGCCGTCGCGGTGCGCGGCCAGCTGGCGCACCTGGCTCTCGCGGCGCGGGTGTGCGTCGAGCGCGTGCAGCACGCGGCGCGCGCCCGGCGCCACCACCAGCACGCGGTTGCGGTAGCCGCACCACACGGCGTCACCCACCGCCGCCAGGCAGCGCACCGAGCACTTGGGGTCACCGAGCGCCACCAGCCAGTAGTGCGCCAAGTCCCAGGCGGCGCCGCGCCGCGCGAACACGGCGATGCTGCCGTCCGCCAGCGCCACCACGCAGCGCGACGCGCACCACACGATCGACAGGATCGCGTCGTTCAGCTTCACCCTACACATATACTACAGTGTAACAAGCGTCTACGTACTACGTTCTCTTATTTAAAACATATTAATAGAGTGGTCAAAAAACTTAGTAAAAATAATGATCGACTTTTAAACTAGCAGTCGTCTGTGCTAAATAAATGAATATCTCCAATTGAATCAAGATCCGGCTGCAAAATTGCTACATTCGTAGCGTATTTAATCAAAATCAATTTTTATATCCATACTTAATATTATAAATGTGAAAGTGCGTTTGTTTGTTTGTCCTTCCTTCACGTCGAAACGGAATGACGAATTGGCTCGATTTTTTGTGTGAAGATAGTTGGAAGGCTAGAGAGTAAGTAACATAGGCTACTTTTTACTGTGGGAGTTTCCCTAATTCCCACGGTAAAACACTTTATAATACAATCCTAAAAATATTTATGATCAGAATTACATGAAACTAGGTATTAATGTTCTTCAATAAAATTAAATAAATACGTGTTTTAGAATTTTACGAATCCTATAGGGCGGTAAAATAATGCATGAAAGTTTGTATGAAACTACTTTTATAGTTTTTGACCGCGGTGCCTGTTATAATGTGCCCGCTAGTATGTTTAATTAAAAAAAAAATAATTGTCTTTTTAAAACAAAAACGATGCATTTGTTATTAAAATGAATTATACTCCACTTCACAGAAATATACGTAGAGATCTTAAAAAGTGATAGCTGCCGTTGCGCACTTGGCCGCAACCTCTCCGCAGCCAGGTGTAAGCAGGTCATATTTTGTTGCATTTATATGTTCATGGCGTGTATAGATTATAATATCAAATTAAAGCATTTTTTCCTGTGCATGATAAAATACCACTACCTATGTAAAAGGGGCCGCAAAGGAAAGAATAGAAGGAAAGAATATAATATTATATATAAGTACCTGGGCGACCGAGCCTTGCTCGGAGTGTTTGGCCAAAAAAAACATTAAAAAAAAACAAACTAAGAATTTGAATAACTACAAAAAAAAACAGAATTAAAAACTTTGTGTCCGACCGGGATACGAACCCAGACACCTGTGGTTGTCAAATTTGCGCATTGGCCGCTTGACCATGATGCTTATATCTGAGCATGCGAAATTATCGAACATAATATTTTGCGTGGAATTATTAATTTATTGAAATAATGCAAAAGGAATCATAATAATAATAAAGCTCTATTTATTTATTCATTTATTTATTATAAAGGCTTACTAACTAAATTTACATAAAAACATTTATTTAACATTAGGTATAATTTTACCTATTTGTATATAAATTTAATTTAAAAGTATGCACAGCTTTTTATAAAAGTATTCCATTATAATTTTATTTCGTTAAGAGTATATAAGGAGCCATTTTAGTTGTACAATAAACAAAAGAAGAAAAAAAAACTAATCTAAATATTTAAATACACTTTCTTTTTAAATAAATTTAAACTATCAGAAAAAATGTCTATATTACATTGCTGAAATATAAAATTATATAATTTAGTGACTATTTATTAACTTATAATTTTTTAACTAATAATTTTGTAATCTGGAATTAAATTATTTTAATTTTTTTTAATATTATTTGAAATTATATTGTATATATATAAATTATCATTAACAAATAAATAAACAATGACAGTAAATTAAATAATTCAATTGAGTAAATACTAAACATTTTACAATAATACATATAAATAAAATTTCTTTCCATACATTAATTCTGACAATAGTTATAAATTAGGTATTTAATTTCATAATTAAATGTATTTATTTAGTAAATGTCTTTTTCATGTATAGACCCCTCTCGGTTAAAAGCCTCCTCCAAAGTAGTCCTGCATAGAGCTCTCCGTTGGAGATTATGCTTGTATGATTGCAAAGGGTTTCTTTTCAAATTTTGTTTCCAATATACTATAATTTGTTTCTGATATGCCTATAAAGTTTATAATTTTATCTTTGTGTTCTTTTGATTTGTTGTAGGAAATGCTGCTTTTAATTCTAGAAGTTTTTCTGGTGAAGATATGTATTACCTTTGTTCATTGTATGTCTGTTTTTCTTTGGAGGGTTACGGTCGAACTCCCCCACAGTGAACTGCCGTACCAGGGGAAAAAAATGAGAAGGTTCCTACTGTGTTTAATATACTGTATCTTGCTGTGTTGTTTTTAGTTCTTCCTGGTTATCATTTGTGTGGTTGAAAGTTAATTTTGGTTTTTGTAATATAAAGTCTTTAATATTAGCAGGTTTGGTTTTCTTTGTATGTTGTTTATTTGTTAGTTTTTGTTTATAATTGAGGTAATGCGTTTCTGAAGATACAGGCAGACTTTTTTTTTTGAGTATTAGCGAGACATGTTCTTATTATTATCCACAATAATTAGTTTGTCATATTTAATGAAAGCTGTTTTGCCTAGGTCTTTTTCTTTATCTTCAGTTGGGCTTGTAACTCCTTGTGTTTGTTTAAGACTTTATTTTTTCCTCTAGTTCATGATAGGATTTTTCACCTTTTTCTACTCCGAACATAACCAAGTTCTTGCGCCTAATTGTCTTTCTAAATTATTTATTGAGGATTTTTTTATTTCTAAGTGTTTAAATTTCTCATTTAAGTATATTATTGTTGATTGTATTTTTAATGTCTTCTTTCATTTCTAACATTTCTGTTTTCTGCTGTCTTATTTCTTGTTGTATGTTTATTAGCAACTTTTTTATCTCCTCCATCTTAAGTGTGAAGTCGGAAGTAGAAAAGCTGATTGAAAAAGAGCACCAATTATACCTTGTTGAATTGCAATTTTATACAGAGTATTAGTTTTTGAGGTTATAAACGTATGTTTTAATATTTTACGCTTTCACTTCACAAATTATTTTGTTTTATTGTCATCACACACAGAAAAGATGGTTTTGCACTGATAGTATCTTTAAGTTATGTTTGTCACTTTTGTATTTGTTTGGTAGGTGAATTTTTAAAAGCTGATTTGTTCTTCAACACATCAAGACTTGGTGATGTTTACATATTGCCCATAGGTTTTATTTAAAAATTTACTTAGATTAGATTTAATTTTTCTTTAGATTATTTTCACTTAAATATATTTAAACTTGATGTAAATACGGACACGATGTTGACAGTTGCACAGTGGCGCCGCCCACTCACCAGAAGTGACAATGCAAAAATTGTGAAAATGCAAAAGAAAATCGCATGAAAATTCGAAAATTTGCGTTTTTCCAGATATAAGACTAATCTAGATCGATTTATCGCCCCCGAAACCCTCTGTATGCTGAATTTCATGAAAATCGTTGGAGCCGTTTCCGCGATTCAGATTATATATTGATATATATATATATATATATATATATATACAAGAATAGCTCGTTTAAATATATAAGATTTGTCAGACAATATCAACGGTTATCATGGCAGCAAACAGTTAACTCACACGCTAGCTCTCTTTCACTTTAATGTATTTAAGCCTATGACATTTAGAAATAACGTGGCTTTCTATTGGTAAAAGAATTTTCAAAATCGGTTCAGTAGATCCAGAGATTACTCCCTACAACATCACAAACTCACAAACTCACAAGATCACAAACTTTATAATATTAGTACAGATAAATAAATATATTCATAAAAAAATGTATTATTATGTGTACATCTATACTTATAATAAATCTGTATAGAGGTAAATTCTGTACATGAAATATATTTTCGAAATAAGTATCATTGATTAGGGATTAGGGATCGATACTGATGCCAAAAATGAATTCAGCAAAATTTTTGTCTGTCTGTCTGTATAACCGTTATAGAAACAAAAACTACTCGACGGATTTTAACGAAACTTGGTACAATTATTTTTCATACTCCTGAGCTGGTTAAAGTATACTTTTCATCACGCTACAATCAATAGGAGCAGAGCAGTGAAGGGAAATGTTGGGAAAACGGGAGAAGTTACTCCATTTTTTAAGCTTCCGTCTCGTGTGCAACCTTATTGGTTAAAGCTACACAGAAATCATGTATGACGGAAATGTTCTCCTTAAAATTATATAAAAAATATCCCACGACAGCTTATGTCTATCTTTTATGGTTGACTCACAATAACACGTGTAACTCCCGATAGCTTAGCAGTTCGAAGCTTTCTGATTTATATTTGTCTTCTCTTACGTTTATAACACTCTCAGTTATCCCTAATTAAAAAAGTTAACATTATTAACTATTCCATAAAAAATAATAATAATGAGGTACTAAACATTATGCCCCTGATGTAAAAATGTATCTTATGATATACAAAGCGATACGTTGTTAAAAATATAATATAATACAAAAATTATTCGTCTTAAACATATGTTTACAATCGTTTTTTCAAACATAATAGGTTTTCAATTGTTTTTATAAGCTTTAAGTAAATAACAAAAATTATATAGATAGATAAGAGGAAAGATTAGATTTTTGGTTTGTTTGTACTGGATAGACTCCGAATCTACTCGACCGATTTAGATGAAAGGTAAGAAGATATTTTTAGACCCTTGGAAGGACATAATATAGTTTTTATCCCGGAAATCATCCCTAATGGGGTGAAAATCTGGATGAAATTTTGTATGAGGAGTCGACCTAGGGACGAACCCGAGCGAAGCGAGGGTGAGTCGCTAGTAATATAATAAAATTGTAAAAGTCGAATCTATACATTAAATATTATTAGGGAAATCTTATTGAAATAGACAATATTATCGATACAGAGGCCGAATCTATAGTTTTTAGAATTTTGTCTGTGTGTCTGTCTGTGACCGCATCATGGAAAAACCACTGTAGGGATTTTGATGTGGTATGATGATAGTTGATTATCGGGCTCAACATATAGGATATTTTTACTGCAGGAAAATATCTTATCTCTGAGAAGTGGCGAAGATTCCATACTTTAGTATGGAAACGTTGAAACCTAAGTAGGGACGAACACGAGCGGAGCGAGGGTGAGCCGCTAGTAAAAATATAAACATAACATATTTTTCTAATTATTAATAACTAACAGCTCACTCTCGCTTCGCTCGTATTCGCCTCTAGAAAAGCACAAACAGATCTATCCCACGGGAACCGTTCATTTTGCCGGGATTAAAACTATTCTGTTGTTTGACTGGAAGTATAAGGTATCAGTATGCCAAATTTTACTCAATTAGGCGCATAAATTATTGTGTCCTAAGCTGTATAAGTTACAATTGTTTTTAACTATCCCACGGGAACTCTTTAATTTCCGGAATGAAAAGTATCTAAAATGTAGATCGGAGATATAAGGTATACCACCGAGCAAAATTTTATTTAAATCGGCCTAACAGTTTCGGAGATTAGCCCGTACAAACAGACAGAGAAACAAAAAAAATGAAAAAAAAAAATTTTTTTGTTCTATTTCACTTCTTATATCCACCTAATTCGGGTTTTAGCATTTTTTTCTATCTACAAACATTGTACTTCTACAGTTTTATTATATGTATACTCGTAGATAAACTTGACTCTCACTTCTGTGGCACAAATTTTTCCAATGTATTGACTTACCCTTCAGTCATGCATAAACAAGTTTTACTTCAAAAATGCAACTACATTATGCTCTAATTATGTTACTTTTTGTTTGGGCAACAAGGAAAACTCCAAAATTTTCTTCCAACAAATCAGTTTATTACGTTACCGTGGGCGTTAGATGCGTGAAAACTTTTTAAACCTATATCACTGACTCATAGGGAAAGTCTGATAACATTTACGGGGGAGACCCCACATACGAGGGGGTTTCTCAGTGCCATTAAAACTTCATGTTCTTTGTATATAACGTTCCAATCGAATATAAATGATTAGAAATACGAGTCAAGAGGAGAAGAGCATCAAATGGTTTTAAATTAATTTGAAATAATCCAAATAATTTTGTGATATTACATAAATAGTACTCCATTTGTAGCTAGTAGTACGCGTCGTACTGTAGCGCAAGTAGTAACAAGTTACCTTGCCAAGCATTTGCTGTAGTTGGCGACGGCGGAGTGCACGTACAGGTTGCCGCTTTTGGTGCCAAGCCACATCGTGGCCCCGGCGGTGGCCTCCCCTACACCCTCCCCCTCTCCCACGCCCCCGCGCGCCTCCGACTGCTCCTGCGCGAACGCGTCCACGCCGGGCTCGGGCGAGCTCCTGCCAACTGCCACGGGAACTGTTCAATCAGAATATTAATGGTAAAAACGTCCACTTCTCAATTATTTAGCGCGGTGGACGAAGTCTGCCGCATTGGAACACATTCGACCGATGTGAATCGACTGTGGGCGGGTGAGGACGATAACATAGATAGAGGCACGCACCGTTGACGGGCGTGGAGGAGAGCGGCGGACTGTCGGCGAGGGCGGAGTCCGCCTCGCCCGCCTCGCGCGCCTGTCCATCGGCCTCCGCCACGCGCGCGTCCGCCGCGGGCGGCGCCTCCCGCACAGGCGTGCCGGGCGGCGTCAGCAGAGTTGCTTGTACCTGCGTTACACAAACATAGATAAGGTAATTACCTCCAGCCGGCTAAATAGCCTCATCACTAACGCTATTGCTTCGAAAGCTACAGCTATATTTGTTAATTTGTATAATATGATGTTTTATACTGTGAGTAAGACATTCACAATTAGAGATATAGAATACTGTGCTACAACAAGGCTGGAGCTGCGGCACGTTACGTGCGAGTGTCTTACATATCGCGTGGTGCCGACGATCGCGTCCGTGTCGCCGCCGTCGCCGTCGGAGGGCGCCACGGGGCCGTTGCTCTGACTCTCCGTGGACTCACTCTTGCCCACGCAGAACAGAGTTTGCTACAACAAATAACACCGTAATTTTCCATAGGAACCAATATACTTTAAAACAATATTGTTTGTCGAGTATAGCAGTACTTTAGGTATTTAACTTTCAACATTGGAGACTACAAAACCGTTAACAAAATCAGAATGTTGGTAAGATATATGAGCTAATATTTATTTGTTTTTCTCACCGAGTGTCGCTTGTTGTCGTTGTCGTTGCCGGCGGGCGCAGCGTGGGCTTGGGCTTGGGCGTGGGCGGGGTCGGGGTCGAGGTCGGGGTCGGCCTGCTCGAGCAGATCGTGCGGCTGCGCGGGCGGCACGGACGCCACGCACAGGATGTGCTTGTCGCTCACCGGGAACGACTCCAGCACCTCAGCCGGGTTGTTCGCGTCGATGATCTGCTCCAAGTATACACTATATTGTATCGCATGCGAAAACGACGTATTGTTACTTGAAAGGGGAGTTGAACAAAATCATACTCAAATTTTAAATCGCAACAAACCTTTTTTCGACTTTTATGTTGGCACAAAAAAAGTGAATAGAACGTTTTTGGGGCAAGGTGTACGCACGTATAATACGATTCCACAATCTATTTTGAGCATGCCATTCAAACAATTTAAGTCTAAAATTTAAAATGTATTACCGATTAAGGCTTATTATACTATCACGGAATACTTAGTAGATATAAATTTGTGGAACCAATGTCTGGTCTCACGTAGGATAAATAGATATATAATTATTGTATTACGATATTGTACACAATTATTATTTTAAAAGAGCAACTGTTGAGTTTCTCGCCGGTTCTTCTCAGCAAAAAACTGCACAGTCACTTATACAAAAACATCATTGCAATGCCAAGTCTACGAACCAGTATATCGTGACGCAAACTGCTTAGTATGTACAGTGGATAATATTGCAGTAATCTGTATTTATCGCTCTCCATCCTATCAGAACCTAGACTTTTTCTATAGTGACTTAAGCAGCCTAACAAGTACACTTTGTAGATTCCAAAACCTAATATTAATAGGAGACATCAATATCGAAATAAAAGAAAATAATCACGACCGGCATTCAAACGACTACCTAACCCTTACTGCTACATTGGGTTTGCTTCCAGCTCACCTACTATCTACGCGGTCTGAAAATTGTCTAGATCATATTTTACTGAAAACAAAAAAACCAGCAACTGTCATAGTCCTTGATACTCACATAACTGACCATTTACCCATAATTTTGTTGCTAAACGCTAAACAAAGCATTGTTGATAAGCGATCCAATAATACAATCTTACGATATAATTATCCTGATATTAAAAAGGACATAGAAAAGACGGGTTTCAGGCCTATTTTGTTAGAAATGAATCCTAATATAGCCGCAGATCTACTTATAGATACTATCCAAACAGTTATAGGTAAGCATACTCAAATTTTACGTATAAACAACAAAACTCGAGTTATAAAGCCCTGGATGACCAAAGGATTAGTAAGATGCATACGAAACCGAGACAAAATGCACCAACGTGTTAAAAGAAACCCTGAAAATTCTATACTCATAACAGCCTATAAGCGATATCGAAATTTCCTTAATAATCTACTAAAAAAATTGAAAAGAACACATGACCAAATAGAGTTACAGAAATCCAAATACAGCCGTAAGGCTACTTGGAATGTCGTTAAGACAATTGCAAATTGTAGTCCACATTCTAGGGCCCCTATTGAACTTCTTCAACTAACACTTGAGCCTAAAACATCGATTAATAAAGTCAACAGTTATTTTGTCAATGTAGGAAAACTACTAGCAAGTCAAGTCTCGCAACAAGCCAAAGGCAATCTAAGTAACGATATGGCACCTGGATATTCTTGCCATTCCCTTGGTTTATTGCCAGTGGATGTTAATGTGATTGAACAAATTATTGGCTCCCTGCGCAGTGACTGTACTACTGGTTATGATAATATTCCCGCTAAAATATTAAAGCAATCATGTTCGTCATTAGCAATTCCTCTTAAACACATTTGCAATCGTGCCATTGAGAGTGGAACTTTTCCAAACTCCTTCAAGAAAGCTGTCGTACAACCAATTTTTAAGAGTGTTGATAGATTTGATATTGCGAATTACCGACCAATATCAATTCTAAGCTCTCTTTCGAAAGTTCTTGAAAGAATACTAAATAATAGCCTCGTTGCTTATCTCACAAAATATAACATTATTGCTACTAACCAATATGGGTTCAGGGCGGGTATATCGACGGAAGATGCTGTCATTGATGTACTAAGACTATCGTCGATAAACTAGACCGAAAACACAAATGTTATGGCATATTTCTCGATTTAACTAAGGCCTTTGACACTGTCTCTATCCCTTTATTAATATCAAAGATGGAAAGGGTCGAAATTCGAGAAATCGCATTGAAAATATTTAGCGATTATCTCACAAATCGTACCCAACGGGTGAAAATTGATAACACAATCAGTGACGACCAAACAATCCGCTTCGGTGTACCTCAGGGTAGCATTCTTGGCCCGACGCTGTTCTTAATATATATTAACGATTTATGCCAACTGCAAATTCCAAAGTGTGATATATTTACATATGCTGATGACACTGCTCTCATTGTTTATGACTCAAACTGGAATGAAGCAAAATTAAGAACAGAACAGGCGCTGCGTCAAGTAATGGAATGGCTTTCTAATAATTTATTAACCCTAAATTTAACTAAGACGAAACTCATCCGCTTTACTTTGTTCAAATCCCGGTTCTCGCACCTCTGATAATTTCATGTGCGAATCATTTATAACATGATTACCACTTGCCTTACGGTGAAGGAAAACATCGTGAGGAAACCTGCATGTCTGAGAAAACCTAGCAAGTTTTCGAAAGACATGTGACAGTCCACCAACCCGCACTTGGCCAGCGTGGTGGACTATGGCCTGATCCCCCTCGTACTGAGGAGGCCCGTGCCCAGTAGTGGGACGTTAAAAAGGGCTAAATACATACATCATATACTCAGTCTACGAAGTGATCATTTACTCTCCGCACAAACCTACAGAGCGCCGACATATATTTTGATTTTATTGCACAAATAGTAAAGAAAAATTTATAATATAATTTTTCTTATCAACTTTCTTACATCGGTATTGATCAATAAAACTTCAATGTGTTGCGGAAATTTTAAAGAAACGACATTTAAAAGTTTATTGATCCAAATGTATTCACTTTTAAAATAAACGTGACATACAACTAAATTATATTAAATACTAAATAAATACAACCTACTTGCAAGATTAAATAAAATATAAAATTAAAGGAGTATACTATATTTACAAATATAATATTGTAATTGTTAACTCTGACGACGCTCTCTCTTCTCTTAACCGCTTTATAGATGTTCGTTTCGTTCGATTAATTTTGCAAAGCATTAAGGTGACAGATCCGACTTGAGATTATAATATATATGAAAAAAATACAACTATGGTGTGAGAAAGCTCAAGTGATTATAAAAAGAAGCGTAGCTCATCGTCAAGTATTTTTTGAACCCAGAAACCCTTTACTACCCTGACTACTTACTCGTAATCGAACCCTCAATCCAAACTCACCATAACGATGCCCTTACTCTGCGTGCTGGCACAGATCCACACGAGCGAGGAGGAGTGCTCAGCGGGCGGCGGCGCGGCGTCCGCCTGCCGCCCGCCCGTCGCCTGCTGCCCTTCCTGCGCCGTGCTCATCTCGTAAGCTGCCAGGCGAGACAGACAATACAGGGATATATCTTACACCATACACTAACAACACTACACACAATAAACACGCTTTATGGCTTCAGTACAATTTTTAATTAAGCATAAATTAAACATTATTTTACTTTGTATACTTCAAATAGACACAGAGTGAATTGTATTATATACTACACTAGCACTGCCCGCGGCTCCGCCCGCGTTCAGATGACCAGAAATCAAATTCTTAGGTTTTACGTATTAGTATACTCTTACGTTGCAGTTTTTGTATTTTTTTCTTAGAAATTAGACATTTTCCCGGGGAAAAAGTATCCTATATGTTGACCCGGATAACCAGCTATCACCACACGATAGGATCTATCCGTATTTCTATGGCGAAATTGTTACCGATAGGAACCTATATCGTAACCATTGTAATATATACTATATTGGTATAGAGGACACTAACAGTAATTGATCCAGTAAATATTTGTGTAATGTTTCATTAAAACCGATTTAGTTTTTGCGTGAAAGAATAACAAACATCCATACACCTATACATCCTCACAAACTTTCGCATTTATAATATTACTAGCGGCTCAAACAGATCTATCCCACGGGAACCGTCTATTTTTCCCGGATGAAAAGTAAACTGTTGTTGGACCGGTAACGTCCTTACGTTTATATTATCAACATGCCAAATTTTACTAAATTAGGTGCATAAGTTGTTGTATACTAAGCTGTATAAGTTACTTTAGTTTTTTAACTATCCCACGGAAACTCTTTAATTTTCTGGAATTAAAAGTATCTTAGATGTTGACCGGGGATATAAGGTACTACCATGCAAAATTTCATTTAAATCGGTTCAATACTAAATGTTGACTCGAGTAATTATCACATTACCAAATTTCGTTGAAATCGATACATTACTTTTCGCGTGAAACGCTCACGCAGTATGAACTATATTATTGTAAAGTTTCATCGAAATCCAATCAGTAGCTTTTGTGTACTAAGCTGTATAAGTTGTTATAGTTTTTTAACTATCCCACGGGAATCCTTTAATTTTCCGGGATGAAAAGTATCTAAGATGTTGCCCGGGGATATAAGGTACCACCGTGCAAAATTTCATTTAAATCGGTCCAATAGATTCGGAGATTAGCCCGTACAAACAGAAAAACAGACAAACAGCTCGCTCGGGCTCGTCCATACCTACGAATACATATTCGTGTATTATCTCTTTAACCATTTGTCCAAATTACATACAGTAAAAGGGAAAAGTCTTTTGTTTTAAACATTTCAGACGATAAATTTACTTATTTTGATAAGAATTCATAATTGTTGATAATATGACCAATAAATATAGGTCATGTTTAAATTATTTTATTAATATAAAAAACTACTTTTTGTGACTTAAATATAAAAGTTAGACATATGCTGTCGCTGACTTTTTTGTAGACATTATTAAGCTCTACAACTTTTCTCTAGAACATAATCATATATCTCTCATCGTTAAGGCAGCGTTCGTAAGAAACGTTTTCGTTCGACCGTTTTTTCTCCGACTTACTTTGCAAATCCGACTACCACGAAAAAGCCTTTTCTTTCTATATTTCATATATAGCCTATGACACTTAGAAGGAATGTGGCTTTCTATTGGTAAAAGAATTTTGAAAATCGGTTCAGTAGATCCAGAGATTACCCCCTACAACGTCACAAACTCACAAGATCACAAACTTTACCTCTTTATAATATTAGTATAGATTAAGATTATTTATCAAATGTGTGCAAGATATAAATCTTATACAGTTCGCCTATCTATATATTATCCAGTGTTTTTTCTATAAATATGAAGCAATTAGTAATTAATGAAGATAGTAATGATGACTAATAAAAGTATTTTTTATGAATATCGATTTAATTTCTAATAAGAAAATATCTATTCTATTTCTTTTTAAACCTTTTGTGCCCAATATTGGAAAACTAAAAATATTAAGCAAGATAAGTTTCAACATAGTGTTCGTACAGTGTCTGCTCACTTTTGATTTTTTTTTCGACATGTTGCACCTCTTGGATTTTAATAAAACTTGGCATGCTATAAGACAATATATAGACAATTATTATGTATTTTTTTCAAAGTGGTAATTTAATTATATCTAATAGAAATCGATTGACACAATTTTTATTTGCATTTTTTTTAATACTTTTATTTATGCTTGGCCCATAAGAAACTGCTATAAAATAAACTTTAAAGCGTATTATAACACTGACATTTAGTTTTATTTTGCTAGCTATGAAATTAACTAAGATATATCACTTTGAAAAAAACTCGTCCCCGGACACTTTTTTTCAAATAGCTCCTCAATTAACTAAGATATTGAGCTAATATCTACTGGATCGATTTCTGTTTGTGTCCTCTACAATATAACATTGTTTACGAAAAAGGTTCCTATCGGGGGCAATTTCGCCATAGAAACACGGCTAGACCCTTTCATCAAAATCCCTCCAGTGGTTTTTATGTGATGCGGTAACAGACAAAAATTCTAAAAACTATAGATTCGGCCTCTGTATGAATAATTCAAATTCAAAATATTTTATTCAGAATTAAATTATTACAATTTTTTACTAAACGTCATGAGTCTACTACCAGTTCTAATAATGTTTATTTCAATAAGATTTTCCAAAAAATATTTATCTATAGATTCGGCTTATTACAATTTTATTATATTTATAGTTATGACAGTTAGTATAGAATAGACATTATGTACAATGTACATACATACAAGATTACACACATAGTTCGGTGTAAAAAAGAAGTGTACTTATTTAAAAAAAAAGTGTCGTTTACTTTAGAAATGACCGATTCCCCATTCAAAATTCCTTAAGATATGTTTTCCGATATGAAAATTATCCTATGTCCTTCCCAGGGTCTCAAACTATATCTATACCAAATTTCACCTAAATCCGCTCAGCGGATTAACAGTGAAAAAGCGACGGACGGACAGTTACTTTTGCATTTAAATCGATATTATCGATTTTTCGCATTTAATGTTAGTATGTATATAAAAATACGGTTTCTTTGTGGTGCTGGTCTATCATCATCGGCTTGGGCTGAATGTTGATCAGTCAGTCAGTCAGTCAGTCAGTTAATCGCAACATTGCCTTCCTACAATTTTCTAGCACATTGTTTGATGGGTCTCCTAAGGTTTAGCCACCGTTAGCCACATACATTTCTAACGACGATTCGATAGAACCAGTTATTGTGTTTTCTCTTGAAAAAAATTAAAGATATTTCTAAAGTAAAAGATATCTTAAATGTTGATCTGAGTAATAAGTTATAACTACACAGAATTTAGTTAAAATTGGTTCATTACTTTTTGCGTGAAACACGCACACACAAACAGACAATTTTTTAAATAGTTATTGTATTGCGGTCTATATTGTGTAAATAATTTATGTTAGAGTTATTATTTTTTAAAAATATTTGATGTACAGATTTCACTAAGTTACTGTTTTATTATATTATATTTACATATATGCATGCACATTTTGGCAAATAAATTGCAATATTTAAAGTTTACATGATTGTTAAAATTGCTTTTCAGCAAACTTACTTTTCTTTGTTTTGTCTTAAACTTCGTGTTCAAATAATACCTTTTAGTCCAAGAAATTCATTTTAAGAGATACGTAACTTACTATGATTGTTCTTTTCATAATTAACATGACAACTAGGGAAAATGATCTAAGAGAGTGTGTAAATTGAGCTAGTTATAATAAGAAGTCAATACTATGGTCCATACAGCGGCTGTGGACGGCGAGCTCACCGAGCGAGAGCGCGTCGTGCGCGTCGTGCGCGGGGAGGGGGGCGGCGTGCACGGCGGCGGCGCACAGCAGCGACATGTGCGGCTCGGCCTCGGCGATGGGGCGGCAGAACACGGGCACCGGCACCGGCACGCCGCCCGCCGCCAGCGCCAGCGCGCGCGAGGCCGGCGCGCCGCGCCCCGGCAGCGACCACCCGTACGCCTGCGTACGCCCGTCCTCCTTGCGCACGTGCGCCCGCACCTGCACACACACCACACACTCTACTGCACATTACTCTATAATAACGACACGCCGTTAGACGACTCTTACATATGTTATTTATTTAAAAATATATATGTACATTCACATAACATTGAATCGGCATCGATTAAAAATTATAATATAAAGGAGCACTACAGCTTTAAACACCGGCCGAGATACAAAATAATAAGCACACGTTCTATTGCACGCCGTTACGTTTTAGGGATTCAACGGAAAAATAAAGGATGGGATTTAGCTTTAGCGAGGGTGAGGAGAGAGAAAAGATTAGGACTCGACGTTCGGTACAATCCGCGGCGGACTGCGTACCTGTCGGAACTGATCAGTGCGCGTGGGCGCGTGGTCGTTTCGGTGGTCGTGCCGGTGGTCGTGGCGCGCGTCGTGGCGGCGGTGGTCGGACAGCTGCGTCTCGATGAAGTCCACCTGCGTGCGCGAGTGGCGCAGCGGGGGCTGCGGCGCCGCTACAGCGCGCAGCTGCGGCGTCGACAGCGGCCGCTGCGGACGCTCCGAGCTGCACGCACACACACACACTGATTACTTACAATACATGTACACTACCAACAGACGCACAGGATATAGCGCAATAGCCTATACTTGATCAACATCGAGTAATATGACACAGTGGCAGTTAAAACAATTTCCTTCATAACACTTAAGTTTCTAAATATGATCACAACCAGTCTCTCAAGACTATGACAACTAAAAAGAAGTTTTTAACCCCCGACGCAAAAACAGGGGTGTTATAAGTTTGACGTCGATGTCTGTGTGTGTGTCTGTGGCAACGTAGCTCTCAAACAGATAGACCGATTTCAATGCGGTTCTTTTCATTTGAAAGCCTGTTTCCTTGCGGTGGTTCTTAGCTATGTTTGTTTAACATCGGTCCAGCAGTGTAAGAGCATCAGCTCTTTTCCAAAATGATGTAAGGCATTTTGGCGTATGATTACTCGATTAAGTGCTTCACGCGTGCCAGTGTAATCGTTAAATGACAATGAATTTGCGTAGGGGCGGAATTTGCGTAAATTTTTAATTTATAATATCTTGTTAAATATGAAAATTGATGATGTCAAGAGGAATATTTTACTAGTTCAATCGCAGCAGCAATTTGACAATAGTGCAATATCACAACGGCAATTATATCGAATACGCTTGGCGATAATATTCTCTAATACGTTTTAGATTTAAAAAAAAACAGTAAATCCAACGAGCAATCGCATAAAATTTTTGTTTTAATTGATACCGAGAAGATTCCTGTGCATCAAAAGCACGGAATACTCAAAATCGGGCAAGCGCTAGTCTCGTACACCCAAAACATGAAACCTTAAATTAAAAAGTAAAATTAAATATTTATCAATCTACCACAAATACTCCAAACGCTTACATTGATTCAATTATTATTTTCTCGTCCGTCAATTACATGTATGGATGCCGCACCTTTTCTTATTTTTAACCCCCGACGCAAAAAGAGGGGTGTTATAAGTTTGACATCGATGTCTGTCTGTCTGTGTGTGTGTGTGTCTGTGGCATCATAGCTCTCAAAAGTATGGACCGATTTCGATGCGGTTTTTTCATTTGAGAGCCAGTTTCCTTTCAGTGGTTCTTAGCTATGTTTGGTTAATATCGGTGCAGCAGTGTAAGAGTATCAGCTCTTTTCAAAATTGATGTAAGGCATTTTGGCGTATGATTACTCGATTAAGTACTTCACGTGTGCCAGTGTAATCGTTAAATGACAATTAATTTGCATTGGGGGTTTTTTAAATTTTTAATTTATAATATCTTGTTCGTAAGTTAAGTACAGAATTTTCCAATACATGACATGTGCATTCACCGATCAAGTCTCTAAGTAAAATGGCATGTATATGTGACACAGATACACAGACAGACCGACACATCACACAACGTTCAACAGAGAAAACGTTCCGATTTTGTTTTTTGGCTACGGAACCTTGATATAATAATATAATAATTTAAGAATAACTTTCGCATAGCGTAAGCTTTATGCAGAGTACAATTTATATAATACTGGCGACTCATCCTCGCCTCGCTCAGCTTCGTCCCGAGGTACGTTTTAACGATTATTATAGAATAAACACAGTACTTTATAAAATATAAAAATATACATCCTTTACTTGAGAAATGATTGATTCCCCATACAAACTTCCACCCAACAGTTCACCCCCGTAAGGGATGATTTCGGGAATTAAAACTATCCTCTGTCCTTCTCAAGATCTCAAACTATCTCCATACCAAATTTCATTTAAATCGGTTCAGCCGTTTAATCATGAAAAAGTAACAAACAAACCAACAAACAGACAGAGTGACTTTCGCATTTATAATATTACGTATGGATATTCGCTAATCGGCAATAGTTAAAAATATTTCGTTTGTCAGCATTGCGTCATTGTGTTTTATCCGTTGATTGATGCAACAACATCCAACAGTTAGAGTGAATCTCAATTACAACATCTGGAGCACGCAATGAGGTAATACATATTTTTATTTAACAAATGTAATGAGAGGGTAATCGCCGCCGCGCTCGCTTCGCTTGCGTTTCGCAATGCTGTTATTAGGTATTAACAAATGTTACTCCGCGCTTTATGTTGGTACTACGACTAACTTAATGTTATTGTATGTATAATAACACAGTAATATCCCATTGTCAAGTGGTGAGTTGTTGAGTTGTCGAGTGTACCAGCACCAGGCCGTGAGTAGCGTGCCTTTATTACTACTCCCTTGCATACCCCACAAGGGATGTACTAAATGTTGTTACAATATTACCATGGCGTTTCATTAGGAAACAAAATATTTTTATATCAATAAATGTCAATAGATGGCATGTCATTATATGTAACGATTTGTTATTGAAGTTATGTAAAATTAACAAAAGAAAAAAAAATATGTTTTCAAAAAAGTTGATAATGGTTTAAAAACATCTCAAAGTGAATGAAAACAATGAACCAAATGATAATTTGAATATCATCAATGTACAGCGGGTGAGGGCGGAGGGGCGGGGTGAGGTCTGAGTGTACCTGAACAGGTTGCTGAAGAACTTCCATATGCTCTGCTTGCCCTTCTTGTCCATAGCGGTGTCCTGCCGGCTGGCGCGCATCATCTCCGTCCAGCGCACGGCGTCCTGTAGCTCCATGAAGCGCTCCTTGTACTGGTTGCGCTCCATGAGCACGCGCGCCATCTCCACGCGCGTGAACTTGCGGCGCTGCGCCATGGGCACGCCGGCCTCGTCCTCGTCGGGCTGCGCGGGCTGCGTGGCCAGCGCGTCGCGCAGCCCGCGCAGCTCCTCCTCCAGCTGCGCCACGCGCTCGCGCAGCCGCTCGCGCGCCGCGCTCAGCGCGCCCACCTCCTCGCGCAGGATCTCCTGCTCGCCCGTCAGCTCGTCCACCTTCACGATCAGGTCGTCCTTCACCACGTTCAGCGCGTTCCTGCCGCACACAAACACACGCACACCTTACACACACACGTCACGCGCACATCACACGCACGTGACACGTGACACCGTGACGTCACATCAAAAATAACAATCGAGATCTACTCACTTTGTCGCTAGCAGCTCGTTATTTTCCAAGATAAGATTCTCCACTTCCTTACCCATACCTGCCAAAATATATTAGTAAAATTATTACGATATTAAATTCAACTTCAACATACCAATTATTATATCTAAAATTTTGAATAAATAAATACAATTGAACCATTATTCCCACAAAAGCAAGTTAATCACTAAAATAAATGTAATGTTTCATAAGCGATTGCGTCAAACACGCGAGTCGCGACCGACCCAGCAGAGCGCGCGCAGCCCGCAGCACTACGTGCCAATGGAATAAAACAATAATAAAAAGCGGAAATTCAAATAAGGAAGAGTATAAATGAAGGTAAACAGATAAAATATGTTAAAATAGGATTCACTTACCGAAGTAGTTATCGTTAACTGCATGTGTTGATGCAACGAATGTTAGAACGCATGGAAATAGAACAAACAGCATTAGTTGGAGCTCGGCGGCGACAGGCCGCCGCCGGGTACGGGCCGGCCATGTTATATACTTGTTATTCATATAATATTATTTATTTTATTAAAAAAGGGCAAGTAGCTGTTAATCACTGAATTAAGGAAATATTATGTAAGTCTATAAAAAAATTATTTGATTTTTGACATCGACTTGTACAGAATACAGCGAAATATAATAAAGGCAAATAAGATAACATGATGATGAATGTGAGATGCGATGGATGTTTGTGCGACTCTTACCGGAGGACGCGTACTCTCCGGGGTGGACCCAGCTGCCTGCAAGTAGAAATTAGTCATTCTTCAGTTCAAACTGTGGGTCTCGTTTTAGTTCTCCATTATACGCAAACTTGTTAAAATATCTTTCGGAGACCGAAATGAACTTCAAAATTTAGCGAGTGAAACTAAAGAAGTTAATATAAATATATGTCCGAGGATATTTCGTGCACGTCATTCCCGTGCAAGGCGCAGCCTCGCCGAGTGCCAGCGCTGCTCTCTCAATGCTATAAACTCAGCAACACTTTATTTATATGGTCGTCTAAAAACATTTATCACATATTAAAATTCACCCAAAGCTTGTGCAAACTCATTTTTTTCAGTTTATTGTACATTTAATATGTAACTTAAATACACCATTGTTTGCATAAACATATCCTTTTTTCCAAAAATCTAGTTATATACAAAAGTAACAACAGACTCCGGGCGAACCGTTTGTCACATACCTACGGACCTGAGAAGTTATCAGGGTTTCATTTGGCCTTTGGCTACAGAATCCTAAAAATCTAAACTAATATTATAAATGCGAAGGGAGTTGAAGTTTGCATGCGGTACCAACTACCTAAAGTACAGTTACGATAACTATTTTTTAATGTACTTAAAACGTACCGAAGGACGCAACCGAGCGAAGTGAGTGGAAGTCGCAAGTACTTTAATATATTAAGCGTAAGCTCAAAAGCTTAGCATACGAAGCAATAGCAGAAGCTAGCGTCAGCGCGCGGACGCACTCGCGCGGTCAGCGCTGTAATGTTCGGCGCAATTTTTCCGACCAAAATAATCGTAATGATTTGACGTACTTTTAACTTAAACGCAATGGACATATGTACATATACGACAAAAACGATAATATGATATGTTCATTAAAGGGAAAAAACATTGTTATGCGAATAAATATTGTAGAATGCAGTTCGGTGTGTGGTGACTGACTGACTGACTGACTGACCGGTGATGTCGGCGCCGTCGTCGCCGTCTGTGACGCCCGCGTCGGTGTCGTGGAAGGCGAGCTCCTGGTACAACGTGTTGCCGCTGCGCCGCTCGCTCTTCGTCTGCGACCGGCCCGCGCTGGCCGGCGGCGCCACCGGCGACGTCGCCTGCGTACACACCGCACACCACATACATCACACTCGCCACATACCCACACAATGCCTTTACATGGAATAATACGTGTAAATAGTGAGAAAACATCAAATATGTACATAGTTAACAGTCTAGTTTACACAGTCAAAGGTACAAGAGGACTCGGTGAATTTGAATTCTGATGTCGCTTTATTTATAAACAAAATCTATTGCTTTGTTAAAAGTGACATGAAATACAAAACTAATAATTCAGGACAATAATTACTCCTGAGGAAGTAGTTAGATCAGCAATAGTAGCTGTTTAATTACTCTTCCTACCATTAGAGAAAAGCGGCCGGCGACGACGGGACAGCGAGGGCGACGCGGCCGAATGCACCGTGCAGTGTGCAGCGCCTCTCGACGGTGCGAATAGAGCGCGCGCGTCAATTGGGATCGTGATTTTCCAATATAAAAACAACACGTAACCACTTAGATTGATTGTAGCTGCAGCTTTAGCAATCATTCAATTCCTGACGCTTCGGAACCTTTGTCAACGCATATTAAGTTGTTACCGTCGCCGCGCCGTGGGAGCGTCCCGCTACACTTTCATATTGCACAAGCACGCAATAGTCTATTCTAAAAGCAAGCTATCTAGAGTTCCCGACTTTGAGCACACGTTCTAACAAATACCTCGTACCATCACGCCAATTTACGTCCAATGCGACTTAGCCCTTATCGAAACTGTTCAGTGACGACGAATTTATCACCATAAATTATTATATTTAGTTAAATAATTTTTTTTGGAAATCAAAACTAAATTCTGTTAAATTTATATAAATAATTTTTCATTTGTAGTGTAAAGTTAACTTCAGCGTTTAACCTACTATTTATATATGTAGCAATATACTCTATGACCTACTACTAAGTAGATACTTATATCGCAAGTTCTTTTTGTAGTGGATATTATGATTGATTTTTGAGATTCGAGACAATTTAATTTAGTTACAGCGAATAAGCATTTGACTTTTAAAGTTTTTCCTATTAAAATCTTATTAGTGGCAAATGTTTGAATTAAAAAAAAAACATCAAATCGAGTGTCACGTGTCGACACATCGCCCGTGTCAATACGTGTCAGTGTCGGAAATGGCATATTTATATAATTTAAAATCGTGTAATGTGTATGTGTTGTGGGCGGCGTGGGTGGTGTGTGCGGCGAGCGTGCCGGCGCTGGGGCTCAGGTGCTACTCGTGCTCGTCGCTACAGACGCGCGCGTGCGCCGCCAGCCCGCCCGCGCTCGGCCTGCTGCGCGAGTGCCCCGCAGCCCCCGCCTTCTCCGCCGTGCCCCCGGGGCCGGTGTGCCGCGTCGTGTCGCAGGCGCAGCGGCTGGGCGGCGGGGGAGGCTCGGGCGAGGCGGTGGTGGTGCGCGAGTGTGCGTACGTATGGGAGGCGCCGCTGCGCTGCACGCGCTCGCAGCTGGGCGCGCTGCACTACTCCACGGCATGCGAGTGCGCCACCGACGCCTGCAACGCGACGCCCACCACCACCACCACCACCACCACCGCACTAGTGACGTGCTTCGTCGTCAATGTGTTACATCGTACATAATAAATAGCTACTTGTAAGTCCAATGTTACGAGTATTTTATTTTTCCCTTTTAAATTAAACAGTAAAACACAGTCAAATCAATCACAAAAACGTAAGAATTCAATCTAAATATGAACTAATTAAAAAAAGTATGTAAATAAGTAAGTCGATTGTTTCAAAAATTTATTAAGTTTATCAAGTATAAAAACATCGGTCAGATAAAAATGACAACGGTGAACGTATAAATAGACGGATAAAGTCCGGCGCGGCGCAGTAGCAGGCCGCGGGCGGACGCTACGCGCGGTATCTTAGTGCGATCGTGCAGCGTTTATTTATAGCGATAGTTTCGACGAGTCACTCACCAAGTCCTCTCCTTTAAAATGTCATTGAACGTTAAAGATTAGCTGGCATTAAATCGCATGTGTATATCACATTATTTGCATAAATAATATAATAATTGTACGCCTGTGTGTATGTTTGTGTGTATGTCTGTGTGTGTGTTCGTGTATGTTACCTGGTTATGCTGCGCGATGGCGTCGGTCTGATGCGCGCGCTCCACGGTGCGCACCGCCGCCAGCTCCGAGCCTGCGCACACACACGTACATCCGCTCTATCAAATTATACTAGCAACCACACGACACGGCAAACTCAACATGTTATTGCGAATTTTTACAGCCCTTGTATATATTTCGTAATATACTAAACATATAAAAAGGTAATAAGTAAGATACAACCCTGTGCGCAAACCGAAACACACGACATGAATTAATTAATCAAATTAGATTCTAATCAATAGAGATTCCACTGATGTAACTCAAAGAGTATGCGAGTATAACAATTTATTAGTACCGATCGGCGGCGAGGGCGGCGAGGAGGACAGGCTGACGGGGCTGCCGGGGATGCTCTCGGTCTGCTCCGCGTCGTGCACCGCGCCCTCCAGCGACGCGAACCCGAACGAGATCGGCCCTACACAATACATCACCATTACATAATAACAACCAACAACATACTTATCATTTATTACACTCAAATGTTTTTTTTTGATGTTGTTTTTATTTTTTTTATGATGACGCTTTTATTATTAAAATTTTGCAATTGGTCTAGCCTTTGCAAATAAGATGATAATAATGCATATAGATCCCAATATAACTTAAACAACACTCAAAGTTACATTCTAATAGAAACAAATTGTATCGACTAAACCGAGAGGAACATTATTTGTCCAATCCATTCAAATGGTGAATATGAGAATAAATAACAATCAATAATCATATTAAAATATTGTACCGCCTTATATAAGACTCGACTGCTATTTTAAAAAAAGTAGTACATGTAAGAAAATAATGCACTAAAGATAAAGAGTCTTTCGCCTCACCACATCAAATAGCATTAGACATTAAGGGACTGTATGTGAGGAGCGAGTGTGTGTGGTGTGTGTCATACCGCTGGAGCGCGCGGGGTGCAGGCCGAGGCGCGGTCGGCCCTCTCGCTCACCCGCCGTGCTCAGCAGCAGCTTGGTGCGCTCCATGTAGTCCATGTGCGTCTTGAACAGCTCCGTGTAGCGCTCGTGCAACTTGGCATATTCCTGCGCTCACAATGCAATCAATATCTCACTCTCCAATATGCCTTACACTTTAGACTACCAGTTAAATGAAACATTGTCAGACATGGAGCCTAATTTTAGGGCTATTATAAATAAATATATGAAAAAAATTAATTTATTACATTAAATATATTTTTGGTACAGTAAATATAACTATAAATATTAATATTTTACATTTATGATTTCTTCTTATTTTATATAATTACTCCTATGCCCTAAAGTTGGCTGTAAGAGATTGCTTATAGCGATAAGGCCACCCAATGTGCATAATCTATTTGATGATTTCCTCTTCTGTATATTACTTTGTGGTGTACAATAAAGTATATTGTCTACCCATCTTTCTTTGTTTTGTTCTTTCAAGTCAAACAAGAAAGTATTCTAACTAAACTAAAAAAATGGGGAACCACTGCTTTAGTTTAATCCATTGTTTATATCATTTTAGAGGGTCTCACAAGATATTACTAATATTCATTCAAGATAATACTATATTGTACAGATGTCCGTTCTTATTACAATTAAAAAAATGCCTTCACTACACATATAAAAGAGATCTTTCATTGATCACCAGTCACTGCTTGTTTCTGTACAAACTACTTGATGAATTAAACTGTACACATATCATATGAACACAAGTTACAACATTATTTCAACACTTTGAAAAATTTATGTAAGGCCACATTCCATCTGACCTTAATAACAGATTCGATTTTTAATTATGATAAGATGTGCCTGTAATATTTGTTTATTTTATTTTTGTAGTTTTAACATTAATCTTTATAGCTATTAAAGTTGATACACATTACTAGTATTATTTTAATGAAAACTATAAAAACCTTTTTGAGTTCATTTTCACGTTCTTCAAGTCTACTGGCATGATCTAAGGAGTTCTTGTGCTTGAGTTCTAACATGCGGACAATGCTGTCCAGAGCCTCCAGCCGTCCTGTCAGATCTTTTCTCTCACCTTCATAATGATCTTCAGCTTCCAAGAGCTGTTTACAAAATATTTTATTACCACTACTATAGTACTTTTACTTGTTCTTTGCATATATATGTAGAATTAATTACATGACATTAAAATTAATAACATTTCTATATTCACTGTTCAATTTCTCATACAGACAAATACAAAATTTCACATATTTATCAAATATAAAATAACAATATAACATTGTTATGATTTTTCATCAAAATAACAAGCCAATAAGATGATCAAATGTTAACATTATACAAGAATTTTAAGTAAAACACCTAGTTTACCTTGAGGTTTAGATAACATAGTGGGTGACACATTATTTCACCTTATTTATGTGGTATTTTTCACTACACTAAAAGATTGAAAATTAATAAAATGTTTAAAACAACAAAACATTTCAAACAAAGGTTGATGATTGACTACTGAAAATAAATTACGATAGCCTTGCAAGCAAAACAAAGGAAACTAAATCAAGGTCTGCAGTATGTTCGTGTAAAAAAATATCATTCATTAGGTTACCTTTTGCTCCGAATGCTTCCTTGCAGATTTTTCGCGCTCGTACTGTGTTACCAGTTGCTCGTTGTCTTCCCGCAGCAGCTCCAATTCTACTTCATGCTCCTGGTTGGTTTGATAGGCGGAATCCAGGCACTCCAGAACGTTTACAAGCAAAGGCATCAAAGTTTTAACGACGTCTTCGTCATATCGAGCGATCATTTTTTCGAACTCCTGATAGATACTTCCTGCTAGGGATTGAACCTTTTCTGACATCACTACATGACTATCTTCGTGTGTTCCATATATTGTTTCCGCCGTGGCATAGCCACTACTCGCACTATCGTCGAAATTCATAGTGGAAAATTAAAAGGGTGCTAGGCAATTACAACTACCATCGGCCAAGATAGCTAATAAATTTGACGCGAAAACATCATTAGACAAATTGTGTACAATATTGTACGGTGACGCGATCGATGTTATTTTAATAAAATGTTATTAAGTGCATTACGATAATTATTAAAATAGTATCACCTAGACGGAGGTGTAAATATGTAGAGAAAGATAGAAAGGAATAAAGAGTAATCACACCATTTGTTTGATTGACGTATTTTTGCTGTAGGTACTGCAAGAAAAAAAGTTCGATTAACGATTGACGTTGGAACCTTTTCCGGACATAGACAAATATGTTATCCGGGTTCAAGATTTTTCCTTCTAGTAACTTTAATATTTTTAATATGCTAAATAATAATACAGTACAACATATTATACCTTTTAAAATGATTTAATGGGTACTTCTTTTTTATTAAATATTATTTTTACCTTAAAATATAACCGTGAACTATTTTGACACGGTACTTCTGTTTATATAGAAACGAGAATCTCTTAATATAAAAAAATTAGAGTGTAGAAATACAGTCCAATCTGCTGTAAAATAATCAGAACAATTTCACTCATAATTGAAATAAAATTTAATAATTATTTTATACTAGCAGAACCCACGGCTTCGCTAGCGTTAAAACTACAAAAAAACCTCTAAAAAGGTAGGTTTTATACAAACTTTCATCCCCTATATTACTCAGTTAAAGGACGAATTTCGAAAAATGCTAAAATATGTATTTATTTAATTGTATTGAAGAATATAAATACACAATTTCAAGTAATTCTGAGCATAAATATTTTTTGGGTTGTATGTAGTGTATGTGTTTTTCCATGGGAATGATATAATCTCCCGCGGTAGAAAGTAGCTTTCCAGCCCTCCAACTATCTCCACACAAAAAATTACGCTCATCAGTCACACTGTTTCGACGTGAAAGATGGATAAACAAACAAACAAACACACTTTCAAATTTATAATAATAATATAGATTTAGAAATATGCTTTAAATACTTCAAAAAGGTTTTTAGTAATATAAAATCAAATATTTTATAAGATAATTCAGCTTTATATGTTTCAGATGTCTATGTTTTGATTTAAATATAATATGTTACGTAACGTAACTACCTACCTCGGTGGTGTAGTGGCTAGCATGTATGGCTGTTCACCCGGAGGTCCTGAGTTCGAGTCCCAGGGCGGGCCAAGTTTAGTTATTGAGTCTTTCTGTATATTAAGCCTCAATAACAGCCCGAAGTTGGAAAGTTGGCGGTGTTTCACCCTTGTGCTTCGGAGAGCACGTAAAGCTGTCGGTCCTGCACCTTAAATCTCACTGGTCGTGTCGAGTGGTCGTCCCACCGGAGTATGAGAGTGACAGGAATAGAGAGTGCACTTGTATCTGCGCGTACACTTATGCACTGTAATATCTCCTGCGCAGTTGGCTAGTCTCAATGAGAGTGGCCGCCGTGGCCGGAATCGGTCAGGAGAACATCATCATCATAACGTGTCTATTAAGAACGCCATTATAAACTTTACCCTCCACTTTGGTCAACGATTTTATACTAATAGAATTTACTCAATATTTAAAACTACGAGTATATAGGTAAACAGTGACAGTGACTTTAATAATTATTAGAAGCGACTGTAGAGATAAAAACAAAAGAATAGATAATTAGTTATCTTTAATAGGGTGAAGGGCGAAAAAATATCTCCGCAGCTACATATACATATATTACAATAATTAACTTATAGGACCAATTTTTATTTATTGAATAATAAATGTAAGGAGTCATTATTTATATAATAACAATAAAATAAACCCTTAATTTATTATTAATAAAACATATATTATATAAAAAGAATTTAAATAATTGAATACAATACTTATAAAATTATAGAAAATATTTTATGTAGAAAGTATCCGTTCGACATTGGCTGACGTGACAAACTGACGTGCCGTTATGTCAATCGTTGTCAATGAATCGTTTTTATGTCAATCTAATTGGGTCCCTTTTGGTGTTGTAATTTTATTTTAAAATTCTAACACGAATATTTAGAATTTGGTTGAAATACTTGTGATAGGTGTAACTAATAATTCTGTAGGAGATTTTTTTTAGGAAAGAAAATTGCTGTATGTCTGTAAAAGGCGCCAGTATGCCTAGCGAAAAATCGGTTATTATGGCGTATATGTTTTGGATATTTGGTGGAATATTTGGCTTACACCATTTCTACCTGCGGCGAGACAGACACGCTTTCGTATGGTGGTCTACCCTTGGAGGATTCGGCATTGGGTGGCTTGGAGAAGTTTTTCGTATCCCTCGGTATGTTAGAGATGCCAACGAGGATCCGACTCATATGCAAGAATTAGTAAAGAGGATGCTCCAAAATAAAAAGGTAAGTAGATTATTAATTTTACAAATGCATAAACTAACTTTATGCACATGCTTTTTACTATGCACCTTTTAAGGTATTAAAATATATTATTGGAAAGTTTTCGATATTTTGTAGTGCATTTGTAGAAATATTAAAATATTGAGAATAACTTTAGAAGGTGGCTTTAACTCTAAAGGTATAAATGAACATTTTAGTAAGAGTAATTAAAAATTATTACTCTAGTGTATAAAGAAACTTACCTTATTGTCTATCTTTAATTTCTTTATTTAAAGATAGAAAAAATTCTTTATTTAAAGATAAATATGATGGAATCTACAATTAACTTCATATACATTGGTTTATATGAATATTAATCCCCTGTGCAATTTGAAACTAAAAATTTCTTTTTTCATTGATTCTTAAAAAAATCAGTAGCTTACATAATATTATTGTCCATATAAAACCCAACTGCATAAATACACATTTGACCAGTTTTTTGTTGCAAGTATACAGTAAATTGTTATTATAGTTGGTATTATGAAGACCTCTGAGATTGATCTGATTTGTTTTGATATTTACATAAATATTATGTATTTTAGATAGACTCTATTATAATTTTATTTATTTTGTAATTAACATTTTGTTTTATGTTTATAAAATAATAATTACCATATTCTTCTATTCTATTAAGGATCTGCCTCGGGGAGATGGAAGTTATTGGTTGAGGTAAATAAAACTTAGCATGTTTTATGTGGGTTAATCATTTTTTTGTTCTTGATTTTCATTAGTGGAAATTTGTAATGTAACATTGTGCTTTTTCTTAAAGTCTCTATCTGTATTTGTCTTTTGCAGTCTCTGAACATTGTTTACTGTAAAAGCTGTAGTGATGTTTATTGCACGCTGCATTTTAAAACATTTAACAAACACATTATCTACATATTTTTAATAACATAAAATTCTTTGTAATTAACTTAATTTTCCAAATTGTGTTTCAAAATACTAATTTAACTGTAGTCTTAGAAAATAAATAAGGACATTAAATTTATTGCAATTATGGTAATAATGGTGAAAGCTGGATATAATGAGAATATCTCTTGCAGTTTCTAAAATGATAAGGATAAAATATCTCTAAAACTTTACATATGGTGTTTATTTATGTATGTGTTTTGTAACTTTATGTCACTGAGTATGCTCTATCTACATGTCTATTATTTTGTATGTTCAAGATAACTATTTAACAGACAACAGACCAAATGCTTTGTTTCGGTGAACTACAAATCAAAATGTGAATTGTTAAAACCATATTACTATTACCTGTTGCACTTTCTTTAGTGTTATCTTTTCAATCTCACGCCTGTCCAGGCTCAATTGTTTGTTGTTCCAAAATATGAGTAGGGACATAGAATCACTGTAGCCAGCATTTTCTAGGTAGTCCTTGTGAAAGTTCAACTTATCCTCACTCATTTATTCTAAAGTATAAAGTATTCAATTAAGTGGATATACAAATGTTCATGAGTAATTCAACAAGTTAGCGAACGTGTTTACACTCCAGCACACAACATTCATGAACTAACATTGACTTAGATTTAATTTAATTAGAATTCCTTGTTACCCGCTCTTTGTGAATGCATAAGCCTTAAGCCAGTTACAAATGTCTTTTTCTTTAAGTTGTATACATTATTTGCTTTAATATTTATTCATTGTAACAATGTATGCATACAGGCAAAGGTGAGTTGCTTTTGGCATGATGGTGATTGATATATGGTTTATTTTTAGGATACTGAAAGAAATATGTATAACATTTATAAGATTTACCAAGAGAATAGTTTTACTGACTAAATATAATATGCTTTCAGAGAAAACATTCATATTTCGTATTTATGTAATGTATAAACACAATTTATTTTCAATGTGGCAACAAAATCTTGTTTGATGCTGTTAAGAGTAGATGTAGAGTACAGTGCAGTAGTAATGGTGATTTTTTCCTGCAGCCTCCGTTCTCGATGAATCGTTTTACGGGCATGTTGATGGTGGGATACTCGTGGGGGCAGATGATGATGATGGCGGTGCCGCCCGACGACTTCTGGGGCATCAGGTTCAGATATCTAAACTACCTCGTGCCACTTGTTGCAGCTCTCGGTCAGTATATTACTATTTACCAGGTATCAGTAGCGCTTTTTAGTAGACGAAGCATGGGTTATCTTCCCACAAAGTGAACTTTATGAATTCTGGATCTCGTGGAAATCTGTGGGGGAGGCATGTATCTAGGAGTAGACGGCTTTCGGTTGATATGGTAACCTTGAAATATCTATTGGAGAATGATTTTTTAAAATATTGGCTGATTAGACTGTTATCAATTATATATTTTAATTAAATTCAGTCTACTTTATGTAAACGTAACTACCATATGTGCGATGTATAGTATAACACAAAGCATGTTTATTGTAGGAGTGTGGACGGTGGGCAACATCGGGCGCGAGCGCGGCGGACTGCGCTGGGCGGCGCTGGCGGCGTACGCGGCCTACCCGCTGCGATACTACGTGTACGACGAGAGCATCTGGTTCACACTAATGGTGCTCGCCTCCGCCCTGGCCTTCGACTCCTTCTCGAAGGAGTGGCGCAGGACGCCGCCCAAACGACGACATGTCTTCAGGTATCGCATAAATTAAAACACTCGGCCCACATCACATTTTCTTTACAGTCTATTATTTACTTTTTGAACATATTAATATTCCGTAAGAAATAGTATCTTACAAATAAATTACTGGCATTGTTTTTTAATTTTATCTGGAATTGCCAGATATAACTGAAGCTCCACCTATCATACTTTGACAGTACCACGAGAAACGTTGTCAGGCTCGTACAACACTGAACTGCTAAAGTTTTTATTTGATCATATGACCGCAATATAAAAAAGACAAACTAACAAACACTTTTTTTTAATTATATATTAATTAGTTTTATCGGAAGGGCATCTGTTACATGAGACAGTCAACGTCGAACGCCGAATCCGGTGGCTAATATATTTACATGCCGTGTCTTGTGTACGTGTACAGACGCGTGGCGGTGCTGGCGACGTGCGCGGCTCTGTACGCGGCGCTGTGGTGCAGCTACCTGTACTTCCACGGGACGCTGACCGACAGCGACGGCGACGAGGTGCCCGTCTACGAGGCGTTGCACCACTTCTTCACCAGCCCCTGGTATGTTGCATCCATCCACACCACCACCACACAGGGACACTCACTTACGCAGACTGTACAGACAGTGCTAGTGTCCATTTGTATGAACATTTCGAATTTAGCGGTTACATTATGTTCATTTGAGATATAGTTATCAGATCATTGCAGCGAATACGATATGATTATGAAGTAAGGTTTTTTTGAAGGTAATTATTATTTTTGTACTTTTTTGCTACTGAAATGCTATAAATACACGAGCAAAGCGAAAGTTAATCGTGTATACAGTACTCGTATTGTAAATGCGTGTAACTAGGCCGGAACACATCTATGTACTGAGCAATGTCATTGCCTCACACTGCTGACCTGATTGATACCTGGTACTGTTCTAGCAAGAGTTGCTCCTGTACCCACTTATTCATTGCTATTGCCGTGCTATTTGAACATAAGTATACTGTACATAAGTATGTTCAAGGCGCGTCTCACTCGCGGAGACGTAGCGTGCAGCACCTTATTATTATTGTTGTTGTTATAATTTTTTATTCGTAAAGTTACATCTTGTGCTTACACATGTTTTTATTGATATTCGAAAAGTTGAATATTAATTTTAGTGTAATTTTGACAGATTGTTTGTTGCAATTGTGCAGTCCAAACTGACAATTAACAATCATCAGATCAAAATATTAACGCGATAAATGTGTAGGTACAGCCTGATCTGATGAAACTCTCCCGATGACGGAGACTCCAATAGATTCACACTGTAGCTTCTATATTTATTTTTTAATGATGTTAAAGTATGTCAAGTTATTTATGCAAGACGTTATGTGAAAGTTCGTAAACGATACCTCGTAAACCTTGGGACAAACACACAAAGTAAATAATAATAGCTATTTAATTTTGGTCCAGTTTTAACAACCATATTATCGTCTTAACTAAAGGTTAAATAATGTAAATGACAAACCAACGTTTTATGTGTTGCGCTGTAATTAAATAAAGTTGATAGTTGATGGTGATGTGTGTGGTGGCGCAGGTGGCTGGACGTGAAGCAGTGCGTGGTCGACACGTGGCAGTTCGCGCAGCACCACGGCTGGTACGAGGTGTGGAAGCAGGTGGTGGACCTGTCCGACCCGCGCGGCGAGCTCAACGCGTACAAGGTACTATAATAATCTATACTAACATTATAAATAGGTAAAGTTTGTGAGTTTGTGACGTTGTAGGGGGTAATCTTTGGATCTACTGAACCGATTTACATGAAACTTATTAAGAAGATAGTTTGAGACCCTGGGAAGAACATAGGATTCTTTTTATCCCGGAAATCATCCCTTAAGAGGGGTGAAAATGGGGATGAAATTTTGTAAACTCCCATGAGTGAAATACAAACATTTGTGCTCATCATATGAATGCCCCCAGTGGGACTCGAACCCGCTATCGTTGATACAGCAAATAGGGTCAATACAGCCAGACGTGTCATCAAACTATTATTACCACCTGCACCTTTACTATAGTGTCACAAAACGCATTCCTGTGTCTGGGACCATGGTCTTGGTTTATTGGAAGTCGAGAAACGTTGGTGCTCGATAATAGTAGCAAAAAATCAACCAAATACAACTCCTTACTCAGACACAGTGGTTACGGTTCAAGAGCCGCGGTGCCGACTACTGGTGTACTTAAAAACTTCTGAATGTTATTGTTCCTTACAACTATTTAATTAAAAGGTATCTCACACGCTGATACTTTCTCAATTTTTTTATAAACAGAGAAACGCCTCAGTTTCTGCGGTATCTTCCTCACGGACTGACTTCACTGACGCTTACATTAAATTGACGATTCAAAAGCACTCGTAATAAGTCTAATTGAATAAAGTTTATTTTATTTCAATGTTATTTTCGATTATTTCATTACTCACTGCACCATTTTAGTGCCTTTACATAAGATACATATATTATGATTGTGATAACTTTAGGGGTTCACTATCGACGCGTGTTTATAATACCTTTGTATCGATACAAACACAAATTATTTGCGTTTTTAGTTTTATTTTCACAATATGCGCCGACAGCATACTGCGTCCATGTCTCCCTCCTCCTTCTGCCGACAGGGCTCGGAACCGGTTTAAAAAAAGTGCTTTATTTCGGTAATGTAATGGTTAATTCATCGCTTGTTCTTTAACCGGTTAATGAAAACGAACGGTTTCGGTAAACCAAAATAGTAATGGTTTACGGTTATCCTTAGGAAAGGCGAAATAAATCGGTTAATTCCTTCATAAGTAAGAAACATTTCTTACTATGTGTCCTTTTATGAAGCAATTCACCATTAGCAAAGATGTAACTGCACAAAAACTCAATTTTAACCAGTTAATTTTGACCATGAGACCTTAATTTGTCAAAAGTCGTTCTCCTCGATTTAACCGGTTGAAGAACGTAATCAAAACCTTAAACCGAAAAGCCTTTCGGTTTTGGGGTTAATGACCAAAATTAGTTTAAAACTTGAACGTGTTTCCGAGCCTGTCGAGCCCCGGATATGATGTGTATTGTGTGGTGGTGCTGGTTTGATGCAGGTGCTGGGGCTGAGCCCGGAGGCGAGCCAGGCGGAGCTGACGTCGCGCTGGCGGCAGCTGTCGCGCGAGCACCACCCGGACAAGGCGCGCCCCGCGCAGCGCCGCGCCGCGCAGGACCGCTTCATGGAGATACAGCGCGCCTACGAGATACTCTCCAGCAGCAAGCACCGCCGCGCGAGACGCAACAAGCGCGACAACACGCCCACGCCCACGCACGCGCCCACGCCCACGCACACGCGCTAGGCCGGCACCGAGCAGTGTCAACAGTAGCGTAGAGATAATCGTCATTAAAACCGTAACAAGTAATATATCATTTTTATCGCAATAAAAAATATAAATAGTTACTACAAGAGGTTAATATCGATTTCCCTTAAAAATGTATTGTTTGTGAAATATAGATCACTTCATATGGCGGAGCACACTCACTCCAAAATATTATGAAAACCAATTGACATTTGCGAAAGTACCTCCCCCTATGAACGTGTCCTGTGAATGGCTCCCGAAAAATGAGTTTCTTTTATTTGAGAATTGTGTCTTCTAATTTTGGATATTTATTTTGTTACTCTGAACTATTGGTATGTATTTACTGTATAAGAATTATAATTAACTATCTAAGAATATCACACACACACACACACACACAGCTCACAGCTGCTCGGAAGCTGAACAGCTAGTCTGTGTTTTGTAATTTTTACCCAATTTTAAATTACATGCCAATTTTAAATTTATGTAAAAATTATAATATATAAATAATGTAAACATACTAAATTAATCTATTATTTATATTATTAGCTTATTATTGTTAGCATTTATGACGCCAAATGTAATTTAGATGATATTTGAAGCATTTAACAAGGCTTGCGGTGCTCGGTGGTGCGACTTTGTATTTAAGTTATTAACATAATGGTACATAGACATATTTTATTTTTCCCTACTTATAATAAATGCGCCGTAAGCCTCTTCTTATATAAGTCAAATAATTGTAACTTAAATAATAATTATGTTTGATAAGGACCGATCTGAATCTAATAAGTATTGTCACCAACATGATGCATTCGAAGTAAAAATGTATGTGTCATGGAGACTGCTGGCGACCGTTGGTGACGGCTCCGCTCGGGCGTGCTCGGGCGTGCTCGGGCGTGCTCGGGCGTGCTCGGGCGCGGTCGGGCGCTCGGGTCCGGTCATATATTACTTCCGTCCATTGGAACTCATATTTAGATTATTTATTTGTATCTTTATTCAAATTGTACTTAGTTTTTTTATAATTGTAAGATTTTCAACGTAACGTAGCGTTTTATTTAAGTATACATTAAGGAATATTCATATACATATATTCTGCGATAGACGCGAGTCGCGCACCAAGAGGGCCTTATAAAAGCAGATTAATTGATAATTAATACATAATATATTGATAAGCAAAAAAAAGCCTTTCAGACACTTCATTCCTTAAAATAAAGTTAATTAAAAAATCGAACAAGTGCGAGTTTGTCAAATCTTGAGCTTCATTTTATCCCAAGTTGTTTTCTTTGTATTAATAACTTGACTGTTTAAATTTAACAAGTTATATTTATAAATAAAAAACATCTTTATAGCAAAAAATTTATAAGACATTGTGTTTTAAATTTATTTTAGAACTAGCATTGCCCGCGGCTCCGCCCGCGTTTAGATGACCAAAAACCAAACTCTTTTCGTTTTACATATTAGTATACTCTTACATTTCAGTTTTTGTATTTTTTCTCAGAAATGAGATATTTTCCCGCGGTAAAAAGTATCCTATATGTTGACCCGGATAACCAGCTACCTTCATACCAAATTTCATTAAAATCCCTCCAGTGGTTTTTCCGTGATGCGGTAACAGACAGACAGACAAAAATTCTAAGAACTATAGATCCGGCCTCTGTATCGATAATAATGTCTATTACAATAAGATTTTCCAAAACAATTCTTTTTAGATTGGCTTACATTACTTATTTATTTACTTTTTTATTATTACTTAGGGAATAGTAAAGATTTCATCAGAATCGATCCAGTATTTATTATCATATGGACTAAATCGTATAACTGAAACTAATCTAGTTTTAATAATTACTAATTATTACAAAAAGTATTTCAGTAAAAATTACGCAGTAAAAAAGTAATAAAAAAAATATTTATCTAATATATAATTATATTGTGTCACGGTGTTTGTAGTTGCACTCCTCCGAAACGGCTCAACCGATTTTAATGATTTTTGGTATATTTGGTAGGTATGAGAATCGGTCGTAAAGTATTTTTCACCCTCCAACACTCGCCCCCATTTTTGAAGTAACTAGGGGCGAACCCGAGCCAAGGGTGAGTCGCTAGTATATCATAGTTTCCACCATTCATTACCATTACATGACGGTTCACATAAGTCATGTTTCAATTTGTTCTATAAGGGCGGCACTCTTATTTTTCAACCTTTTGCTCTAGGACTTACTAAATAAAAAAATATCGTTCATTGTATTGGTTAACAATAGGTACACGATAGTCTGTATAAACAATTTCCGCACATATTTTATTATATTCTTGAGCAGTCAAACCTATTTATAAATTTTTATTAGCTTTTTATAATCAAATAAATATCTCACCATCCAAGTTCGTTTAGTTGTTACACACATACACACAAACGAAGTATGTACGAAAAAAAGCTCGCTGGGGCTGGACGTGGCCGTGACTATCGCTGTTACTCCGGTGAGGGGGAGGATCTAGTAGAAACATCGGATTTAAGATATTCATTTTTATTTCATATAATTAAGGTACACGCAGGTACCTAGAGCTCCTCACATCTATCTACACACTCGCTGCGACTCGTTACCGCTCGCTTTATTATATTATATATTTCCTTAACTCAATTGTGATATTTTGCTTAAGGATAACAATTTAGATATACTTCTTTAGATTAATGACCGTTTGTACACAGACTACCGCGTCTTTGCGATTACAAACAAACTAGACGAATGTAACACAAATCACAATTGATGTTCATTTAACACACACATGAAATGGCACACTTAGTATACAGCTCTTCAGCTCAGATAGATTTTGTTTCTTATTCTATATAATTGCAATAACAATAAAATAATTATTATTTACAAAATAAATGGCAAACGAGGGTTTGGTCAACTAATAATTAATCAATAACATCCATTCGACTTATTTCATTAAAAGTACATTATTGTGAAGTTTGAGCTAAATCTGTGCCGCGCGAGGCGTCGCTTCGTCGGGCGGCATCATACATATATTTACATGCGTAGGTGTGTCTTTTGTCAGTATTGCTGCCGTCGTTTATATTCTACAATCTTCTCTTTCAGGAATGTAAGTATTTACAGCGACACAAAGTAATATTTAGATTAAAATAATTATTGTACACGCTACAGGATTGTGCAAGTTTTGAGTGGACGCTGGGATGTGAAGTCGGGTACAACTGCACAATGGCAGCGACGGCGTCCCGTTCTCCCGCAGTGGCAAAGTTTGTGACCGAGCGTTCGACGTACCGCCCGCGGGAAATAACTCTTAAATAATAAAGATCTAGGCCTAATGTTACAGTAAACAACGCATCCGGTGCGGAGTACACACCATCCGCATGCGCACTGTCGTAGTACAAACGTGAAATTGTCTCCGAAAACAGAGCTAACTCGTCTTAGAAGATATCGTACAGTACATCAGTAGTGGCATTCATTTTCAACTTTGTCAATCGTTTGAGCCGGATTATAATATCATTGTATTTTACTATAATTAAACTAATTATCACAGTTATAAAATTAAAATAACATTTGCTTATATTTATACATTCGGGAAACATAAACATAGCCTTTCTTAATCTAAATTAATAAATAACTTATATTGTGCGAGGCGCTTCTTCGATCAAGCGCCTCGTTTGAAAAATTTATACAAATTATAGTTTTTAACAATTTTTACAATAATTAAGTAGATAAAATAACAAACTGGTTCATAACTATAAACGTTTCAGTTTACGTTTTCACAAAAAGCTAGCACTAGCCATGGCACGGCTCGTCTACACGGTCGTCTCGTTGCGCCGCAGTGGCTGCAGCTCGCGCTGCAGGTCGTTGTAGTACTCGTGGTCGGACATGGACTCGTCCTCGGCGGGGCGGCCGCCCGCCTCAGCCGCGCGCGCGCCTTCCGCCGGCGCCGGCTGCGTCGGGATGCCGAGCGTCTGCGAGGGCGCGCTCTGCTCCGACATGAGGTACTCCGGGTTGTCGACGCATCTCTTGGACGCGACGAATCCGCTGTAGCGAAGATCCTTCGCGTCCTGCCCCTCGCTGCCTTCGCCTATGAGGTCCATGTAGGCTGAAGCGTTTTGGGTGTGCTGAGGCGACGGCATCAAGTAGTCATCTTCGTCTAGTGGCAAGTTTAATTTTAGATTTCCCACTTGCGCCTCCTTCACTTTGGAAATATTCTCTAAGCAATCTGGTCGCGCTTTCATGGGGTCACTACAATACCTTGAACTCGAGCTTTCAGAGGCGCATACTCCATTATTATAATAATGACGTAGTTCCAAACTCTCTTGGTTTCCGGAATTGTTATATCTTAAAAGATCTCGATCCCATGATTCGGATCTATTTGATTTATCTATTATGATGCCCTCTTGGCCTGTGGTGTTGTTAGTCCACGTGGCGCAGGGCTTGGCTTGAGGTTCTGCCCCGGCTGTGCACGTCGGAGAGGTGTTCGTTCCGACGTTCGACTTGAGTGTCGGTTGTAAATATTCATCGGCTTCTACAAGTGGCTCGGGACCATCCATTGCCGAAGAAAGGTTTCTTATTAGTTCCTTTTCATCCTGAAAAAATAATAAATTATAAGTTACTATATTTATGTCTATTATAATTTTATTATTATAATGATATCAGAGTTGTACATTGAATATATCTTCCAAAATATCGTGTTTGTGGGATGATTACAGGAAAATAGAATAATTTAAGAATTTTATGTCTAATCATCGGCTTTTTGTAACGATAATATTTGAATTATAATACGGGTGTCACTCGATCGTATGGGAAAAATAAGAATAAAGAAGAATGTAAGATAAAGACAAACCCGTGAGAGGCTTTCGAACATATCACGATAGACCTACTGACTTTATCTTGGTAACAATGAACACATGAACGTAAGTACTTTGTACTGTTCGTAATGTATAGAGTGATATAGGCTAGATACTATTTATATTCGGGCAATCAAATCGTTGTCATAGAATTATTGTCCTGATCGATTTCGCCCCGACCCGGCCCGGCGCGGGCCAGGACATCCGGATCTGCACACGTGCTAGTCACTAGACCACCAGTTGCATGATTATTATAGTGCGTGACTAGATGTAGCATGTGGGATATATATATATATATATATATATATATATATACATAATTTGTGAAATACATTATTTGTCTTTTTCCAAATTCATCCTATAAGGAGGTAAAATAGGGGATGAAAGTTTGTATGAAACTATATTTTTAGAGATTTTTTGTAGTTTTAGCGCGACCGAAGCCGCGGGTTCTGCTAGTGAAATATAAAATTAACTAATCACCTGAGTTGAATAGGATGGTAATCGCATAAACTTGTCTCCAGGAATTACCAGATAACGTCCGGGATCACGTGCCATATCTGCAAATTTCTCTGCCAGCTCTTTGAATGTGGGTCGACTATCTGCATCTAGCATCCAACAGGAAACCATGATACAGTAGATATCAAGGGTGCAAATACTAGGCTGAGGTAGTTTTAGACCATTTTCAATTAATTCTGGTACGTTTCTAGCAGAAATATCAGCGTACGGTCTCGCTCCATAACTTAATATTTCCCAAATAGTGACACCAAATGCCCATACATCACTTTTATGTGTAAATATTCTATGCTGAACGCATTCCAAAGCCAACCATTTTATAGGCATTTTACCTCCAGCAGCTTTATACTCATCTTCATTGATGTCTAATAGTTTTGCAAGGCCAAAGTCAGTTATCTTAACACAATTTGGAGTCTGAACTAGAACGTTACGAGCGGCTAGATCTCTATGGACTAGACGTTTTTCTTCTAAGTATGCCATACCACGAGCTATTTGAGTACACCAATTGAGAAATGCTTTGGACCCAATTTTCTCTTTATGTGTTCTAACATAATCTAATAAACATCCAAGAGGCATCAATTGTGTTATTAACATCATTTGATTTGTCATGCAAACGGCAAGCAGTTGGAGTAAATTAGGATGTTCAACACTAGCCATTATGTAGGCTTCTTCTAAAAACTCCTTGCTAGTACTAGCACCAGTTCCTTCTTTTAAAACTTTAATGGCAACAGGGATTTTGACATTTTCTCCTTCAGGAACCCACACTCCTTTATAAACTTTACCGAAGGCTCCGAAACCGAGCATCCCTCCCCGCCTCAGCTCAGCTTCTTTTACGATTCTCAATTTTGCTAGATTAGGTTTGACGTTAGTTGGCCTCAAGGGCTCGTTATCTTCACATCCTGTCAAAACCATTGTCATTTTTACTGCTTCTTTTTTAGCTTTAGCTTTTTGTCTGCATGTGTAGCCGATAATAACAAGAATGATGAGAAGTATAAATGCTAATACTAAAATAACTACTAAAACAGTAGAAATTTTAGCTGTTGACATGTTGGGAACACCATTAGCTGTGGCAGAACAGTAAGGTTCTTGAATAGGATTTTGTAGTAATTCGTCAAAATATATTTTATGTGGTGTTTCACTTGGACAGGTAGGAGTACAATTGAAAGTTTTAGAGTTCATATCGCCAATGAAAATTTTTAAATTTTGGCACTTCAAGCAATCCATTGAAGATGGGCCTACGCATCCTTTACATTCATGATGACATGGTGTACAAAGTCGATTGATTTTGTCTGTAAAATGATCTGTTGGACATTCGTCCTCACATTGGTCCCCTCGCTTAAATCCGTTACAAACTTGGCACACTTGTTCATGTATCCCAAATCCAGTGCATTTATAGCAAAGCGGGTGACATTTACGGCAAGCAACTTTTACTTTTCCCTCTAGAGGTTTGACATTACCAACCCATTCATTGTAGTAGCCATCGGGGCATGGTTCGTTCTCTTTGAGGCAACTTTCGACCGTAGCTTCTACACTAATTATGGCTTTTTTGCAAAAATTGCAACCACCATCACCAACTGTGTTTGCTGGACCAGTGCATCCATTAAAACAATTCTGGTGACATGGTTGACAAGTACCATTCTCCGTCGCGTATCTTGATCCAGGACATTCAGCAACACAATACGGTCCATCACGTACGTGTTTACATTTCGTGCAGTTAGCTCTGGTTGGCCCAGTACATTCGTCCAAACATTCAGCATGACATTGTTCACAGGTCTTCAGGCCTGCTTTGTACAATCTGAAATAAATTTAACACGTTTAATATATGCTTTAATTTTATTGGTAATAACGTAGCAGTGCCATGTTCATTACGTCTACCTGAACTCAGCCACTAACATTGCATGGTTATTATGTATAAGTATAGATACATGGCGTAACTACTATCTACTTTTAATACTTACTAAATACGGTAATAATACGTAATAAATAATTATATATAAGTACGTTCGCAATGCAAATATGCGATGATAAATAATTAGGTGTATAGATATGTTTTTTACAAAAACAAATATACTAAATGATACGAACCCGGGAATTTTTGAGCAGTTTTTTATGCAGGTTTCTCCAAACTTGTAATTTTCACAAGATAGGCATTGATCAGGGCCTGGACCCCAACATCCATCTGACGAGCATTCGTCGTCACATACCAAATTTGCCTTTTCTGTTAATTGAACAAAATAATAGAAATTTACATAAGATAAAATATAGCTATATTTGTAGAAATCTATATAAATGAGTATCCAGTCGCTTGGCAAATATAGGCTTAAGTTAGTGGAGTTAGTAAATGAGAGAACTGTTAAAGATTACGCAATAGTTCGCTTGCTTTAGCTAATGAGATTAATGATAAGATATCACATAATTGCGTTTTAAAAAATGTAATTAAATCGCATTAGCAATGTTATAAATAATTAAATTAATTCTAAATGAGGATCCTCGAAATAAAGCGCAGAGCATTGTACACTTACCACATGTCCTTTGGTCGCCATTTTTCTGTATAACCTGTTTGTGATCTTTAGATTTCACTAGTTTATTCCAAGAAATGTGCTCAGCGAAACAAAGGTGACGGTTTTCCATAATTGCTATTGCACCTGAATTGACTCTTTTTAACGACTTTAAGCCTAAAGATTTTAAAGATGTTTTGACAATATAAAGGGAAGCAAATAAGTTTTCAACCACTTGGCGACCTCCAATAACTTCTAAGTTTCTAAAATAAGAGAGGCTGGTGAAGTTTGGATGATGTGCTTGAACGTTCAGATATCCGGTCACCTCTCGCACAGTGCTGAAGACTTCTAAAGCATCAGGATCCATCTTCGGATAGCGCTCTCCAAATGAATAATCTGGATTGACTTGCTGGAAACCAGTAAATGTCATCTCAAGTATTTCTATTGACCCGTCTATGATAGTACAATCTCTAAAGCTGTCGATATTTCCAGAGTGAATAGGTTTTTCCGCACGACAAGTTTTTGGACACGTCACATTACACGGAATGCATTCTCCATTGACTGCTGTTTTATTAGGGGGACAGCTTCTAACACACGCTCCGTTATCTTTAAGTAAATGTTCTGGACAGTTTCTCACACAAGTCGCACCATAAGCATACTTTCCACTCGGATTTGGCTCCCAAGAATAGGTAGTAGGGTTATATTTCTGCATTGGCGGGCATTCTTGCGAACAAGTACCTTCGTCATAGAAGTTGCGACACGCTAAGCACTGACTCGGCAGTGGTCCCGTGCAGCCTCCGGCACAGAAGGTATTGCAGCAGTCCCTTGGATTGGGTCCAAAGCAGCGGCCTTGTGCACACTGTGGGCTACAGTTCGTTTTAGAAAACTTTTGGCAATTGTGTGCTCCATCGCCCCAGCAACCTGCTTCGCAACTCGGGTGGCACGGAGGACATTCTCTTTCTAGTGCAGTAAACGTATAGACAAACACGTATGTTGCATTTATGCCCGTTATTATTTCATCCCAATTTATAGTCTTCACGTGGCACAAATTATAGTTATTATAAATACCCACGCTTCCTCGCAAGATGTCACGTAGAGCTGGAAGCTCTAATGTAAACGCTGAAGACATAGTAACAAGAAGCGCGAATTCTTCTTCTCTAACTTTCAATTTGAAAAGAGTCCGTCCTCGTATAATTTGTAATTGCGGCAAAATAATTTGCCCCACTTTGACGTGAGAGATGAGGACGTAACCGGTGACCTCCCTGATGTGTTGGAGAAATGAGAGGTCCATAGTCTCATTTTGTAGCCAAGTCAACTCTAGATTGCCGTCAACATAAGTGCAGTTTGTGAATCTGTCGCGCAGGTTGCGGTAATGCGTGTCCCTGTTTGAAGGGACAGACATACGACCGTTTGTACCGATGCAAACTGAAAAAGAAACATATGACAGTTACTATAATGTAGAAACAATTTAAAACGTAAAAGATTATTAGCAAAATAAAAAAATAAAAATAAAAAAAACAAACAAAAAGTCTCAATTCTATTAAGAAGTTCAAATAGGAAATATCACTCTAACTTCATTTATAAAGCTTTTTGGTTGGTTAGTTCTTATCATAATTATTTTTCAACATCCTAAGTAAGTGAAAAACATGTGAAGTGAGGTGACTTAAGTTGCAATCTAGGAGTGACATTCGGACTTTACATAGCGTGAAGCGTCGGAGGCTGCGCGGGGGCGACGGGCGGGGGGAGGGAGTGTCGTGTGGGCGGGCCGGCGGCTTCGGAGCCTGTTTTCTCTACTACGCTACACGTAACACCGCTATTTGTGATTAAACTATGAAAATAGATTACAATGCCGCTTTGTTATGTTACCCGAAATTAAGGTGTAAATAATATAAATGGATATGTGTCTACACGAATTAATTGTACCGCTCGAACTTTACGGGTGGATGATTTATTTTTATAAGGTATATAGCTGACGTATTTTGGTTTTAAATGTTTTATTTGGACTATTCGAGTTTATAGATGGAACATATATTGCGCGGAGGCGCCATGCTCCGGTCGTGATTTACCATGATTTTATCACCTAGTTCACGTTAGGTACCAGAATAGACTACAAAAGTTTCATTCTCTCGTGTCTTTGTAAATTTACTTACTAAAAATTCATTGAGCCATTTTATTCACGAAACCAAAAAATTAACATTAACATAATTTTTCAAAAATCTTCTTCATTTTAAAGTAGTTGACGGAAAATAGACAGGTGTATACAAAGTATTAGCAATTCTTCAATGAACTACTAGATTCCTACGAAGTAACTTTCAGTAAAGTCATACTTTTTTATTTTGCAGAATTTTAAAATTGATATTATTCTTTGTACTCCAGTCATGGGTGTTTATATTTATAATATGTATGTCTTTAAAGTTATATATGTTTAGCGTATCAACTATCTGGTGTCCATACCATAACACAAGTCTCGCAGCTCACCATGGAACTAGATGGTGCTGTGTGTCGATGTCCCAACATATTTATTATTCCGAATAATTATTAAAATAAAAATGACGATGATAAAACGCTGGCACTTTAAAAGAAGCAACTCAACTCTGCTATAAATCCTAAACAAAGTAGTCATAAAGTAAATTTTACCTGTTTTCGATGACAAAGGATTTTTTAAGCCGTTACATTGTGTCGTCGAGTGCATCCATTGCGGCGACGTCATTCGATATGTTTTTGCTCGGGTTCGGGCCTCAGGTAAATTCATTAGGTTTATTGTTCTCACTTCGTTTGGGATTCAATACTTGTACATACAATACGTAAATACGCGTGCCAAAGAGCATACAGCTTCCAAATTTGACTAAATTTTTGCAAATTGTTCGTAATAATACGTGTGAGAATGAGATAATTCTCATAATACACCAAATATGTATTTAAAAAAAATTAGACTATTTAATTCTGACGACGCGAATCGATACGAAAATTGATAAACAATGAACATAAAAACTATATGCGATTTTGCTCAACAAAATTAGAAGTCGACCTGACTTTTAAGTATTTTATATTATATCTTCGTGCGCTTTTGATTCTGCCGCTCCTCCCACTCGGTTATACGACCACTTTTAAACGTTGTCAGAAAGTGCGGTTCCCGCTACATTTAATAATTGTTTGGTTCGGTCGCTTATTGTGTGGGTAGTAGAAATCTGGTGTCCGGTCGACCCAGTTGCACACAGCCGATGACACGGCCGATAGCATTGATGTATGGACGCCGCTTGGTCACCGGTGCGGCACACGAGTGGGCCCGCCGACTGCCGCGGGGGACGCAGCACGCAGTCACGCGGGAATTAATATATCAGAAGTAAGGTTAATTTGAAAAATTACTGTTAAAGGCATTTCCTGCAATCACGGAGGTCATAGGAAATGCCGCAATTTTCTGCGCAAGGAACGTTTGAATGTCCCTGTCGGCGGCGGCCAAGCTGCAACGTAAGTGACTGGTTTGTCTCAGGCTAATGTTTTTATCCAGTTACTTGCATTCTGAGGCGCTGAAACCAGTTTCGATCCACTAACATTTCATTAGGGCAGCTCGGCCTTTCACTACAATGTGCTCGCGAGCGGACAGCTCTGCACGACGCCACATCTCGCTGTACTTTCTTCCTCCTCGAAAGGAAATAAAAATTAGAAAACTAAAGCCAAAATTTATTTTTAACACATTTAACACGAGATGACCGTACTTTGTATTACGAGGGAGATCACATATGAAGGACATTGACAATATCTATCAATCCACCCGTTTGTCCGCTATTTTGAGTTAGTTTTATGGGATGCCTTATACTAGCAGCATTACCTACTAATGTACATACATTGAAGTGGACTGCGACACACGTACCTATGCACCTATGAGTCAAACGCGAGTAGAAATAAAAAAAACTACGTTTAAAAAACCGACTTCAAAAACTAAAAATTATAAAATAACTTAATAAAGACTAAATTTAATACACCTCTTATGCAAATCTAATACCTTTACTATTATTCGCGATCTGAGAAATCTATTCTAAAGGCACCGACTTCAAACCTATCAATAGGTAGCACCTACAGATAATAGTATTTTATTAATATTAAAGGTATTAGGTTGGCGTAAGATGTATTAAATTAAGTTTTTATTAAGTTACTTTATACTTTTTAGTTTTGAAGTCGGTTTTTTTAAACGTACATAGTTTTTTTTATTTTTTTTTACTTTTTAGTGTCTGTAATAGGTTATTCTATAAACTACTGTAGGTAATAATATAACGATTGGTTATAATATTTCTCAGTTTCTCTACTCCGCACGCTCGCTCCGCTTCAATGACAGGTAGCCTAATACCCTGTATGAAGCATTGGGGCCAGACCTGTCCCTGCCGGCCGTGGTGCGAGCCTTGGTCGGCGAGGGGTGGTGTTGGCGCTCTATGCTGTCCTTCTGCGAATCCGTGAGCCAACCGTACTGGACGGGATTTGAGCACCCATCGGGCAACGCTGAAAAGGTCGCTGTCGAATGCGCAAGCGATCCCGTGGCCCTGTCTCTTGCGATAGGGATCAACTTAGTGGGTAGTCTGTCGCGCTTCCGCGCGGCCCCCGCGCTCGGGCACCCGTAAAGGGGTTTCCACACGAATAAAAAAAGCCTAATACTCACTAATCAGGACCCGGGTTAATAATAATATAAAATCAACCTAAATAAAAACTCCTAAAAAAGCCGTACACAAACTAAAATGAAATGAGATCGTCCACGTTAACAAAAATTTTCATTAAAAAAAATTATAATATAAAAACTACTGGGCCAAACTATGTTAAATTTTTATGGGACCAAATGGCAACTATTCCGCATCAAACTAAAGAAGAATTCCGTAAATCGAATCATAAATATCAGCTTAATCGGTATACATACAAAAATTAAGGAATATATTTTTTAATTGAACATTGAATTCAACAGTTGTTTTAGTGCCGTAAGCCTATAGTGATAAAGAATTTGGATTCGAAGGGAAATTTCCGAAAAACATTTTATAATGAGAAATGAATGAAAACATCGACGATAATGATTTCAACGACATATGATAATAAGCTCGCTCTGCCCGACTCGGTGAAGAAACCTCTCGATAAGAACATTCCAAATTCTTTTTAAAACACGTTTATTAATTATATTCATAATGAATGGGAGACTATCATAACACATACTTATATAATCATCCACCGCAAGAAATCAAATTAGATATTTAAAATATAGACAGATAAAATTTTATTCGCTGCCATATTCCAACGTAAAAATAAAAAACTACAAAAAAAAAACAAATCATATAAACTATAATATATTTTGAATTATTATTAATTTATAAAATTAAACCTAAACATGCTTGTAAATATCATAAGTTTGATATTCTAACCTACGCTCTGTGCGCTCCAGGGCCTAGCGCTAGGCTCACGACACTGGGCGGAGACAGGCCGTTTCTCGAGAGTCATTTTAGAGTTTAGGCGATTGTACGGTTATTTTACATGAAAATTCGATATTTAAGACGGCACTATTCGGGTCAAGAAACTCCGTGACTTACAGATTCTCGCATCTCATTATACTTGATTGACTTTAAATAGACGTCGATGCCAGCTTCGTAAATGAGGTGCATATTGTTAATTCAGTAATAAAACTCGCATTCCAACATGTGATAAATAATAAATTAGAAGACGTTCAAAATTTTAATAATTATAGAGTCGTTATTAAAAAAGGAATATCTTTTATATCATTTTTATTATCTTACCTGTTGTTTGTGTTCTTGGTCATCGAATGGTTTTGAATATTATAACGATTTTTGTGATTTTGTGTTTGGAGAATAGTATCAAATAGTAAAATTAATAAATGTGAGGCTTCGTCGAGTTATAACCAACCATAATTATAAGTGTCTGTGTCACAGGATCCATATACGTATTGTTTAGAATAATAACTGAATTTGATTACATACTGAGTTTGAAAAAGATTTAAAGATACAGTTAAAATAACCTATAGCTCCTCCATTCCGCCTCAAAAATATATAAGTTATTTAAGTTATTCGAGTTTTTATGAGTGCTAATTGTTGTAACGCAACTTGTTATTAATATCATTTTAATCACGCTGATGTCTATAACGAGTTATTGGTCACATTAAATTAGCAATGTCTGTTTTCTCGCAATAGATACAAATAAGATGTGATCGTGTCAACTGCCACCTCGCACTTTACCCCTTGGTTTGTAGCCCCAACTATGGAGGGCGGGTAATTGTTGACTGTACACCGACCAAGAGAATAATCAAATAAAACAATGGAGCTTTGAAAGCCGCTGCTTTATTGAGAGTTATAAGACAAGTGGAAAACAAGTTCGTCGTCTTTGAGATAATGAATGTTCTGGATGAATCCTAACGAAAGATACCTCTTTCTCTTCCCAAATGCCTACTCGTCATTTTGTCTTGTTAATTTGTTTTTGACAAATCAAATTCAAACACATACATGAACAGTTTTACTGTTTTTAGGCTTTTGTCTACAAATTTAAAAAGTATTAGAGATGTCCATTCACATAATTCTATTTTATTACTTATTGATTAGTGGTAATTGTGTCAGTTAAAATCAAAATTCACCAAGCAGTTAAAAATGTCCGCGTTAAGAATGCCGGTGTTGAGATAATGTAAACTAACTAAAATAACCGCTGAGGTACTTAATTGTAGTTTAAAGAGGTATCACATAAAGCAGAGTAGTTTATGAGTTCTTATTTAATGTTTAAAGTGTCAACTTTAATGTTTTTCTTACTACCTATTCAAATTAAGCATCACATCGTTAGAAGAGTTCGTGTGGAAATATACCGTAATTGCTACAAAGTTCGAGTGCGGCGCGCCGTATGCGAGCGGGTTGATCCAGCTCACCGCCGCGCTGTTGGCCTGTTGTCGCGCCGCGTCGCGAACTTGGCGTACAACTCTTTAGTCGAAAATTTCATTCATTACACGTTAATTTATAGAATATAAATAAATAATTTGTATTAATACATAAAGCGATGAAATATTCTATACATACATATGATAAAACTGTAGAGGTCGAATGTCTATACAAAGAAAAAAAATGCTAAAACCGAGTCAGGGGATCTAAGAATGTAATAGGGATCTAAGGATAGAAGAAATAGAACAAATCCAGATTTTTTCAATTATTTTGTTTCTCTGTCTGTTTGTCTGTCTGTTTATCTGTTTGCCTGTTTGTACGGGCTAATCTCCGAAACTGTTAGACTGTTGTGGTACCTTATATCCCCGGTCAACATTTTAGATACTTTTCATCCCGGAAAATTAAAGAGTTCCCGTGGGATAGTTAAAAAACTATAGTGACATATACAGCTTAGTATACAACAACTTAGGAACCTAATTTAGTAAAATTTGGCATGCTATCAGCTTAAGGTATCCCTTATATGGCCGGTCAAACAATGTGTATCATTAAATTTATAAATCCCATAAAAGTGACGGCTTCCCGCGGGAAAGTAAAACATTAAACAGTGTATAGAATAGCGTCTTTCATACTAAATCAATTGTGTGTGACGGACGTGATTTTGACCTAAAGCAAAGGTTACTTATTATCCCGGAAAAATGTACGGTACACGTGGGATAGGTTTGTTATTGTTTACCTAGAGGCGAACTCGAACGAAGCGAGGGTGAATCGCTAGTATATATATATATATATATATATATATATATATATATTTAATTGTCGAAGGTTGTCATCCCGCTACAATATGTTTCATACAATAGTATAAAATTTATTTGCGTTACATTTTTGAGAAAATAATACATTTCAATTTTCAATAAACGTTAATCTTAGTTTTTCTTTCATTTCATCGTACATATAAGGAATAAACTAAGGAACTAATGCTATTTATTTGAAAGTTCAGCAGACCATTAGGACTTTTTCTATGTATACCTATCCGTGAAGTCACATGAGAAATGCTGTAAGTCGAGGGAACGCAAGCTGATTATTGTTAATAGATTTAGATTAAATGTTAGCAATGAAATTCATTATTAAGTGTCTATAATATTAGCATATCCCGAGAAATGCGCACAGGGGTGCGAGGAGAACAATGCGCAAGAGATCCAAGTGTTTGTTTACTCGCTGGACCAGCGCGTGCGGGACGGCCGCGGGGGCGCGGGCACTCTCCACGACAAAAGATACGTGGAGACTTATGCTTCCCGTATAATAATTTTGATTTGTGTTATCGGATTAATTTAAAAACTATCGAGTTATGTTAAATAAAAAAAAAACATAAATTAAGAGTTCATATTTTTAGCATAAGTATATGAACATAAAGTTTTTCAAGGCTTTAACACTCGTCAATAACGCACCCACGCGTACCTTGGTTTTATACCAAAATCCTTTGCCAAAAACAGTCCGGGGTCTGGATCGTTTGTCTCGGGAACATTATTCTTATTGAGTGAAGAATCATGAGGCGTTCTAATATTTTTACAATAAAGAAATATAAACTTAACGTAAATGGTTTGATTCCAGCAACCAGCTCGTATTGAGTTATTATTTCATGTAGATCTATGATATAATCGCTCGATAATGTATGTATACTAGTTTTGTCACAGAGCATCTAGTTAAATTATAACTAATAGAGATCGAACTAACTACATACATGCCAAATTCCACCAGTGATCTTGTCCGAATGTGATCACGAGAGAGGTCTATACGTGTAAGGTGTGGGCGGCCACTTACTCTTTCCCTTGACGAACTCGGAGTGTTTGTGGCGGGCGGGCACGACGTGGTGGGTGCGCGCCGGGCGCGCGGCGTAGGCCTGCGCGGCCAGCGAGCACAGGCACCATAACAGAACACGGGCAGCCAACATGCTGCGACATCACTCACGACACGGCCACTACCGACCGCCGCAACCTTCCATCGTGTACTGGCCCGCCCGGTTTGAGAGCCTCGCCTCGCCGCGCCGCGTGCGCCCGCGCAACCATAGACCGAATATGTCATAGAATTTCCACTTTATGTTTATTTATTTTGAAACTTCATTTGTGTGTCTAGAATTATTTCATTTTTATTATTAATATATTAATTTACTTTTATTCGTGTGCTAGCGGCTCACCCTCGCTTCGCTCGGGTTTGTCGCTAGGTACGTTTTAATTAGATATAAATAGTTATTAGCCAGCGTTAGCCATATACATTATAATTTTTTTTTGTTAATAATATTGACAAAAATTACATTAATATTTATACGATACTAACGTCACTCAATTGTTTACCTTCCCGGAACCTCTCCACTAACACTTAAACTTTATGGTATGGTATTAAAGTTCAAATTGACTTTTAAGTATTATTACGAATCTTTTGTATGGGAGTATAGAAAAGTTTGTTTTTTAAATTTTTCTCTCCGTAAGAACTATCCTCGTACTTCAAGAAATATTCTAAAAAAAAGATTTTTTTATATTATAAATATTGTAATGAGTTGTTAGAAATAAATTGTTATATTTAAGTAAAAAGAAGATACAATTTTTCATAATATTATGTTAAGTATGGTAAAAAATATATTATCTTTAGAGCTTATTATCAGATTTTGGTACAGTCAGTAATTGGTTCATTATTAAGTTTTTATATAACAACTGTCTCTGTTATTATAGCCTCAACAAGTTAAAAAAGGACTGTAATATTTACGTTTTTCCTAAATCTTTTTTAATTATTTACAGTTTTTAAATTAGAAGCTGTCATTTTTTAAAAAGTTTTTGAAATATCTTAGGTTATATAATCGATTGAAATCACGCCAGAAACATAGTAACGTCTATATTTTTTTGAACTGTCGTTGGATTGGAGTTATTGAGATATTTAAAGGCGAATTTCATTAATAATAATAATAAAAGTACAAAGTAGGTGTGTAATATACGTATACATATATATATATATATATATATATATATATATATATATATATACATATATATATACATACATTTAAGTATATTACAAATAATAATGATGCAAAAGTATTTTTATGAAGTAGCTTATGTGTTAATAAATATTGGAATGTATTATTATTGTTGGGTCTATACTGCTGTAATATGAGATAAGGCATGTCTATGCGTGTATAGATCTATGCCGAGTGGTTCTGCCTCCCACTAGCACAGGTAAGCGCAGCGACGCACACAGGCAAGGAGGTACACGGGTGAACGCAGGTATGCGCCGGAGTCCGACCGCGGACAGAAAAAAGCCACGTAACAAAAGTTTAATAAGTACGCATTGTAGCCCGTGCTAGGACTGATACGAATAATGATTGAACTCTGTAAAACTGGACCTCGGGCCTCGGCGGTTTTTGTGAAGGTTGATCCGATCTAACACCAGCAATTAATATGCCGCCCCGCCTTCTGCCGCCCTCCGCGCTCGCCCTCTGCGCTATACATCACACTCCTCTTCATAGACACAGCGGGCATAGTTTTTATTACATATCTATCGCTTTCTATCTTCTTTAAGATGTCAACGCAAATTGATTGTTATAAATAAAAGAAATGGATGAATATATGTAAGTCACTGTAAACAGAACTCGCTCGCGCTAAACGCAAATAATTTAGTATCAAGTCCTTATTACCATATTAATGAATAAAGGATAGTCCGCTTTAGTTAAGTTTATTATACTGTAGTCATTCCAGTGAACGCGAAGGCAACTGAGTTGTTTTGTGTGCACAGAAGATTGCAAGCGCGCGTTGAACTCTTTACGAAAGTCGAATACGGAGTCTCCTTTCGATAACATAACACGATCATGACACGATTTAAAGTACTGAATCCACGACCATTGCTGGTTATTTTCGTTGTAAAACGCAACCAGCTGGCGGGCGCAGTGCAATGCATGTATCGTTAGCTTTATTGTCGTCTATCAAGCGGTTGAAAATGAATGTTTAGTCTGCCGTAAAGCCTTAGCGGGTTCGCCTCACATTCCTGAATTACAGTTTCGTTAGATTAGAATTATGTTAGGAATTTTAGAAACAAACAGACGTTAACTGCATGAAAATGACATTTACGGCATGAAAGTAAACAACGTTTCAAGTTATTATGTAACACTGGTGCGGCTCGGGATGTGAACTAAGCGGAAATTTTTATCTCAATTTATTCGCAGATATAATAATATCTAAGATAAAAGGTATAATATGAACAGTATTTACCGATTTCATTAAATTTTGTAATAATGATAGCATATTTCTCAACTTTCAATCAAAGCTTGCGAGAGCTAACGAGGCATAGCTGATGCTCTTCTGGAAAGTCAACAAAAGTTTGACAACAGGAGTGCTTTGTTTGTTAGTACAATGCCGTTTTAATTTTTATTTGCATAGTGCACGCAGCGCGCGCGCTACGTCGCCGCCCCGTCGCCGTCCCGTCGCCGTCCCGTCGTAAGTTACATTTACTAGTATTACGACATAGCCTTAATATTCCAGTACAAATAATTACTAAAGTTATTATAAATTTACTGCGTAAAGATAAATTAATAACAACGTAAAGTTGATTCTGTAATAACAGTCGAGCGCGCAGTGACGATATAACTACGAGTATAAACTACCTTAGTGCTGTTAGTTCCAGTATAATAGATGAAGTACTCAGTACTGAAAGAAGCTTCACTTTTTGTATATCGCTGTCGTTAAATTGGAAACAAGGTACCTACTCGAAGAAATGCTCCACAGACAATGCAGATTAGAGGCCGCCCTATTGTGCGCTATGACTGAGCCTTAAACACTTTTATAAGCACTTGACTTAGAAGGCTGATCGTCTTTAGCATGAAAAGAAGATTCTAATTTCAAGTGCGATTATTATGTGCGATTAGATATTACTCTAACAAACAGTCTCTAGGCTGGGGTGGCGAGGCTGCGCCTGCGCCTGAGGACTGCGCCGGCCGTCGAGCTTGGCCACCACGCGGTCATATTGAAAATCATACTTGTATTCATTAATATAAAACATATTAAACTCTTATAATTGCGAGAATCGTGAAGGTTTGTAATAAAAAACGCATTCTCGGAGTCGATCCGCACCCCACCGCGCCGGCGGGCCCGGCGGCGACCGGACTACTGCTCTCGACACTCCACTCTAATGTTTATTAATAAGATTGAATTTTAGATTATTATGGTACGCGCTGTTATTTTGGGTTGAATATAAATAATAAAATAAGGCCTTTTTATATCCCAAATCGTAGATATTAAAAATGAAGCATCTGTTACTCCCGAGTGCCGACTGTTCGCCATAATCGCTTCGATATGTCAGACACGAGTTGGACGATTTATCACTCGTCGATCGCTCGTGGTACAGGTATCGATACTGACCGTCGGATTCACTCTGTTCCTTTTGTGTGTAACAAAAATGAACATTTGTTCTCGGGTTTTTGTCATTTTTTTAATTAAATAACCATGACGTGGTTTCCATCACTACAGAGTCGACTATAAGCAGAGAGCGTTGTTTCATAATATCTAATTCTGCCTCACGATTTACGTTGAGATCTTTTTTAAGCTATTCGTAACTACGGATATTATCGTAACGTAAGGCTAGCTCTGTCGCATTGTACACGCGAGTTCCATCACTCGGATAACAGACACGAGGCGACAGCAATTCTACATTCGATGTATCTATTACTTTAAGCTTTATTTAACCTTTTGAATCGTACTTACCTACTCTACAAGTACTCGTACAATAGAGACATCGAATTTAAATTTGATTTCTTGCTGATGCAATCTTAAATTTTTGATTATTAAAGTTTCGGTAACTTTCTTGATATAACCGTGTTCTAAAGTAACGTAAAATTTTTTTTTTTTATGTTTACGATCGTACTGTGATAAATAAGAGCTTTCTTTCTTTACAGATCGAATGTTATGCTAAGTATGACTTTGCCCCGAGATATGGATCCCGTTTGTTGCATGTCGCTTGAACACCAATTCACATGGTAATGTCGGACGTTCGTGGAATGATCACCGTCGCCCTCGCGATACATGTCTCTCCTTGCATCCTGAAGCTTTGTATGAATTTATGAATAATAAATGTACATACTTTTTCAACGTACTTGTTATAGCGATAGCGTATTTCTAATCGCAATTAGATTAGGACAACGACGTGACAGGCGTGCGTCGCTGCGTGGAGGTGGTGTGTGCAGAGAGGTGAGTGAAGTTGTAACTGGAATGACGATCAGGCTGTATGTAGTATACCAGTGTGGAACGATAAAGATCGGCGAGCATGTCCGCGTCGGGAGACAGACAGCAGTGCGTCGCGTCGCGGACAAAGGGCTCGCTTGTATTCACACGCTTGTCACAAAAGATGTTTTTTGCGCGCAGATATTCCGAACGAAACCTAAACGCGGACCGCATTGTGGCAGCGCACCATATTTTGAATGTTCATTTTATTTTCTTAGGAATTTAAGACCGCATTTACAGCATGTGACGTCGCTGAGCAAGTCATTACGACTTACTTATCAACTTACTCCTGTCTACGTATAGCGGTAGCTAAACAATATTGTTTTTACTTTTCTTCTTTGAACAGATTCGACACCACTTCAGCGAGGTGAGAACGTGACGCAGTTACTTATTGCGTACATCATGCTGTTGTCATAATGCACAAGTGTCGGACTAAAGTAGACGAGCGTAATCAAAAATAAAATACAAGATAGGTGGCTTTTGTCTCAGTGGCGTCCGCCCGGGCGGGGGCGCGGTGGCGCGCAGGTACCTTGGTGGCGCTCATTTTATTTTACCTTTTTTAATGTTATTCTTTTTTAGTAATCCGCATGTTTTATGGCTTGTTAAACAGTTTGTTACGATCAGAGTTCGCTAATTAAATAGCGCGACCCTCCAGCCGCCTCAGCCGAGCCGGTAGCAGGAAACTGTTGTTATTGACGATGCTTTAAATTTTTTTCTTGTGTTTATGTACTGACGAGAGGAAATAACATACATGTGAATATAATCTAAGTGAGAGTTGAGTAGGTTAGTTATTTGTGTTTGTTTTAAATAATAACGAGCTGTTTCAATTATCTCAGGAGCCTCCCGAGACGCTCCCCTCCCCCTCCCCCCCTCCCCGCGCCGCCCCGAGCCGCCGAACGCGAAAATCAGAGGTACAAATTGATTCATAGCTCTCAATTATCAACAACCGGAACATTAATTACGCTAAAGTGTTTTCGGTTACGACGCATTTAATTTATTAGCGCTCGAATCGTTTGTAGAGTATGCCATAATGAGAAGTTATACGTAGAGCAGACAACGATCACAAAAAACAATTTCCTGTAATGGTGGAAAGAATTAAAATAATTTCCTTCATATTTGAATGATGCGGTAAGCATTAACAAGCGCAAATATGGCCTGCTTCTCCGGTTGAAAGTATAACCGAGCAGCTCCCTGCACCGACCAGGCTCCAAGCACGAAGTGTATGATATGGACACGTCTCTGATAGAGTTAGATCGCTGCTCAGATAGTGTTAGTTATAAATAAAATATCTTCCTGAATAATTATTACGACCGAGCCAATCGCAGCGCGCGGCTTGAAACAGAAAATTATAATGTGGCTTATCGACTAATACTAATGCAAAAGTTTTATAAAAATACACAAAGTATATAAATAAATATGTTAAGACATTAATACACAACACCATCTAGTTCCATAGTAAGCTATGAGACTTGTGTTATGGTTAGCAGATAGTTGATACACTACACTTCTTCTCCCTGCCCATTTCCCAATTACTTGGGGTCGGCGCAGTACATCCTCTGTACTGCTGAAAGGATTTGGCAAAAGTTTTACGACCGGCCGCCTGCCTGACGTCAACCCTCCTTGGGAATGCTATTGTTTATCGCGGAATATGTCTTATGATATGTCTCTGATTATGTCTTGTAATATGATGCACATTTAGATTTTAAAACATTTTTTATACTATTAATTAAAGTTTAATGTTATTTTCGTATATATTTTAAAATAAATTTTAATCACACTATAAATTTTGGTTTGACGTTGTCAAATTTTGCACTACACATATGTATATAATTTTAAATACATACATATTATAAATATAAACATCCATGAGTGGAGTACAAACATTCGTAGTCGTCGTACAAATGAATGCTCCCAGCAGGACTCAAATCCGCGACCGCTGGCACAGGAAGAAGGGTCACTATAAACCGAGCCAAACGTGTCGTATGCTAATAATAATAATAAAAGTGTACGGTAAAAAGCTCAGATTGGTGGATTACATCGTCACGGCATGGCGCGGCTCGGCCGAGTGTCTGCTCTCTGCTCGTTTGTCAGGTACCTACGTGTTAATTAGCATTACTAAGTGGCTCAGTATCTGTTGGGAGTTAATACTTGCTAATATGCCGCCTGCGATATGATTGCGGATATCATATGATGTGACAAGCATGTATCATTTTAAATCGTCCGTCTTTAAAAAATCAGTGTGTTTGTGAATCATCATGGAGTGGAGCGGGCTTAAATCCCGGGTCTCGCACCTCTGATAATTTCATATGCGAATCAATTCCAACATGATTACCACTTACTTTACGGTGAAGGAAATCATCGTGAGGAAACCTGCATGCCTGAGAGAACCTAGCAATTTTTGCAAAGACATGTGAAGTCCGGCAATCCGCACTTACACAGCGTGGTGGACTATGGCTTGAACCCCCTCGTATTGAAGGGAGGCGCGTGCCCAGCATTGGGATGTTAAAAAGGGCTGAATATGTAATACGCAAACCCACTACTATACTTAGAATAAACATTAATTTTATTAAAGATACAGAGTGAATATTATATTTACAATTTTAAATAGACGCCATTTGCCGATCATAAAGAGAAGGTAGTGCGCAGGTTGTAGGTTGCAGCGGGCGCGGGTGGGAGTGTTGCTCGTCAACTAAGTACCACAATCATAAATCATATAATTTGTTCACTTGCGTGCGTCTAAGTAAAGCGGCAAATAACTTAATTTATTGTTTCTTGTTAACTAATTTTGCAGATACAAATAGGAGCCATTTTATAAAATTATTTGCTTCTCACGACCTTTAAGAGATAAATATGTACTGTTCCGTAGGACATTATACAACTATAGCTACTTAAGTTTTGAACTATTTTTAAATTTCACTAAATGTATGATAAATTAAAGAGTTATTATTATAAAAAAAAAATGAATTGTGAAACCCTTACAAAACCAAGAGTTAATTTTGCACAATAAAGTGACAGGAGTGTGTAACGTAATAGCCGAATTCTTCGCCGGCAATGAAAGGACTAGCGGTTGGCGACGAGCGCTATGCGGGCCCCGCCCGGCCCCGCACGGCCCCGGCCCCGCACGGCCCCGCCCGGCCCGGCCCGGCCCGGCCCGGCCCGGCCCGGCGCTGCCGAGCTCACGTTACTCGTTAAAGCTGTAATAAATCACACTGAGTACTGATACTTATTGAGTTATTTTGCTTCGTTTGGGGTTTTTTTTTGATTTTGTAATAAATTGAACTTAGATATACTATTAAATGAGCGATATTTGTATAACACACATATTTGTAATCACGTTTTCGGAAAGGGTTATATATCTGGGAAAAAATCCTTTTCTTCGTATTTTCACGCAAAAAGATTTGCCCGCCGCCGCGGCATCAGAGTGATATTTAGAAAGATACATTAGCTTACTACGTCGGACAGAAGTTTCTGTTTTTATCCTAATAATATGAATAAGCAATTCTTGTACTCGTGTAATTTTATTTAGTTTATTTCGTGTATCTCCAAGACGACTCTATTACGATATGGATCAAATTTTGTATTTAGATAAAGTTTTGATTATTTAAGTTTATCTATACCCATAGGTGACTTTTCTGAAATTTTATATATTTACCGAAAAGTGCGGAGCGAAGTTCGGTTGCCGCCATTCAGTACTATATAACATACTCAGTACATACTTAGTTCGGTACAATATTTTTAATATACAATTACGTGAACTTCCATGCTACGGTAATGTTTACAACGGTGCTGAGATGAACGGCTTTTACTTGTTAATTCTTCCTCTAAATGTTAGAAATACCTAAGGACAAAATTATGATGAGATAGGGATATCTAAATAAAACAAAGCTTCACCCAGACCCATCTAGATATCATTATCTTGACAGAACTACACTGTCTGTGTGTATATTTACTTAGTCAAGTGCAACTGTATGCCAAGTTCATTTTACTTATGTATGTATATGTATTATGTAGAGCAAAGATTCTGTGACATTCTTGTAATAATGAGTATAAAGCTCCCTGCGAAGAGGCGAAGCACTCAGTCATGTAGAGAAGAGAGTTATGAGTAAAGCTTTAGTAATAGATAGGTCGGTTATTAAGAGCTGTGTTTTGGGAAATCAATAAGTTAAGAAATTCCTCAACAAAACACCTGTATCTTCGTACAGATAAGCCGTATATGAGTCAATAAGTTACTGTCGGAATGCTTCGTGACCGTCGTTGAGCTGAAAACTTTTGTAGAGTCTACGTGTTGCCGATGAGGACTCGGCCGCGCTATCACATAGTGCTGTCAGGAGCGATTTTTAAATATTCAAGAGCTTTTTAATATTGAGTAGGTGCTTAAGTTATTCTAAGTTTTAGGGCGTCTATTAACGTGTGCGCGCGCGAGTGGCGCCCGGTTAAGTATGTAAAACAATTCAAGTCACATTGTTTTCCAAAAATTTTGTATTAAACTGCAAACATGATTATTCTTAATGTTTAACATAAAATCGGTAGCAGAGCCGTCGCGGCGGTGAATTTAAATGAGTTCATTTCATTGTAAGTATTTGGATTTATTCATAAACATCGCGTCGCGTGGCGCCGCGGGTGCGCCGGCGCAGCACTCGGCGTTGCGACGCCTTAGCCTAATTGCTTAAAATGGCAAAGGTGACAATGAATATAAACAAGGGCACCTTTATTAACGTGTAACGTACAATATGTATTTATTAATTTACCACGTAGGCGCCTCCTCGCGCCTCGCGCCGCACACACACACACATACACGTACTCGTACGCACGCACCCGTACAACTCTGCTTAAATACTACAAAAACAAGAACTGAACGATTACAAGAAAAGTTTCGAATATGTAAAGTTGAAATATAATTTTATCAAATCCATGTATCTTTTTTTATTTATTTTAAGATAGCTCCTATTTATCCTTATACTATCCTTTTAAACAACATTTTTTCCTGTATGTTAATATATTCGCAGCCTTAAAATATACTCAAAAATCTTTTGAAATGAAATTAAACTTTATTCAAGTAGACTTATTATAAGCACTTTAAAATCGTCAACTTTAGCCAAAGAGCATCAGTTTAGACTGTCCGTGAGTAGGCTACCAAAGGCTAGGAAAGCAGTTCGAGCTGGCGAGAACATTCTTTGACCAATCTGTATTTGGTAGGTACTAAGGTATTGCACCCAGCATGTATGCATGTATAATATTACAATACAATAGAATAGGAAATAAGACACTTATTTAAAGACTAATTACTATGTTCTACGCTGAAAATGAGTGTTGTGCATATATTAAGTACGAGCTAATGATATCATTTTGTGATAAGTTAGGTAATTTTGTCCATCCCCCCCAACGTGCGTTCACCTTGTCGTGGTGGGGGGGCTCAGTAGTAGTAGCGAAGCTAAGAAACGCACAGGGAGGTTGCCCACTTCGGTGGGCGGTGGGAGGTGGCCCTCTTCGGGGGGCGGTGTACCTTGCGGGTTGCTCCTGGTACTTCTCTGATAGCAGAGTGGACCTTGGAGCAACCCCATGGTTGTGGTGGTCTGCTTTGGCAGACCTGCCGTCGCGGCGTCGTAGTTGAATGCGTAAGCGATCCTGCGACGCCCCATTATGACGGGGGAAGGTTTTGTTGGGTTTTAGTGGGTAGTACTGGCTGTATTACGCCGGTGAGTCCCACACGTCGTGCGTAAATGCATTTCCCAACGTTAAAAAAAAAAAAGGTAATTTTGTCCATAAAAATACAGAATCGAAGTATGAATTAGTCATATATTTGGATTAGTACCTATTGTTCGTCGGCTCCTGAAATACCTAGTTCGCAAATGTTTGAGAGCTACTACGAGTAGGTACTCGTATATGTTTGTACTCTCACATTACCGATCGTCAAGACACGTGTGCTGATTTTAGATTTTGAAGAGTGCATTGTACAAATGTGTTTTTTTGTCCACGCTTACCGTAAAGTCAATACCAGTGACGTATGTAAATGCGAGGAAACAATGGAGGGTGGAAGGTCAGGCCAGAGAGCGCCGTGTGACGCAGTCTGCCGGCCGCGCTCTACCTGCTCTACGTTGTATGTCGTATGTGATCAGTTGTACAATACTATTCATACACTTGGCTATCTGTACACTATACAGGGATAGCATACACACGTTTTGGTGAAAGATTGAATCTAATATAAATGTACTACATAATTCATGCTCGTAATTTGCCTTGACTCATAAATAAAATATTTAATTAATCTCTTCTTTATTGAACCCAAGGCCACTTTGTTCAGAGTGACAAGTATCATGCAACTCGTACAATTATTTTTTTAAGTTTAAAAGTTTTAATAGTCACCGACTGGTATGCTCGGCGATCAACTCCATTAGCCGCTATCACCTTCGCCATTTAGCATCATTTGTTTGGATCACTTAGCTGTTCCTTTTCAGAACATTTTAAATCTGTATCTGAACTAAAACATCAGAATGAGAAAATAAACGAGATATTTTTGAATAATTTACATCATCGTCTTATTTGTCTCTAAAACAAGCCGTATCTTAAAAATGTAGTAATTATGAATAACTTTACATGGCCCATTAGGCGGGCGCGGCGCGGGAGGGGCGCGGGAGGGGCGCGGGAGGGGCGCGCGGGCAGCTCCGGCCCTCAAAAGAAAAGAATCACGACCTCTTATTCGTCGTGGCTTTTAAAATTGTCAGAGGGCACTTCTAAAAAGAGATAACGCTTTTAATGTAAAAAAGTGGATCCCACTTTGTAAACAGGTTGTAAATGATCGTGTAAGCCGTGTCCAGGCGCGCCGCGGCCGCTCTCCGGCCGCCGCCGACCGCCGTGTTTGAGTTATTTCCTATCACGCCCTTCGTTTTGTTTCTACAACTTATCATATATTATCTAATAATTAATAAATACAATGAATTAACTACTCGATACTACACCGGAATGATGTCAAAATGGTGGCTAACGTCAAAAACAACACGCTAGACGTGTGCGTATTTAATTCTTAAATTAAGTTCTTTTTGTTATTTTCAATTTCAAAACCAGAATTTCATACATTAAAAGTTTTTATTTTATTGTTATTGTTCTAAAGTTAATAAAAAAAGAATTTACAAAAACTAAAAACCCGACTTCGTAAAAAGTGATCTAAAAAGATGAGAAGAAGTCGACTAATAAACATAGGTACTAAATATTATGCATTCGGAGATATACAATACCCGTAGCAAGACTCGCATCCAGTACAAATAAAATATATGTATGTCTTCTTATTTGACAATTTCTTATCCTACATTACTTTTATTAACATATAAGTTGCGTATATTTTTGATACCCCACTCGATTGATATGGACAAAAATTTTTTTCAAGACAAATTAACGCCTCGCCTCCACCATTTTGATAATAAATGATATCTATATACCCTATTACACTCGCGTTATTAAGACGAACCTAACGACGTATGAATTATTTAAATCGGTTAAACCGTTTAGTATTTACAAGGGAACATAAGGTCGAGCATACATACCTACAGGTTAAAGACATACTCGTAACTCTTCTGGGCTCTGCCGCAGTCGAGTAATATGTTATATGCGCATATTAAATTTTCTTTTTCTACGTAATCCTACCATCAATAAGTTTATACGCTCATTACTAAACATTAATATATGTATGTAATTGTATATTATATTTTTTAAATTTCCATTTAGAAACACACGTTCTAAATAAAATGTTAATAATATAATCATATCAATACCCAGCACATAACAAGACATTTTTTGAAAACCAACCAGACACTTTGTTTCTAGGATGATACTCGATGTAGATAATATTTGTATGTATATGAAAAAAAAAGATTTAGGTATTTATGGAAGAAGTAGGTAGCTAAGCTAATTTTATGGGAAAAATAGTTTTCTGTTTTATTAAAAATCTTTACTCTGAGTTTTTTTAGATAAAAAAAAGCAATTTTAAGGCAACTATTCGGTCAAAGCCAACAGAAGCTTCAAACAAGAGAAAACTTCAAATAAGAGTGAAGTGTTTTAAAATTATCCTCGTACCTGTACAGTATGGTATGTTACCAATCACATAAGTATATGAATATAGGTTTTGTTTAAATTTTGAAAATGAAATAAAAAAAATCTAAAATCAATGTACTAAGTGTTGATATAGGAAGGAAAAATACATGCGCCGAAAAATACGGGCGACCGGTGGGTACATCGTATTCTATGCAAGCTAATATTTAAGTTAGATAATATATAAATAATAATTACTATTCTTTATGAAGCACCTTGCTTGCACCTTGTAAGCTGATCCGAGTCGCGTTTCCATATTTATTCACTTTATAATATTAAAAATTAGCATATTTTATATATTTTATAAACTCACACCCACTTATCGTCCGAGCAAAATGCAATTTACGAGGATCCCAAAACAAAACCATTTACAACCCATTTAGAATGAATGGCATTATTTAGGTGGCTCGGTGACAAATGATTCAACGATCAACATGTTCATTTGCATTTTGGGGTTAGTCGTTAGTTTTCAAGGAGACTAGTTACAAATTAGTAATGTTTGAGGAACAAAATATCGATGATTTTTTCTTAAAAAGGAAAATACTCTGTTTCTATTTTTATTTTAATATTCGCTTATAGTTATTGATTTTATACATTTCTAAATTATAAATCGAAAAATAGTGTGCCAGGTCTTAAATAAAAGTATAACAATTATATATTAAGTGTTAGGCACATCTCTAGCCGAGCTCACCTTGTAGTAAGGTCTAAGCGGCTGACGCGTGGTTTCCCAAATTTGCATTAACGAAAATATCACGTCCTACCTAATGTTTGGACCGCTTATGAATACAAATTGGTCAGCGCGTACCGCGGCGTGGCCTAAGTTGGGCCAGAACGTGGCCGAAGCTGGCCGAAGCGCGCTGAAGCGGACTGGAGCGGGCTGGAGCGGGTTAAGGCGGACTGGGGCGGCGCTTGCGCAATTAATACCGAAAACAGCGACATTTAAACTGCATCGCCTCACGCCCTCAGTTATTAATTCTTAATAAATTTAAGATGAGTTCTACCGAGGGCTACTCTTGTTACATGTATATGATATACAAGATTACGTCAGTGACTTTGCATGCGTGGTCTATTGGTTTGCGAATAATATATTAATATGTCACTTGTACGGCCGCTCTTAAATAGCCTAATATTGTTGTAAATCAATTTAAAACGTTTTTGAGCCAGAAAATAAATTGTACAATGAAAGATTTTATTCAAAACGGCCCATCCGTTAGTCAGTGTGGAAATACGTAGGTTAAAATCATTAAAATTTAAATCTACTGTTTCTCAAAAAAAGAATGTTCTGTAGACAAGCAGGTTGTGGTACAGCGGAGTGCGCCGCGAGTAGCTATGGGCCGCGCACGAAATTGGAGGACGAATGAATGCTGTATATCAACTGGACGTACTTAATATTTTTAGTGTACCTTTAGTAGAATGCGCATGAGGCACTGTTATATTAGGACACATTTAGATTTAAAATACTAAATTATTTAAAACATGATGATATTTATCGACGATGTCTATACAGAAACAAAGCAGATTTGATACATTTTCTCGTCCCTGCCTTGGACTTTGCAGGGGAAAACATAAATTAATGTAAAAAATAACCAAATTTCTTCCAGCATGATGACGATGAATTAATAGTTTGGATTTAGTTAACCCTAAATATTAACACCAATGTACACAAAGTTCCATAATATATGAGATCGAAACTGTTAATATTTTGCATAACGTACTTATTATCTATAGAAAGTACATAATCCATATATCTTTAATTTTTTTTCATTAATTTCTAGAACAGATATTGAATGTGAAGTACGAGTTTTAATTGTTTATCCCACCGTCCCTCGCGGCAAGTGATGGTCACCGTCGCAGGCGAGCGGGCGAGCGGGCGAGCGGGCGCGGCGGCGCACGCGCAGCGCCGGAGCTCTTAACTTTTATCTAAACGCTTGGGCACGAACGACTTGCCTATTTGTAATTACTTCACTTAAAAAGTCGGGAACAAGACATTAGAGTGTTTTAGTGGAGAGGCCATCGCCACCGGTGTGCATCTTATAATATGAAAATTGTACATAAAAATTATTTATTCCGTTTAATAAGCCAGTTTACATATATACTTTTATAATATGCTAACATTACCCGCGGCTCTGCCCGCGTTCAGATGACCAAAAAGCAAATTCTTAGGTTTTACATATTAGTATATACTCTTACGATGCAGTTTTAGTATTTTTTCTCAGAAATGAGATATTTTCCCGCGATAAAAAGTATCCTATGTGTTGACCCGGATATCGAGCTATCATCATACCAAATTTCATAAAAATCCCTCCAGTGGTTTTTCTGTGATGCGGTAACAGACAGACAGATAGACAAAAATTCTAAAAACTATAGATTCGGCCTCTGTATCGATAATAATGTTTATTTCAATAATATTTTCAAAAAAATATTTAATGTACAGATTCGGCTTCATTACAATTTTATTATATGTATAGATTTTATGTTATTCGTATTAAATTTCCAAGAATATTGTTGATAGTACATAATATTTCCCATAAACACGTTATTTATCACATCGTACATACAACATACGGCTACATCGAATGACGAGTGATGTTAATGGCTGGTACCATAACGTATAAAAAACGATGTAAAGATAAGATACCTACATCGCCAACGAACATTTTAGTCATTCCTACAAAAACTTGATCCCTAATATTAAGATATAGCCATATTCATTAGATCTCGTGATAACATGAAAAACATCGTACATATTTTTAACTAGCATTGCCCGCGGCTCCGCCCGCGTTCAGATGACCAAAAACCAAATTCTTAGGTTTTACATATTAGTAAACTCTTACAATTCAGTTTTTGTATTTTTTCTCAGATATGAGATGTTTTTCCGCGGTAAGAAGTATCCTATATGTCAACCCGGATAACCAGTTATCATCATACCAAATTTCATCAAAATCTGTCCAGTGGTTTTCTCGTGATGCGGTAACAGACAGACAGACAAAAAATCTAAAATCTATAGATTCGGCTTGTGTATCGATAATGTCTATTTCAATAAGATTTTCCGAAAAATATTTGATGTACAAATTCGACTTAGTCACAATTTCATTATATGTATAGATGATGCAACGAGATATTTTACACATGAACACCTACATTATTTAAGATTTTAACGTACGTTGGGTTTGAATACATAGACATCGGAGAGTTTGTAAAATGTAACCGAACACCTGCAGCAGCGAGAAGCTCTTGGCGTCCACCCCTCGGGCTATACTTGTAGAGTGTTAAGCTAAACGCCCCTTAAAATTAACATGTAAGGAATTGGATGAGCTTTATACTCTACTAGAGACTTATCCCTGCTCCGCTCGAGTGCGTCTTAGGTACGTTTTAAACAGATACGAATAGTTGTTCCGTGAAAGACTTACATATATTATTGCAGATATTTCTGTAGGCCTTATTAAGACCTACAATTTTCTATCGAATTGTTTTGATGTATCTTAAGGATTAGCCAGCGCTAGACATTTAAATTTCTAAGAATAATAATAAATAATAAATAAATATGTTGGGACATTAACACACAGCACCATCTAGTTCCATGGTAAGTTACGAGGCTTGTGTTATAGATACCAGATAGTTGATACACTACACATATATAAATTTTAAATACATACAGATTATAAATATAAACACCCATGACTGGAGTACAAATATTCGTGCTCATCACACAATGAATGCCCCCAGCGGGACTCAAACCACGACCGCTGGCACAGCAAGTAGGGTCACTACACACTGAGCCAAACGTGTTGTCGAATGACTCGATAGAACGACTTTTTGTGTTTTTCTGTAGGAATTATAGATTTTCCTGTAGTAAAAGCTATCCTAAATGTTGACCTGAGTTATAAGTTATCACTTCACAAAATTGAGTTAAAATCATTTTAGTTTTAATTAATGAATTAAGTTTTAGTTAAAAAAATACTTTTTAGCGTGACACTCGAAGACACAAACAGTCATACAGACAAACAGGTTTTTTTAATAACTATTGTTTTAGGGTCTATATTCTGTACAAAATATGTTAGTCGTTGATTCTAAAAAATATTTCATGTACAGATTTCGCTAAGTTATTGTTTATTATATGTATAGACTAGCGACTCACCCTCGACCCGCTCGGGTTCGTCTCTACTTACGTTTTAACGTTTAGTACAGATTTCTCAAAAATGAGATATTTTCCCGCAATAAAAAGTATTATATATGTTGAACCGGATAATCAGCTATCATCATACCAAATTTCACAGACAGACAGACAGACAGAGTATACTAATATGTAAAACCTAAGAATTTGGTTTTTGGTCATCTGAACGCGGGCGGAGCCGCGGGTAATGCTAGTTTTACATAATTACTGAAAATATAACATTCGTATTACTCAATGTTAGTAATGTAGGAACATACATATATACATACATACTGGTGTCACGTGGTGTCACGGCGCAGCTCGGACCGCGCCATTCACTTGTGTTAGTATCGATGCCTTATTATTCGTCGCATACTCGTACATAGGTAAGTATTTTTTATTGACCATCGCTCGACGCCCTCGCTTCAGTCCTCGTGACCCAGATGCTAATGTGATTGGTTTACTAATATTTCTTTTACAGTATATGGTAAGATCTAACCGTACGAAATAAAACGCGCTTTATTTTATAGGAATATTATTATTCAATCATAATCAGAACGCCAATAGATAAATAATGTTGACATGCTCAACGAAATAAGAAACGGCCGGGTATAATATGAGCTGGGCGTTTGAAGTTAGTTTAGGGCCTTAGGCCTTCAGGCGCACGCATCGGAGTTACGAAACTCGTCGGACTGCTCGTTAAAATTCCCCGTAATTCGTCTCGGAAAGGCGGGCTTACACCGTGTTTTACACTTTCGGCACTTGTGAAGCGGCAGGCTGCAGGGACGCTGCGGCTGCACGCGGGCCGCGGCCGCGCTCGGAAAGTGAAACTTCATCGAGTTGGCAATATGTTACGAAATAACCATTCCTTACACCACTCATACGTCATTGTAGCGAATTATTAATAGATGTTATATATTTTACTTTATTTAAGTATGCTTAAAATAATAAAAATTTGCTTTGTGTTTGGCTAAATGAGAAAAAGTATTTTTACGAGCAATCTTTGCTAAGTTAATACTAACAACAAAACAATCGACACACAGATGTGTATACATAGTAAAACAAATTTATATAGGTCTTATACTATGTACGTAGATGACGTCAGTATCTTCTCGAAATCATAGTATTTTCCTAAAGCGAAAGTCGCATCTATCTGCCCACTGCCAATATATCTATGCCCTTGTTCTGAGCCGTCAGCGGAGGCTCCGCTTTTGAATGTTGGTAGATATTTACAATTTGCCCACGTATTTTTTTCACTATACAGAGACACGTAGGCGCAGCCCACGACAGGCATTAAAAATAATGTCGACCTAGTCGAGGTGCGAATACTGACGTAATGTTTAAAATATCATAATTAATCTGTTAGTTTCTCTAGCGTGTTATGATTACGTAAACTCCCTCTACTCTTTAGGTACAGAGAATATGGTCGTTGTGGTAGCTACAGCCTACGACTAACGTTAATGCTATCTATAGGTATATAGATTACCTACGTACCTATTTATGAAAATGACAATAAATATAGTGCAATGCTCTGATCACAAGATGTGAACGGCGCGGCGCGGCGGTGCCACTTGCACTAACTAGATTACATTATAAATTAGTACAAAATACAAACGTAAAAGGAAATGGAAAAGAAACATTACAAACAAATATAAATACTATTAGGATTCTGAGAATATTAATAAGAGGATTATTCAATATTTTCAGCGTATCTTATTAATTCATGAACCAAAGCTGTCCACTTGTCATTAAATGGGTTCCATTGAACGCGACATAGGTGCCATGCTTCGGGAATATGAATTATATTATGCATGGATATTGCAACAAAATTGTTATGTTAAGTTGTTTATTACTAGCGAAGGATGCGAGGCCCGCGCCCGCTGCGTCGCCGCCCGCGCCGGGGCGGCCTGGGCGGCCTGGGCGGGGTTGGTTAGCGCGCGGTGAAAGTTATGTCACAACTGCATGAGAACCAAACTTGCGGTCTACCGACCCGCTTTTGCATATCAATAATCACTTTTAAATATTTATAAAATCAGACGGTCGTACCTTTCAAATCGCGAAATACATGGCGACTTTACCTAACATGATACATTCTAATCGAGCGCGGCCATTATGTAGTCTCTTTGACATTTACGCGTTCGCGAACATACATAAGGTTGGGTTTTTTGTTTTGCAAAGTATGCTTTGCAAAATTTGTACTTTCGCTGATGAAACGTACATAAGTCAACGCTCTGGCGATAATCCTGTATATAGTGTAATCACTGTATGTACATATATTGTATAGGTAGTTTACTAAGCGAGTTAGAGGAGAATGTTTCGACGCTCTGTAAGACGAGACCTTGTAAATCCGTTAAGTATAAAATAGATAGAGTTTAGTGAAATAATATTTGCCGACCTTCAGGCGCGGCCCACATTTGTAGTGTTTGCGAACACGTCCGCGTCGGATATGTTTCAAGGACAGCCACGCACAAGGGCGCCTTGTCGCCGGCTCCGCGCGGAGGAAGGCGCTCGGCGGACGATATCGAAACTATTTGCTTCTGATAAATCAGATAGAGCCCATCCTATGTACTTCAGAAACACAAACGGTGTTCGGTCACAGCTGAATAGACATTCACACTCAACTTTGCACCAAAAGCTATTCATTTACAATAATTATAATTTGATTATTCTTTACTATAGCTAAAGTTATAGTTTTACCGATGGTTACACCGTCGTCGCCCAGGCTCCGGCGCCCGGGCACCGGCGCACTCTCGACCTGCGTAGGCGCAATGAAGTCATATTTATGGATACCACTCGCAAACAAGATAATATTTAATAACAATATCATCTTCTGTTTTAAGCCTTATTAGGAAATAGTCCCAAATATCAATTTTCGATGACGTCACTCACGCGCAGAATGTTATAATATAGGTACAAAAAATGTAAACGTTAACATATGTATATAAGACTGTATAATTATGGTCTCGCAAAGTTTTCACAGTCTCAAAAAAGCATATGTAAATATAATGATAAGTATTGATGTAACAATATTATGTTATGGTTCATGCGCAAGCGCTTAGCAACGTGTTACTTATACGAGATTGAGGTCGGTGGAGGGTCAGATTTGTTCCTAAAGAAAGTTCCACGTGGGCAGCGGCACGTGCGGCCGACGTCCGCGGCTGTTGCGACACGCGCCAGGCACCGCCCCGCAGTCCACGCCATGTATGTACCTTCGACACCTTCTCTCACTTAGGTACTATTTGCTCTTTATCTCAAGCTCTTTATTGCTTGATACTAAAATCATCACATGAATGTGCTACGACAATCCCATCGTTGTATAGTTTAAACGTACCTACTTTACAAATATATATTTCAATCAAACATCTTATCGAATTCACAACTTGTCTTGATCTAAGTATTTTTTTTAAATCAAAATTTTTCCATTAAATTTATTGCAGTCTGGTACATACTCGTAGCTGACCGTGGATTTGATTATTGTGCAGAATGTTAACAATGTATAATATACATAAAGTATATTTTTAAAATTGTGGTCAACGTAAATCTCGCCGCAGACAGCAACCGTCCAACGCGTATTAGTTTGATGTACGAGTAGGTACCTATGTAGCGTAAAGGGAAAAGAGTGAAGTATAACTTTATCCTATTAGGGTTTCCGCAAGAATATGCATAAATATTATTAAAACATTACATATATTAGCTTTCATTATAAATGTATTTATGCTAATTAAATTATGCTATCTAAACTCTTAAATTTTTGGTTGATACTTGATACGTTATAGTTTTTTATGCCCATATATGTGGCAGTTTTGTGTTCAGTGTTGAGTTCTGAGGTAACACAACAACACATTAAAAACGAAAGATCAGACACATCTTAATAGACATTAGTGCAGCCTTTGACACGATTGCATTATTGAGTTCGCCCCCGCGCGGCCAAAAAGCCTTAATATTAAGCACCACCCACACCCTGCCTCTGCAATGTCATGCCAACCGGTCGAGAGAGACTTCCTCTGAAGACTCGCGAGATCGAAGGTTTTGAGAACTCTTCAACTCTGTCGGATTAATATTCATATAATTGCCTAATAACACGTAGGCTGCGCTCGTCGTCGGAGACTACAGCTGGCAGAAATCTCAGTTTACGTTCAATACAATCTGAACTTAGCGTAAACTAAAATAGAACTCAGTTTCGTTTACCCACTTTCGGTAAACTGCTCGGCAAATGGACTATAACGTTAGTTCGGTGATGTCGCAACAGTCGCGTGCCTCGACGTTGTTGGCATTAGCTCAAACGTACATAGAGTCTGTGACAAGGAAACCTGTACTTATTTCCTTTGAATATTAGACATAATTTTCATTAGTTGTATGTTTTCGGTTGTTATTGTGGAAACAAGAGAGCATGCAAGCGTGTTGGCAGCAGCGTGGGCGCGCTGACGTCACTCGCACCCCGCCGCCGCGAGCTGCGAGCTGCGAGCTGCGAGATAGCTCACTACATAATGAAATAATTAGCTTGTGGACAGATTGCTTGCGTTTTGGCTTAAACGACCTTATCATAAGTAAAGTGTTCCACACACAACATCCGTTATCTTACATCTGATGATCTCATATTCTAACATACATATAATAAAGGCGACGAATCTCGTGTTCAAGTGAATTTGAGTAAAAAATGTTTTAAACAACTTAGTAACATTCTATCTTAAAGTTATTGCAGCATTAATCTCGTGTCGCAGCAAATATGGCAGATATTACATATGACTCGTCAAGGCTTACCGGTGAAGGCAATCGCAGCCACATGCAGGTTAATTAATATTATTTTAATAAATTGTTGTTATCGTCATGTTGAGTTCATATTAAATGTACGTTATTATAAAAATAAAGCTGGTTGTTTTACGAGAGTACCGATGAGGCGGTACGGCGTCTCGCTCGCACACGCGGGGCGCCCGCGCAGCCTTCGAGCGAGATGGTTTCTCAGAAGTGCGCTCAGGCTTCGCCTAGATCCTATCTGCGTTGTTAATGCTTGTTTTTGGTGTAAATAATATGTAACCTGAATTTTGATTATACTTTTAGACTGTTTACGAAAAATATGTTGACAAGAGCTAGCACTAATAGTTTAGTTTTAGCATAATAGCCATTGGATAAAAAATAAAAATCACTTTATTAAATCATTATTAGAAATTTTTCATCTCATTCTGACTCATATCTTTGCGACAACTTAAGCCACAATTTTAGTTTTGATATTTCATATTTTTCGTTTATAGAGAACTAATACTGCCGTCATAAGAAAAAAAAGCTCCAGTCGAGCTCGAGTCCAATAAAACGAGAAAACAGCTATTACACAATATAGTAATTAATGTTTAAGTTTATTGTCATTACTCAGCGTGCTGTTTTTAAAACAAAAACCATAATTACAATATTGTTAGTCCAGCAATATGCCTTTAATGTCTCTAATTACAACAGGTATCAACTTTCCTCTAACGTAAGTCAAATTTATTTTTAATAAATAATAAATATATAAACGTTTTTGCCACAAAAACATCTAGCATAAGCGAATTTGTTTTTGTGTGTTATTATAAAGGTGAAAGATTTGTATTTTTATAAGTTTGTAACAAATAACCTCAAAAACTACTGGACCGATTTAGATAAAATTTGGTAAGAAGATAGTTTGAGACCTCGGAAGTCATCCTTAAGGGGTTAAAAATGGGGATGAAAGTTTGTATGGGGAATCAACCTAGGGACGAACCCGAGCGAAGCGAGGGTGAGTGGCTAGTTATTATATAGGTATACTAATTACCTGTACATGGTATTTCTTGAAACAGATCTTAATATCTTAATCTTATTAAAATGATGGATTTACTCCTTTCTGCCTTTGCTTAGGATAACAGAAGATAGCAACTCCGTACTTCCTAATATACCGATTTGTCTTAATTAGAACGAGATACACAGTATTACATTAGTAGGTTAAGATGTATGTAATTTGTAGATGGTCTCTGTCGCACAGCATCTTCTCCAACATTCGTCAACAGTATTTCAAGTTATAGTATCCTTTATCATTTAGAAGATACTAGAGTTAACTTATATGTGACGTAATAGTAACATTCAATGCTAATAAGTGTATGATGATAAAATGATGTATGAATATAATGTAGATGGTATAATAGCATAGAGACGAAGGCTGAGGCTGGCAGGTAGCGAGGCCGGGGCAGAGCAAGGGGCCGCACGCGGACACGCCGCCGCTGAAACAAACCATTCAGCTCGCATTGTATGTTATATAGTTGTGTTTTATTTATAACGTTAATGCATCGCTTTAGTATTGTACGATTTATGTACTTAAAGAAGTTAGCTAATAAAACCAATTTCGCAACCTCTATATGACCAAATATTTGTATACGCGATTAAAGAAATTAATCTATCCTATAATAAAACAGTAGAGGACGAATGTCTGTACATAGCAAAAAAATGATAAAAACCGAGTCAGGGGGATGTAAGGAGACAAATAGAATAAATCCAGATTTTTTTAATTTTTTTTGTTTCTCTGTCTGTTTGTCTGTTTGTACGGGCTAATCTCCAAATCTATTGGGCCGATTTGAATGAAATTTTGCATGGTGGTACCTTGTATCCCCGGTCAGCATGTAAGATACTTTTCATTCCGGAAAATTGAAGAGTTCCCGTGGGATAGTTAAAAAACTATAGTAACTTATACAGCTTAGTACACAACAACTTATGCACCTAATTTAGTAAAATTTAGCATGCTGATACCTTATATTGCCGGTCAAACAACAGGTTACTTTTCATCCCGGAAAAATGAACGTTTTCCATGGGAACTAATAGAGCTCTATTAGTATTTTTCTAGAGGCAAACCCGAGTGAAGCGAGGGTGAGCCGCTAGTTATAAAATATTTCTACAATATTTAGAGAGCACTTTGAGAGTCATACACGTAATGTAATCTCTTTGTTTGTCTGGAGAGCGTCGGTTCTCTTATTTATTTACAAAGTACAACGTCTCTCTTATCGTTCAGTGTCACAACGGCAGTGGAACATTTAGTGAGTGAAGTGTTTGGATGCACTCGCGAATTAAACCCGTTCTACATCGAGGGTGAAGTGATTAGTTCGCCACGGGCTCACTTTGTTTGCCTCACGAGCCGCGCGAGATAAGCGACATAGCGATTAGAAATATATGAATCTATTACTATACGTCACTTTGAACTATGTAATGCTCTACATTTCTTTAGGTTTACGATAAGATATCCTGTAAAGCTTCTATTACATAAGCATATTACGTAGAAGTGGCAATACTTAAATGAGTATTGGAATGTTTTAAATATCTAAATTAAAATATTCTTAAAAGCCTTGCATTAATTTCCGCTAATAACAGAAGTTGGCGTATGGATGAATGTTCAAAAAGTAAGTGGTATTCTCAATTCACCTAATCAAGTATGATTTAAACTAAAATCGTTCGTGGCATTCGTTTGCCAACGAACACTTGCACATGCAGACATTGCTACATTGCACAAACACATTTATCTATACTAATATTATAAAGAAAGTTTGTGAGGTGGTAGGGGGTAAACTCTACTAAACCGATTTAGATGAAATTTGGTAAGAAGATAGTTTGAGATCCTGGAATGGACATAGGATAATTTTTATTCCGGAAATCATCTCTTAAGGACCTGAAAATGGTCATGAAAGTTTGTATTGGGAAGCAAGCTAGTTTATAACCTATACATATAATAAAATTGTAACTAAGCCGCATCTGTACATTAAATACTTTTTGGAAAATCTTATTGAAATATACATTATTATCGATACAGAGTCCGAATCTATAGTTTTTAGATTTTTTGTCTGTCTGTCTGTCTGTTACCGCATCACAGAAAATCCACTGGAGGTACTTTGATGAAATTTGGTATGGTGATTTTTGGTTTTTGGTCATCTGAACGCGGGCGGAGCTGCGGGCAATGCTAGTATGTATTTAATATACATATGTGTAGTGTATGGACTACCTGACGTCCATAACACAAGCTTCGTAGCTTACAATGGAACTAAATGGTACTATTTCTTAATGTCCCAACGTATTTAATTTTTTACGAGAAGAATTTACAGGGTAGATTTTATGTGACATCTAATCCCACTAATATAACTATGTGCTTTTGTGTATTTATGGATTTGGGTAAAATTTAGTGCACACGTAGGTTATAGAGTAACTGTTAACGTCCGGAATAAAATTAGATGGTAAAAGATAGCACTGCGTTCGTATAGTAAGTACCATAAACATTAAATACTAATTAAGACCATGAGTAGTCATAATTACGTAAATTTCGGAATTAAAATGCCTCAACCCTAACAAGAACTGGCGGAACAGGAGATCTTTAATTTTTGTTTGTAAGGTATCAGGGGTTTGACGATAAATAATTGGACGTAGCGTCTGTGTGAATGGGATCGTTCATAGTCGTGTTGGCCATGTTTGAGGCGGCAGGGAGCGAAGCGACGGTGGAGAGGTGCTCCTCGGCGGCGGTGATGACCCACATGCCGACGCACTGCACACGATAGTGTTACCTACTTGTTACTTCAGATTACACAAGTCGTTGACACTGATAGTCGCCCGCAAACAGATAATGATATTTTGTGATTAAAAGTACAACTTAATTTACCTTACTGACGTTGCCCGCAAGAAATGTGAGAGCAACGAATGGAGGTAGATCTCCATTTTATATTTTGCACCAAGCAGTAGCCTCACCACAGTGGTAGGCACAGTTGGCACTCTATATCTTGGTTTTTTAACATTATAATTGTTTTCAAATTCACAGTATTAGAGATGTTCTTTAATATAGAACAAATTTTAGCGATCATATTTACATTAATAGAAAAAAAATGATATGGGTGAAAAGGAAACATGTGTTTTATGACATATTTAATGTGTTTCGAGAGTGTTGGATGTGGATGTTAAGAGCTAAAGCCTTGCGTGCATCAAATTGCCAATTTGACGAAATCGATCGGCGCGTGCCAAATTACAGCGAGTATTAAAAGTGCTCCGAAACGATCGGAATTTATCATATTTTACTTAAGCTACATAAAAATTTCTGAATTACACTGAAAAGGTGAAAGCCTTTAGAAATGCAGTTCTCGTATAAACGAGTATGTACATTTAATGTTAAATACAAGTTATGTGTTTATGAAAACCCTTTCCTGGACTCAGTTTGTAACTAAAATTTAAAATAGCGCCTTCCTCTATGTGTCGTTAAGTTAAAATGTCCCTTGACCTTCCTTTGTCAATATGTAAGATAAATATATACATATAATAAAACTGTAGAGATCGAATGTCTGTACATAGATAAAAAATAATTTTCCAATTTTTTGTTTCTCTGTCTGTTTGTACGGGCTAATCTCTGAAACTGTTGGACCAATTTAAATGGAATTTTTCATGGTGATACCTCATGTCCCCGGTCAACATTTTAGATACTTTTATCCCGAAAAAATATACGGTTCCCGTGGGGTATATTTGTTTTTGTTTGTTGTGTTTTGTTTGTAGTTATATAATAAACGAAGTGTTTTAGTTATTTAAACCCTCTGAGTTTTGTCTCGTGCTCTGTCACAATAACAGTATACTTGTATCGACTATCATTTAAATCTATGTAGTAAAAAACGAGCAGAGAAGTTACAAATAAAAAAGAATGATTTGCTCCATTTAAGTGTACCTCCTGAGCTCTGCCAGTCGCCATAAAACTAATAAAACTTAGTTAAAAAAATGTTACCATCAAACCTGTCATAATAGCAATAAAATCTGTAAAACTAAGTGGTTATTGTATGGTATAAGGCCTGTAAAGCGCTAAGCCGCGAGCACGGAGCTCGGGCCAGTTCTGCGAACTAGCAGAGTTCCGAGAGCGTATTTAAAATATTATAACTTACACACTGCTTTATATTTTCACTACGCTCGTTGTTCGACGGACAAAGAATGTTGAAAAACCACTGCGAGTGTACGCGGCGGTATCAAATGCGCTACGCAAATAAACGTACCGCGATAAGCGACCGTGTTGTATTCTAGGGCATCAACTCTGGCCACCCGAAGGTACTTGCCTCGTGTTATAGAACCCATTAAATACTTTTATTTTCTTTAGCTTTCCCCGCACTCTTGCCTTTTTTCTAATAGAGCTAGTATTTTGTTTTCTAATAGTTAGGGACTGGGCAGGCTTTATATTTAATGCTAATGTTACATCTCACACATAAATGTTATGGTAAACTATATCGCTCTTCAACTTTGCATTTCATTCTTATCTTAAAGCGTTTTAGTTACTTTATTTTGTCCTTTATAGTATATATTGGCAAATGCGACCAGAATCCTCAGATCTACTCGTCTTTAGAAAAATTATATTATTTTTGATATCTTCAAAACCGATGTACATACAAATTAATTCAACCTTGTCCGATTCCACCAGCGTATCACCACATTAGTAGCCAATAGCCAATTTAAAATACCCTTTACCTAAATAGGAAAATATATTAATATAACACTTAGTTCAAACCACGAGCTACTGTCGTATTAAAGTACGTGAATTGTAGTAGAATTCACTAGATGCGGTTTCAGACAACTGACAAGACAAGTACTGGTACCGGGTCTGCGGCAATTTATGTGTAATGGAGCGCCGTGGAATGCTTTACGTAACTGCGAGCGAGCTCCCTCACTAGGTAGTGCACCAATCCGATACTAAATCGACTTACTCCTTTGTCTTTGTAGCCGCGATTTAAACCTAAGGAAAACTAACCGCCGCCATCTAGTACACTTTAATTGATATTAATACATCCACGACGCACAAGCGGTGACCGACCAGTGTGTAATAACACAACCGAAGGAGAGGTGTACATACAGATAGATATACATCTGGTGTACTCAAAAAATATTACTTAATATCTAATAACGGTGTACCGATTTCAAAAATACTTAAAAGTTATTGATATAAGCTTGAGCTTGTTTAACCTATTCGTTAAATAAAATCTGAGAATCTAAGCGAGGATATCGAGTAATGTACTAAAATACAATACAGTCTTTTTTGCAGTCGATCAATATAATGTTCATACATATTTTGGAATTAAGTACGTACATTGTTGTACCTATATTTAATCAGTAGGTAGTACGCGGGGCGGGCGGGAGGTCGGGAGGGCGGCAGGGCGGGGCGGGGCGGTGAGACGGGAGCAGTGTTTGTTGTTGATAAAAGACGGATCATTTTTCAATATTATATACGTAGATATCGCCGAGGCGGCTATCTTAGAGCACACATGAAATCGTACAATTTAAATAAAATTTTGTCCGTACACTATCAATAAGCTAGCTAAAACCCAATCTCCACTACAGTAGAAACTACCATATACTTTAAACGAAGCGTCAAATTAAAAGGCAAAATATATATAAAATTATATACATATGTATGTAGAATTCTTACCTTCAAAAGTCATCCATAGCCGCCTTAAAACAACTTTCACTTTGTATATTTTTATTTAGAATTAATTTTAATTTATATTTTTGGCATTTTATTTGTAAATTATTATTCTGAGTCAGATAATTTGGTTTTATTACATACATCATGCCTTCGATGTTATCCTGAATAGTAAACACCAATATAAATAACACAGCTTTCGCAAGCTTTAATGGGGCGAGCCGTGTTCGGTGTGACACCGGCCTTATCGCCTTCTAAGTATTCAATATTTGCATAGGCTAAGTGATACCTGAATATTTATCCTCTGATAAAAATATCGGCTACGCGGAAAACATGGGTTTATGAGCACTTGATTTACATAACGACGTTGCCGGCGATGGGTCGGTGTGCGCGGTGGAAGCTAATGTCGAGGTCGCGCTCGTAGTATGAGTATCACACATATTTGTATATTATTATCATTAATATATTTATTTTATCCATATCAAAGGTATTTAGAAAATATTGAATTTTACCCGACACATTTATAAGTAAGTTGTTGGGTATTTCTTTCATACAAAGACCATATACATTATACACCTGAGCAGACGAAGTTGCAATTAATCTAAGTGTTTATATAATGAGAATAAATCCTGAATGATATGGAAATAGAGATATTTCTCTTATAATGTAACTTTCCACGATGTGTCATAGTCCTTCTCACTCCTCCTGTTACCTTACCAACTCCTTCGCAGTAAAGGCTGCACGCTTATGGAATAATCTTCCAATAGACATCAGGCGTGCCAAAAGTTTTGATAATTTTAAGGTACAGTTAAAATCATATTATTTGTCTCTATAGTATCTTCTGTTGAACTTTTTATACTTTTTTATCTGATCTACATTTATGTATGTATGCAACATATTTATGCATTTATGTATGTATATATGTAATGTATGTATGTAATGTATGTATGTATGTATTATATATGTATGTATGTATGTGTGTGTATGAATGTATGTATGTATTTATGTATTTAGGATATGCAATTGTGTGTAGTAAGTACACCGCCTACCATTTCATATAATTTCTCCTACGCCCTAAGGTTGCCTGGAAGAGATCGCTTATAACGATAAGGCCGCCTGCTGTGCATCATCTATTGTTTATATCTTCTTTTTGTATATTTATTTGTGGTGTACAATAAAGCATCTATCTGTCTATCTATCTAGTTCATCCTCTTCTTCAGAGATTAGAACCAGGAAGTTCACGGCCGTCCGTGCGGGAGGGCGCGCGCGGCGCGAGTGTGTAGTGACCGCGTTAAGTACTTATATCGAATATTAACGTTTAGTCTACTTTTATATTGCTAATACTATAATATTATTTATTATATTCAATGAAAAAAAACAGACATGTTTCCGCTCTAGCGGATTTTATTTATATTTTATAACTAATTCTTAGTTATTTTAATTAGCAATTATCAGCGATCTCTTGAATCTATCTTCTGATAATAATACAACAATAACTAAGTCGCAGTGACACAGCGCTTTGCTTGCACAGTACACAGTGCGCACCACGCAACAAGGGGCGCCCTGCACTGAGCCACAAAAAGACGTGAGCTGCGCGTCAGATAGCAGATAGTGGTCGTGGTCGTGGTCGTGTCGTATTCCCGCTATCGCGTCATCTCGCGCGCGCTCGCCGGCCCTTTAAATTAGATCTGTCAGCCATTAACCGACTGTGTAGAAGGAAAATAAATATACTTACGATATAATGATTATTGAATACTAACTCATGCGTACGGCTTGTCTTAGGTACATGGCTCGCATCGACAGGAGGAGAGACCGACTTTTATAAATTTTTGTAATATCTTTTCTCGTATGAATAGTTTTTTAAACATGACAATAGCTCCTTTGTGTCGAACGAACTCTCGGGATACCTAGTATACCTATTCGTTATTTACCTACAATATGTAATCTAGCTGTATCTATACTTATAATAAAATTGTAACTAAGTCGAATCGGTACATTAAATATTTTTTGGAAAATCGTATTGAAATAGACATTATTATCGATATAGAGGCCAAATCTACAGCTTTTAGAATTTTTGCCTGTCTGTCTGTCTGTCTGTTACCGCATCACGGAAAATCTACCGGAGGGGTTTTTAAGAAATTTGGTATCCGGGGTTATCCGGGTCAACATATAGAATACTTTTTACCGCGAGAAAATATCTCATTTCTGAGAAAAAATACAAAAACAGCATTGTAAGAGTATACTAATATGTAAAATCTAGAATTTGGTTTTTGGTCATCTGAACGCGGGCGGAGCCGCGGGCAATGCTAGTCTCTCTATATACTAGTAAACAAGGTCGGGTTAGGTACACCATTTATAACTCAAGAACGACTCGACCGATTTCTATGATCTTTGATTTGTAAGATTTATCTCTGAATAGCAGAATAAGAAATAAAACATCTGAAAAAATTATCGAAAAAAAAATATATATAAATTTACATGCCCAACGCTGGCTAATAACTATTTATATCTAGGTATTTAAAACGTACCTAGGGACATCCGAGCGAAGCAAGGGTAAGTTGCTAGTATATTTTAAATTAGATGTGTACATTTTGTTTTCAGTTCAACGCCACGGCTCGTCAAATCATATGTATTGATGCAGTTCCGAGTGTTAAAGCGTTTACATCATAAGAACTTACAAAAAGTATAAGACGAAGATTGATCGAAGACAGACAGGACAGGACCAGAAAGAAATATGTAATATGAAATTTTAAATGATAAAATTGTTCAGTTCAGACATTACGTGTAGAATAGTTTAAGAGACGAATTTAAAAAAATCTATAGTATAAGTAATATGAATTTTAACATTAGTAAATAATAAATTACACATTTAAAATAATGCTACAATGGTATATAAATCGTAGAAACATTGATGCGTTAGAGTTGACGATGCGCGGGCGCAGGCTCGAGGCCGGCTCATTATGCCTTCAATTAGGCATCGCGTACTAAAACATGCCAGTATCTCTGTTTCTCATGTACGAGTGAAATTCCTGAGCGCCACAGCGCTGCGCCGACCGACGAGGAGCGACCGCAGTGCAAACAGCCAGGCGCACGTCTCCCCGACCAGCTCGCCACATCAATCACACTTCATAATATGTTAACTATATTGCATTTGTTGTCTTGAAGACTTTTTTGAGCTTAAGCTTTAATCTTAATATGTGGATATTGGAGCAATCTGAAATAGCGACTCTGAAGTAAAGCTCGTAGCGTTTCGTGCATTTCGACTCTTTGTATGTAAATTATGCATTTTTATTGTAATTTGTTTTTAGAAATGCGCAAAATGCATTTGTTTGTACATAACTATACAATATTCATACATTCTTAGAGATTTTCTTGGCTCACAATTTTTTTATACTAGGTACGAGCGACGGCTTCGCCCATGTGAGCATTTACACTACGCTATCTATTATATGTCAATAGTACTATGACAAAAACCTTCGCGGGCGAGTCCTTGATTGGATGCTGTACGAGTATTGTTATTCATCTTTTTTAATCTAAAATTTGTATTTCTATGATATCATTATCAACCTAAACTCTATAAGCAATAATATTGGAATGTATAAGGAGATTACAAATTACCTTAGAGCCAGGCGTCACATACATAGGTGTGGACGGTGAGATCGTTTTACGACATGCCCCTATGGGCCGTGCAATAACTGGTTCCCGCGTACTCGCAGTACACAGACCAGCGCGGCGCTTCGACCGCGCTGTACCTTATAAGTTACAAGCTTCTCGGGAAAAAAGTTTTCTATTTATGTTCTTCTATGAATTGCGATGAAAGTGGTAACTACATCGAGTCTTCCAGTCAGTCGTTGATCTCCCGATATATTATCGTGTGTGTATTCGATATTTTGTTACGTATGTTTCAACTCTAGGGCATTTTTTTGTTTTGTATTCGTCTTTATTAGGCAATTAAAAAATTCCCCAAAATAAATAGCTTCACAACTCGGATGATATTTATAATTAAACACTTTAACATCAGGCCCACTCTACCGGCGTACTCTAATAACATGTGTGGGGTGTTTATCGATCGTTACGAGTTGGAAATTACAGCCTTCGATGTATCAGATGAGCTCGGGAGATAAAGTGTTAGTTTAAAGTAAATACTATCCCTTATAACTTTGACATAGGCGCTATAATCGCTTGACTCTAGTTACCTCACAGCTTGTGTAAAGGATTCATAGTCCTCTTTTCTTCTCGATCGTTTCGGGATCAAATTGAACGCTTCACAATACAAAACCATTAGATGCGACGCGTTGTTCGCGTTCTCATCTCTTGTGTGACCTCTGTTTGAATATCCTACCTACATATGTATGTATTTACAAACATTCGAGATCTCAAATTAACATCAATATTAAGATTTTGCTAACATCTTTAGAAAGAAGTACGTAGGTAAGCTTATAATTACATCACATGTGGAAATACAGAGTAGTAGCGTTAGTAAAGCTATCCATGTCTATGATTTTAAGCCATGAAAGCGTTTTTTGTGTGCTCTCGTCTTGTGAATAGTATTATATGTACTTATTATAAATAAACTTATAAAAATCGTAATTATATATATCTACGTATAAAAGTAAAAAAAATGCAAAATAATGTTTTTTTTTGGAGAAGTTCACAGTAAGCCGCGGGGCAGAGGGGAGGTGCTGAGGGAGGGGGAGGGGAGTGTGGAGGAGAGCTATAAAACAATAATGCGTTGGGTGCCTTTTGTTCCCGGTCAGCTCTCCGGGTACAAATTGGTGAGGACCGAACACGGGTCGCTCGATTGTTTTTTCCTTTTTGATATCGTATACTCGTCGTGTTGTGTCGGCCTCGTGCGTGAAGGTCGCCTCCCACCGCCCTCCCACCGCGGACACCCGACGATGCCTTTCCCTTTCTCCCATATATGACACTGCCTTAAATAGCTATTGAATTTATGTTACACTTTCTTCCTTGTTGTTTTGAAACCAACACAAATATTCGCAGAATTTTCAATATAGGTGATGCGATAATTTTCTTAGTATGAGATTACGCACAGACTTTTGCAACCAGTGACTTTTTTGCTATGCAATACGAGTATAGGCAAATTTACTTCAATGAATAAAAAAAAAGTATTCTTTATGGCCACTGCGACTTCAATATGAACCTACATAATATGAGGCATTCCACGCCAAATCAGACGGTTTCAAAAAAAATTATTTTTGATTTTCTTAATATTTTGGTATTTTTAGTACCCCAAAAAAAAAAAACAAGATACACACAGTTTTTAAATCATGGTTCAAAACGTTCTTTTTGAATAATCTTAATTAAAAACATTTTAAATTTTTTTTCAAAAATTTTGTTTTTGGATGTCATCCAAAAACAAAAATATAAAAAAAAAAAAATAATAACTAAAAATATAAAAAAAACCCAAAAAAGAGCGTAATTTTTGAAAATTCGATATTTTTGAACCAGATAAAAAAAATTACAATTTCAAAAGAAAGCCTCTTTTGAGAGGTACTAAAACGTAGAGTAGAGAGAGTACGTCCGATTTGGCGTCGAATGTCCCATGTATAACCTAATAACCTCTTATCGTTTGTTGTTATATCGTTTAGTAATTCCTTAGTTATTTAGTAGGCATTAACCCTGCACCGATGCGAAGCTGCGAAATAATTAAGATGTGCGTGTTGTGAGTCCGACAACGTTGATGTTCGAGTATACGCTGCACTGGCGCGCCAGATAACCCAATTCTTCAAGGTCCCCGCACTGGTGCTGTGAGCGGCGTAGCGCTTGTTTACCTACAACCGGTACAAACACTTCTTATTTCAAATAAAACTATCTTTTCGGACTATTTAGCGAATTTATTTATATTTTTGGTTCCCGACGTTACGAAATAATCCGAAAAGATAGTTTTATTTAAAATGTCAAATATTCGCGTAAATCTAAGAAAGGGACACCTTATTTATTGTTATAACACGACTGTGTGTGTGTGTGTACACACATTACACACTTTGATGGATCGGTATCACAAGACAATAAAAATTGACGTATCAATCAGTTCCATCAGACAGTGGACAGAACAAGAACGGTTTAATCGATATGGATGGGACTTCGATTTTTGGGTAGTTGGTTCAGATGAGAACCACTTAAGCTATAGTTTATTGGTGTAATATGCTGTTTATTAAGCACTTTTATGTTAGATGTGCTGTTAGTTAACGTTAAGATATGTACGTATAAAATAATGTTATGTAAAAAAAACTTATGAACACCTCGCATTTCTGACACCGACATAGCTCAGGTGATGTCCAGTCAGTGTAGATGTGACCGAGACGTGTCCACTCACTCCACTCACTCAGTAACATGAAATGGGTAAATACGTAACGTTTAACATTTCTACTTGTCCCGCGATACATAAAACATTAATCTATGCTTCACACACCTGGCCGATACAAGTTAATGCAGGAAAATATCTCCGCATTTTTTATTTTCATTACATATTGAAGGTTGACAGAGGCGCGTCGCGCTGACACCGAGTACTGCTTTGTTTGTTTATGTGAGTAGTTTATGAGAAAAGTAAGAAAATTTGAATAGAGGCAGATATATACCTTAGTGTATAACTATTTACACTATATTTAACTATTTATGCTAATATGTAGTCCATACATTGTACCTATTCATTGAATTTGTCGATATTCCCTTTATAGTAATTGACTGTCAGTAGGAAATTAAAAGCAAAATGTTTCGGGGCAATATGCAACTGAACATGTGACGAGTTACTCGCTAATTCTATATTCAATAAAATGTATTTTCAAAACCAGTTTCAACTAAATGTTAAAATTACTTTAGAAGGACTTTGGAACCACAAAGCGTTAGATCACGAGCGAGGCGCGTGTGCGAGATCAAGACCTAGGAAACGTCAGTGGTCGCGGGTTCGCATCTCGCACGTAAAGAATGCACTGTGTTGAGTGCAGCTAACGAACAAACGCTGTCTGTGTATCATATAAGTGGTTTTTTTTTATAGGATTTAAACTAAAATACAAGTAATTCTGTTATTGTCGGCGCGTATGGAATGTGGCATATTGCAAGAACGGTAGATAAATAATAAAGGATAATTACGTTTGTATTTCCGAGAACTGCGCAGATCTTGGAATAATAGTTTTATAAGTTATAACAAATTACTGAATGTTATCATCGCCCTTAAAAAAGAGTAGGTGTCCATTTTACTTGGATTAGCTACTCGTATTTTGTGTGCACGAGGTCGTGATGTGGTCGCTCATTGTAAGGGATTCATTATTTTTATAAAAAAAAAATTAATATATGAGATACCATATAATCCATACGTATAATAAAATTGTAACTAAGCCGAATCCGTACATTAAATATTTTTTCGAAAATCTTATTGAAATAGACATTATTATCTATACAGAGGCCGAATCTATAGTTTTTAGAATTTTTGTCTGTCTGTATGCCTGTCTGTCTGACTGTTATCGCATCACGGAAAAACCACTGAAGGGATTTTGATGAATATGATCATAGCTGGTTATCCGGGTCAACATATAGGATACTTTTTATCGTGGAAAAATGTCTCATTTCTAAGAAAAAATACAAAAACTGTAATGTAAGAGTATACTAATATGTAAAATCTAAGAATTTGGTTTTTGGTCATCTGAACGCGGGCGGAGCCACGGGCAATTCTAGTAAGCTACAGCTATCAAATGCGAAACTAAAACTGTGTTATGATTATATGCGGGAATATTCCCGCAGTAAAAATTAAATATCCTATATATTGACTCGGATAACCAGCTATCATCATACCAAATTTCATCAAATCCTTTCAGTGGGTTTTCGGTGATGCGGTCACATACAGACAGACAGACAAACAGACAGAAATTCTAAAAACTATAGATTCGGCCTTTGTATCGATAATAATGACTATTTCAATAAGATTTTCCAAAAAATATTTAATGTACAGATTTGAATCATTTTGAATATATGTATAGATCGATAGATGTTGTGATATGACATGATATCTAGGAAATATAACAGTTCGTTATTTGTTAGTTAATATTGTTGAATAGGTTTATTTGTTACATTCGACAAAGTGTTAGTAAGTTCTGCCGATAGAGAGGTGTGTATCATTTGAAGTACAGTGTGTGGCCGCGGGAACACGGCGCATGCGCCAGATTACAAGATTTGAACGTCACGACACAGCCAGAGCGCCTGTGTGGTCATCACCACGGACCACCATTTTAGTGAGACCCACTTTGCGCCCGGCCGTCCCACTGCGAGCTTCGCTAACTAAACACCGAGAGGTCAACCTACTGGCTACAGTGGACGCCGCTATGTTAGTGACAAACCTAAATTATAGTTGTAGAGCGGGAAAATAGTATTTTGAATACAGTTTGTACATGATTACAGGAGAGAAATGAAAGTGCGCGTTTTATTTCGATTCGTGTTATTGAACGAGACCACCGCCGCGACCTGCTTACTGTAATATGTTTTTGATAATGTACTGTGAATTGTGATTAGGTGCTGTGATTGTTGGACCAGAACAGCGTGCGTGTGTGTGTGTGTGTGTGTGTGTGTGTGTGTTCGTTTGACGGATTTTGCTTCGTAATGAAATATTTCAATTGAATTATAGTTTAGACTTGTTTGTTTACTGAGCATATTTTTTTATTTAACATCTACTTAATATAAATAATGTTTCATCATTTATTATATGTAGCCTATTTGATATTTTAATATTTTTTTATCATTGAAAATTCTTTAAATGTTTTGTGGTATTTAAAATCTGCGGATTTAATGAAAAATATTCTATGGTTTACTTTATCATTTATACTAGCGACTCAACCTCGCTTCGCTCAGGTTCGTCGCTGGGTACATTTTAACTTTTGGCGCTTAGTATGGAAATGTTTTTTTTTCAATTTTATTTTCGTGATGTTATTCCGATTTTTTAATAGTTATTCTTCTATCCACGGTAAAGACAAATCCAGTAAAACAAAGTCATAAAAATCGGTTCAGCATTTCTCGGGTTATAAGTGTTATAACAAACCCGGCTTCGTTTTATATCCATACTTAATATTATAAAGGTGAAATTTTGTTTGTTTGTTTGATTGTTTGTTTGTTTGTTTGTTTGTTTGTTTGTTTGTTTGTTTGTTTATTTGTTTGTTTGTTTGTGTGTAAGTTTGTTTGTTTGTTTGTCCTTCTTTCACGTCGAAACGGAGTAGCGGATTGGCGTATTTTTTTGTCTGGAGATAGTTGGAGGGCTGGAGAGTGACATAGGTAACTTTTTCGGTAAATTATCTTTTTCTCACGGGAAAACACGTTATACTTAATACAATCCGAAAAATTATTTATGATCAGAATTACCTACATGAAACTTGGTATTAATTAGTGTGTTTTAGCATTTTTCGAAATTCATCCCATAAGGGGGAAAATATGGGATGAAAGTTTGTTTGAAAACTATCTTTTTAGAGCTTGTTATTTATAGTTTGAGCACAAACGAAACCGCGGGTTCTGCTAGTACATTTATATAGACATAAGTAAGCTAGATTTCGACAGTAAGCTTTCCGTCGAGCGAATAGTTTGAAATTGAACCTAACCGTCGCGTCGCAGGTTTCGCGCCAATCCTGCGCTCGGTGAAACTTGCACGCGCCATCTTGAAAATCGGGTTATATTGGCCCTCGACACGTTTAGAAGAAATAAAACCTACGTGCTATACGATAGCCCGTACAAAACTTATTTGATCGGTCGTTCAACCGTGTCGTCAGCGCTCTCCATACGTGCGTCTCTCTCGCTCGTACCGTTAGCGTGCTGAGTTATGGCATTCCAAAGTGCCACCTCCACCGCGCCGCACAGCCTCCGCTCTACGGCGCGGCGTAAGCTACATGTAGTTTCGCCTTCCTTGTTTCTCTAAAGCTTTCTTGTTACGTGTGAACGCCCTCTTTGGGATTAAAAAATAATTGAGATGAAGCCGTTGCACGTCGGAATGCGCTAATTTTTTCCTTTAGTTACGAATTCCTAAGCGATTCGTTTTAGTTTTATTGATATTATTTTATAAACGTTGTGTAATTTAATGTTGAGAGCATTCTTTCTAATTGCACCGCCATCGAGGTGAGACAGCGGCTAGGCGTTGTTCACACGAGGCTGCATGGAACGGTTTCAGATCATCATTCATACACAGCCGAAGCTGACTCCTTAAAAGGCCTCGATAGGTTTAATATTATTAAATGAGCAATGTAGGTAAACAAATAAGCCAATCGCTCGCGCCTTATGAGGGCACCAGCCAGCGCCGTGACGTCACCCGTCGCCCGTCGCGTCGGTCCCTTTCATTTCTCTAACAGCTAGATAATAAATGACTCCTTATTTAGTCACAATCAAATAATGGGCTCCTCTCATGGGTACGACCATTTTATATTCGAAGATTTTCTACATTTTCATTTTGTAATGAGCTAATTTCTTGGTGTAAACTGTAAGATTCTCTCATGCATTCGATTTCAACGACATCGCTGCTGTCAACATTTTCATCAATTTATTTTTATTTTATATGAAAAGGGTAAGTGAACGTATGCTTATATATTAATAAAATTAATTTATTTTTAGAAAATTAAATAACGTTTAAGAAATATAGTTGTAATATAAAATAATTGATATTGGTTTTGATGGTATGGTGGCGCCATCTAGGTACAAATAGTAAATTTCGTATGCCTTATAGTTGCGACATCTAGAAGTGTTAACTATAACTACTAGCTTGGTGATATGTTGTACAAGCTTGGGGAAGTTACCGCTAGGTGGCGCTGATTACAGTTCTAGTATATTGCGTATAGAGGGCGCCACAAACTACAAAGGTTTAAGGCACACGAGATAATAAAATAAACTTATGTTATTCGAATAATTTCATACTTGTAAACTTTATAAAATTAAAATTTTCTTTTATCTTTTGCCTAAATAAGCAGGATGTCAATACAAACAAAGAAAGTAATTAATATTCTATTTCATTAGCTAACTATAAATTTAATATAATAATATTCGCAATCGCATTTACACTTATTATCACACAACAATCTCGCTGATGACTTCGCAAGCAAAAAGTATTGAAAAAGCAAAAAACCGTATCAAAAGTATTATATTTATGTCTCTTTTACACATTCTATAAAATGTGCTTCAAACTTCGTGTCCCCAAATTGATTTAAATCTATTAAAATTACGTATATTGTGTTGTTTTATGTGCTAACGGACGGGCTCACTTATTGAGTGCCACTCCGCTCTCGGTACCAGCTCCAGGTCTGGACAATTATTCTATAAATTGTTAAGAATGAACAACACTTAATCGATTCAATATTTTATGTATGTACTAAAATATATCGTTGTCTCAATTTTTAGATACGATTTCGTATTTTTTTGTTTTACCTACTTATTTCAAAATAAAATCTAAACATTTTTGTCTGTCTGGTGTTACATTGTACATTTCTTACTATAAAAATCTGTTAACTGAGTACAATATATCTAAAAAGCTGATACTTTAAGAACTGTAAAAATATATAGAACTAGCGACTCACCCTCGCTTCGCTCGATTTCGATTCCCTATACAAACTTTGTTTCCTCATACAAACTTTCATCCCCATTTTCACCCCCTTAAGGGATGATTTCCAGGATAAAAAGTATCCTATATCCTTACCAGGGTCTCAAACTATCTTCTTACCATATTTCATCTAAATCGGTTCAGTAGATCCAGATATTACCACCTAAAACCTCACAAACTCACAAACTTTACGTCTTTATAATATTAGAATAGATTATTTTGAAAATGCAGGAATCATTTCCACTAAGCCTGTATCGCCGCAGACGCAGTCTCATTATTACTTTTGAAGATCCTGTGGTTTGCTCGCTGGGAAGGCTCGCCCGCGCCGCACATGTCGAGCCAAGCTACGTCTTACAGTAGGTATATAGTTGGTATTGTATGTATGTATGTCTGTATGTACGCCTTACGGTGCATTAGTATGAGAGATGTACAGAAGTACTGCGGTAGGGCTCTGGGCTGCCACTCGGTAAGTAATCAAATATCTGTTAAGTGAAGCATGAAATTGTGCGGCGGCCGTTGCCCCGCGGCCTCCTCGTCTTACAATTTAATTGGAATTTCATTTGCACAGGACTTACTCGCGCTACCTGTCTCTGAACAATAGTAGATAGAAAAGGAGAGATTTTCTTTTTTAATTTCCAATCTTCAACGATGGGACACCAGTTGAAAGTAGAGTTGTAAAAAATTTGTTACAATATCAATAGTGTACGTTAATAATTTTTAGTTATAAAAAATAAAGAATATGCTTTTAAACAACTGTAATGTTTACATGTCGACCAAACTCAACAAATCAGTCCAAACATATATAGATAGTTATATAAGATATACGCCGTGTTAAAGTATCCAAGTGAAGCCAATAAAAGCGTGTTAAAGCGTGTTCCGGGAGTGTATAAGGTGTAATGTCTAATCTATAGTTTTATATAACCTACCTGTCTGTCTGTCTGTTGAGTCGTACCTCACTAGAAGACGGGGTAAATAATATAACGAGAATATAATAATAATATAATAAATAAATAAGCTGGGACATTAACACTGGCACAGCAAGTAGGGTGCTACAAGCTGAGCCAAACGTGTCGTCAAATATAATAGGACTATTTTATTAATGTTTTAATTCAATCGGTCGATTTGTTGTCGGTTGTTTGCATTCTCCTACAAATCAGGGGTCACAGTAAGCGGTAGTGCAGTTAACATGATATAATATTTTTACTTAAATATTTAATTCATCATTGTTTGCTTGAGAGGCGTCGTGTGTCGGGAAGGTACTTGAAGAGTTTTCATAGTAACAATATGTTATATATCTATTGTTTTAAACTTGGTAACGTAGAAATCGAATCTACAAACTTCGGCAGCGGACAAAAGTACACGCCTATCGCATTAAACGCCAGTCCAGTTTCTTTATCATTTCAATGAATTGAGTAAACCGTTCAATTTTCATTCACACACCGCCACGAAACCTGTTCCAAGATAAAAGCAATCAACATGAATTTTCAATTACTCTAATTACTTAACTATTATACATGTCTTTTCTTAAATTATTGAGAAACTGTAAACTGCAGTGAGGCAATTTTATAAAATATTTCAAAATGCGTTCTGCAGCGTGACTTTGTCTGCGAATGGTGGAATTTCTAATACAGTATATTCTCGTTGCAGTAAACAATAGGATAAACGACATATCAGTGTTATTTACCTACTACTAGCAAAACCCGCGGCTACGCTCGCGCTACAACTATAAAAACACTAAAAAGGTAGGTTTCATACAAACTTTAATCCCCTATTTTACCCTCTTATGGGATGAATTTCAAAAAATGCTAAAATATTTATTTATTTAATTGTATTGAAGAGCATTAATACCAAGTTTTAAGTAATTTTGATCATAAATAATTGTGTTTTCCCGTAGTCTTCAGATCAGACTCCAGCCTTCCAACTATCTCCACACAAAAAATCACGCCAATACGTCACTCTGTTTCGATGTGAAAGAAGGACAAACAAACAAACAAACACACTTTCACATTCATAATATTAGAATGGATATCAATGAATATAATATAGGAACTGAACTTCCTAAGTGACAGCTTGAGCTCTCTTACTCGCTTCTCTATAAAGCGATGTTCATGTTCATTGTTTGTTGATTATACATAACATATATAAGTGTACACAAAACTTGCAGTGGTTAGTAAAGATATAATAAATATGTTGGGAAATTAACAAACAGCACCATCTAGTTCCATGGTAAGCTACGTGGCTTGTATTATGGATACCAGATAGTTGATACACTACACATATATAACTTTAAATACATACATATTATACATATAAACACCCACGACTGGAGTACAAACATTCGTGCTCGTCACATAAATGAATGCACCCAGCGGGTCTCTAACCTGCGACCGCTGGCACAACAAGTAAGGTCACTACCAACTGAGCCAAACGTGTCGTGTAAGTAATTACAAGTATAGGTACCTGATAATCTATCTATCTAATATCTATGCATATAATAAAGTTGTAACTAAGCCGAATCTGTACATTAAATATTTTTTGGAAAATCTTATTGTAATAAACATTATTATCGATACAGAGGCCGAGTCTATAGTTTTTAGAATTTTTCTCTGTCCGCCTGTCTGTTACCGCATCACAGATAAACTACTGGAGAGATTTTGATGAAATTTCGTATGGTGATAGCTGATTATCCAGGTCAACATATAGGGTACTTTTTACCGCGGGGAAATGTCTCATTTTTGATAAAAAATACAAAAGCTGCAATGTAAGACCTCATTTTTATTGGCTTTACTTCTAAGAGACAATTTTTAGAAGTCCAACTGCAGTATTAATCATCCTACTGCGATGAAGCCCAAAGGAGGATTATGTGTTTGATCTGTGTGATGTATGTATGTACATATGTACCTACCCTATAATTACTAAACGGTTAAGTCGATTTTGATGATTCATACGTCGTCTAACTGACCAAAACTAAAATGAATTATACTCGTAGTATGTTTCTTCGTTAACTTGTACTTGTCTTTTTAACTCGCTTTTACGCAGTCGGGTTTTTTGTTTTTTTTTGTAAATAATTTTTGAAATTTAATACTTTACGTATGCAAAATCTGATGAAAATTCAATAATCTGATATAGTCGACCTCATGATTATACTAATGCCTATGTAAAACATAAGAATTTGGTTTTTGGTCAACTGAACGCCCGCGTACGGAGTCTCGGGCAATGCTAGTGGGAAAATA